TTGATTGATTCATATCCGGATTTTGTAAATTTACGTAAATTTTATTCAATGCTGCCGGGTTATATTTCTCATATTCATAATTTATTTTTTGGGTTCATTATTTTTATGCTATTTTGTTAGTTTTTTTTATTGAAATAATTGCGTTGTTAAATAAGTTTTAACTTTTAAGTATATAATTTTGGATTTATTAGTTTGATGGCTAAATTTATTATCTGTTTTTTGTGATTTGATGAGTTGTTATCCTCATCAGAACAACTGATGTCTGATCTAAAATGATTAAATTTTCTTTTTCAGATTACAATGCAACCATCATCTCCTGATAATGCAACATCAGTATCGGGTAACGAAAGTCAAGACAGCACACGTAGAAGCCGCCAGTCAAGACCAACAACTAAAGTAACGTACATTGACAATGAACATTTATCAATGCCAGATATTCATGCACTGAAAAGCATGTTTCAATCAGCTCCTTCCAATAACATTCACAGTTCTGTTAGCAAACTTTCAAGTAGTAGGTTAAGAGCCTCAGAGACAAATAAGCCCCTTTCAAATGATATTAAAGAGGATAATTCAAAAAAAATTAAATTGCAGCAGCAGCATGTAACCGAAGAAAAAACAACTAACAACAACATGCCCGAAGATTTAGACTTAGACAACATTAATCACACTCAGAGGTTTCGAGTTACTAGGGCGTTATTTGCAAAAATGGAAGAGCAGAGCCAAAGAGAGCGAATGGTGTCAGAAAATAACAAACACCTACATAGGTCAAAATCGCCAACAAGGTATCCGGGTATGCATTCAAGACTCGCTCTGTCTCCCATGAATTCTGCTAACATAAATGATACTACAACTGCCACTAAACCTGCTTCTGATGAAAATAAATTAAAAAAATTAGTGAATGTTCAGCCTATGGAAAAACATAAGTCTTCAGCATTAGATCGATCTCAGAAGTCTTCTGCACAAGAACTTATTCAGCGAACAAAACTTAAAGAACTTCAATCTAGGGACCACAATAGGCTGCATATAGATGTTCAAAGTGACAGCAGTGTTCTGGAGAATGTGCCTTCACCTAAATGGATCATGCAGCATTATGAAGAAGTAACAAAGGGTCTTCATCCTGCTTCTACTTTAGATAGCAAACGGGACAGTACTAATAAAAATATAACCTCCCCAAGTGTTGAGTCAAGGCATTCATTTGATCAACCTGCACCACAAATTATAACGAAGCTAATTGAAAACGTGTCATCTGTAGCATCACCTACAACTGAGATCCACTCTAAGATGGCCTCAACTATTTCTAATTCAAAATGGAAACGAAGTAGCAACGAATCTGACTGCAAACTTCTTACCTCTGATGCCACAGCTCAGGACAGCAAAACTCCAATAGATTCAAACTCTTCTCATTCAGAAGCATCAGATTCAAGGATTGCTGTGTCTTCCCCTGTAGAAGTTGTAAATTTTGCAAATGACACCATCTCATCTGTAAGGGAGGGATTGAAGATTAATACAACACACGTAACTTCTGGTGTCATTCAAGTGAAAGGTTCATCAGTTAGAGATGCCGGAGTTTTTGCAGAACCTGATGTTCAGGAAACGTCAATGAACGTTAAAATTGAAAAACATCAATCAAATGCTGCTGCTGCAAGTAACACAGTCGCTGATGACGAGGATGACGTTTCCAAAATGTTGGTTGCATGGAAGAATAAAAGGAGAGGGGGTAGTGAGTCATCAAACGAGCCAGCCTCCTCGTCATCATCCAAAACTGCAAAATATAATACTTCTGACAATAAAAACACAAGTACATATACAAATTCATCAAAGTCCACTGCAATAAATAGTTCTCCAAATGAAGTTCAGACTACCTTACCCAAAGAAATAAATAAAAACATTGCAATTACAAGTGACTCAAATATGGGTGCAAGCACTGTGACAAGCAATCATTCTCAAAGTATGGAAATGAGTCCGGATGATGCTTCACAGATGGTTGACAAAGTGTTCACTCAGCCATCATCAAAGGCATCGAGTTCAGGTGAGACAAAGACGAATCATCATTCTTCTGGAGACCAACATATTTTTGCATCAGATGAACTCGAACTTAATAACTCAAAACAGTAAGTTGACTCTTTTTTTCCTGCTCCGTTTGTTTCCAAATCAAATTAATGCATTTCTCTGTATACATAGTTTTAGATATTTATTGAATTCTCAAAAGAAATCACTTTTTAAAGTGTTCACAACATTAGTTGTTCTCTCATACGATTTTATTTGGTTAGCATTGTCTTGGTGTTATCTCAGAAACGAACGTATCACCATACAATTGAAACGCTTATATGACTACGCCCATTTGATGGTTTTAAAAATAACTTAATGATAACATGAATTGTTTGATTTATAAATAATTATTTATTTATTTTAGTGTGGCTTATTTTACGTCAGATTGTTCTTTTAATTTCTGCAGTTCGCATTACAGCAAGGTTCATCATGGCTCTCCAGGAACCAGCCCCCGCCACCAGGCTGATCTTCACTCAGATGATGGCAAGGATTTTTTGCTGGCAAAAGAGAATAATACTCCAAACGAATTTCTCGCATCACAAATAGCAGATAGCCAGGAGGAGGAAGAGGAGGACGAAGTTAACGAGGATGAAAATGGTCAGTAAATTAAAAATTCTACATTTCTTCTTTATACTGAAATTTGTTTTAATATATTTTATATAGTTGAAATTATACTGATTGTGAATTCATTATTATAACGAAATTGTTATATAATGTTGAATGGTATATGACAACGTCAGTTATTCGTGTAACAGAGAATACATTTCATGCATTGGAGAATGGAGACTTCTATTATGAGATCGACGGACTTCCGGATAAAGATTTAGATGAAGAATTGTACCCCAATGCCAAAACACCAACTAAAGTTAAATTCTCTAGTGATAAAATCAAGGTTTGTCACATGATTTAAAATCTCTTTATCTTTTATTTAGTTTTTATATTATTTTGTAACTTTTTGCAATAAACGTGCGGCGTGATGGTCAAATGGTTAAGGTCGCCTAGTGCTGTTTCGCAGTAACTGGGTTCGAATATGACAAACAGATTCCCGCCTATCACATGCTTCGTTTGTGATGCGTCGTTTAGCACGTATTCATTTACGATGTTTGTGCGCTTTGTTGAATCCTCTGAACTTTGGAAAAGTGTAATTGACCTTTAACTTTTTAACCTTTAAACATTCCTGTAAAATATATTTCAAATAACATTATTTTGATTGTGCCATATTATATTTTTATATTATATTTTATATGCAATGCTGTTAATCTTACACGTTTCTTCCTGACATGCTTGTTCTTTCTCTCTCTTTTTCTCTCTCTTTCTCTCTCTCTCTCTCTCTCTCACTCTCTCTCTCTCTCTCTCTCTCTCTCTCTCTCTTATTCATTCATTTTCAAATGTTATCACTACTCTCTAGTTCCTCCTAAATATTAATTAGTATTAATGAAAATGGAACATGTGTATTCCTGCAAGAAAGTGAGAACGACGGAGCATTATTCTCTTTTTCCAACAAATATAATCTTCGCCATCATCTGAGTGACTGCGATAGAACAGATGACGAAAGCAGAGTTTTTGAGGATTCTTCACATGTTGAATGATAAAAATTGTGGTAAAGGTAAAATGGGTTAGAGGTGGTTAGAAAATTTTGCAACGGGGAATAAAGTTTAAAATGCATTGTACAGAAATGTTACCGAATTAAGGAAACAAATTTTTGTTGTTATGCAGTTGTCTAATACAAAGTGTTCACAAATTGTTCCTAACTTAACTTCAAAAAATTGCGTCACAAAGCCTTGTACTTGCATATCTATGCGGGATTAAGTTTCAGTTGGGTACACCAGTGTTTGTGGTCCTGGATATCGACGAAGTGTTTAGGAAGTTTGTTTTTGCACAGTCGGTTACTTAGATAGTTTGAGATCTACTGAGTAAGCTACTGTTGTCGGCTGACCTATGATGTCAGGGAGAGTGAGATGTTTGAATGTATAAAAGATCTCACGAGGTGAAGTGCAACAGCTGAGTGTAGTAAGATAGTGATGGTTGAGTGGTGGTGGCCAGCTGAATCAGGCAAGCTGTGGTTGTCGGTAGTGTGATGGAAAGAAGTAGCTGGAGTATTTTTACCATCCAATGGAGTGAAGGTGGTTGGATGAAGAATGAGAAGAATGTAAGGCGTCTGTGTTTGCTCAGAGGTATAATTGTTGATATTTTACTTACTCTTTTCAACAATTAAAATGACGTAGTGATTTGAGAAAGAAATACAGTTGGATAAAGAGCAGAGATGTACTGTTCATATAAAAAAAACAGCTGAGAGTTACAGAATTGTTGAACATTTAGCCTAGGATGTACAGTACATACATACGATGGAGATGTCGATTGCATGGGAGTAATTCATGTAATTTTTAATAACGAGGAAGACAATGGTCCTACTCAAACCAGACCAGCAACGATGACGTGACGTTTGATGTACTCAAACTAGTGAATGTAAAATTTTTTTTAATTTTAACTACTGGCTTAAACAAAGCAATACGATTTATTAAGAAAGCTCTAATTAAAAATGCATAATTCGTTTTAGCTTTTTATTTTTCGTCTACCTAGATTGGCAATATCTATTTATTTACCTCATTTGACTGGAGTTTATTGTTTATTTTTCGTTGACCTTTCAAATTACACCGACAGGTTTTCTCAACATATTCCATCGAAGAGTACGACCGACGAAATGAGGATGTTGACCCCATGGCTGCATCTGCCGAGTACGAACTCGAGAAGAGGGTCGAAAAGATGACCTTGTTTAATGTTGACCTCAATAAAGGCTCGTTTCTTGTATTGATGATTTTTTAAAATTTAAATAATGATTTATATTTTGGTTTTATTGAAGTGTATGATAAGTAATTCTGTGATTTCTTGTTCGTGATTTTGTTGAGAGATAAGCTGAACGTGGTAGTTGAAAATTGTAATTTACAGGAAGTGAAGGGTTAGGACTGAGCATTATAGGAATGGGTGTTGGCGCTGATGCAGGTTTGGAAAAACTTGGAATCTTCATCAAGACGTTAACCAGTGGAGGTGCTGCTGAACGAGATGGCAGGTTCGGGTTTTATTTGTTGGCATTGTTATGTGGAAGTTAACTTTATCTGTGATTGTACATCATAGTAACATTGTTGTTTGTTTTTTAGAGGTTCATTCATTACATTATTTTACATTTTCAATGATATGATTCAGGATCCAGGTCAATGATCAGATCATAGAGGTCGATGGAAATAGTCTCGTTGGTGTAACTCAATCTTATGCTGCCACCATATTAAGAAATACATCGGGTCTTGTCAAGTCAGTGACTACTTTATAATGGGAAAAAAAACATAAAATAAATTTTGATGAATAGCAAAATAAAAAAAGCTTGATTGATAATCTGATTGGTTCGTTTGTGTGAGTGGCACTGTTTTATGTCCTGCGTGTTGGTGCAGGTTTGTGATCGGCCGAGAAAAGGACCCAGCCAACAGTGAGGTGGCCCGCCTCATCCAACAGTCTCTGGAGCAGGACAAGAAAAGAGCAGAAATGCAGCGACAGGAACTGTTGATGCAACAGGAGCAGCTCTTGCAGTCCAACCACCAACAACATCAGCAGCAGGCGTACGATGGTCAGCAACACTTTGATGAGGCTGAATCTGACAGTGACCTTGCATATCCATCATATCCCGATGACAACAGCTATGTTAGATTTTTTTTTCGTTTACACTAAACACAGTTTTTTAGTTTGTTGGTGCCACTTATAAATAAATAACCACTTAAAAATTCAATTTGTGAACAAAGCAGATGCAGGGTCTGCCTCCCCGCCTGCCTGGGGAAGGCATGAACACGGCGGATCACGTGGATGGCAATACACACCTCGACACTAACGCTGTCTACATGCAACTTCTTGAGGTCTGATCTTTCTACATCACTTTGTTCTGCTCTGTAGATTTTTTTTTTTATAAAAAATATTCAACCACTTTTTCGTGTTTTGATTCACATAATCTCTCTATATTGTTTGAAATATTTCAGAGCATTAATTTTCTTTACAGGCGCAACTTCAGATTGCCAAATTACAGGATGAGTTAACGAAACTTAACGCTAAAGTTCGTCTGCAGTTTACTTTTCATGCTGCACATTAACTATAACGTTGATTAATATAATTTTATTGTTTGAACATACTCTTCTCCGTGTTTGACAATTTCATAACTAGAATGTACGTTCAAAATAATTCAAATGAATTGACCATCTGCTATTCATTAATGTCGCACCATCGTTTTCGTTTTCTTCTCATACTCTGTCAACTCTTAACGTTTTGTTCCATGGGGTAGACATTTGCAAATTCTGTCGCAATGCTTCATGCTAACTTTTTTTTCCAACCAGTTGTTATCCTCCACGTCGTCGTCATCATCATCGCAACTCCTTCCTTCGGCCGCTCCAACATATCGTGAAGACCTGACCGCCATGTACTCGGAACTTGAAAAGACACTTGAAAAGACGAGCCTGGAGAAGATTGAAGTGCAGGTTCTCAGGAAATAAACTTTAATACGCTCTTTCTATCAATCTCGTACACGCAATCATTTTTTATTTTGCTGTTTGACAGGAGAAGCTGTTGGAGAAGGAAAAAGAGTTCATCGAAATGCAGAGGTCCCTGCGACTGAGGATTGAACAGCTGGAAAAAGAATGCTTCCAAGCCAAAGAAGAAATAAAGATGCTTAAATATGGGTACGTCTTATTTTTAGTAATTACGATGGAAAACATAAACAAATAAAAATATATCACTGATTTTATTTTGTAGGTGGATTATGTGAATTAATTGCGATGGAAAACATAAACAAATACAAATATATCATTGATTTTATTTTGTAGGTGGATTGTGTGAGTCGAGGTGATAAAATAAATGTTAAAAAAACAGTCGAGCTTTTAAGATTTAGACTGCATCATTTTCGGTTGCGTAATTGGTTGTTGAATATGTAGATGAAGATTAACCAAAGTTGAGTGGGTGTTGTGCTAGTTTTAAAAGGCAAACTCTCTCCTAGCTCGAAACACCAGGTGACCTGGTTTAAAGACGGGCAAGCGCTGAGTGAACTTAAAGACGGTAGAATAAAAATCTATTCAAACTGTGAATCTGGAATTCAAGCATTAAAAATATCAGTCAAAATGGAATGCGCTTATGAGAGTAGCATACAGGGTAGTGTTGGATTCATTGTTTTGAACTTTCAAACGTTGTTAAGACGCTCTCTTTGATAGAAAGAATGTGAAAAAACCATGGGGAGAATATAATGAAAAGAAGTTGTGAGATATTTCAATAGAATAAGCACCCTTGAGAACAATGATGCTGAACTCTACAAACTTTTATAAAAATAATTTTTTTTTAATTTTTAAAAATGGAAATGAGGTGAAGAAGTTTTGTGTTAATGGAGAGTTTTATTGGGCGTTGATGAGAGGAAGGTGTCACGTGATTAAGTGGTTCCTAATAATCCCATTCTATAAAATTTTTGTTACATTCTATTAACTTAATACTCTAATGAAATAATGTATTTTCAGTGAGGAAAGGTTGAGAAAAGAGAAGGATGATTTAATAAGAAATCAAAGCCTACTCAGTCAACTAATGCAAGAGAACATGAAGACTTTGCAGCAGAAGGTGGTGCATGTTTCTAATTGGCGTGTTTCTTATTAGTTTTGTGCGTATTATACTTAATATTTAACTCTACAGCACGAAGACCTACTCGGCATGTCCAGCAATAATAATCAAATATCGGATTTAGATGCTGACAAGTTAGCGAAATCATATTCTTTTATAACATTTTTTATTATAGTTAAATGCAAGCAGTTTCGTAAAAACCTTATTTTTAGCTTTGTTAGTATTGAGTTCTGAATTTTCTATCGGAGACTTTGGTAGCCCGGCACAATAGATTAAAATGATCTTAATTCATGACTGGTCTCTTCATTCATCCGGTTCAGTGTAAAAAATTTTTTAATTATAAAAACTGGTGGCGTTATCTGTCGTTAGAATTTTGTCCATGGGCGAATGCAGGTGTTTTGTACTATTAAATGTAAATAAAAAACTTCTTTGTGGCTGGTTGATCTTCTCGTTCGCCCACATGTACACCTACATATGTTGTCAGTTGCAGTGATATTTCTGATGCGTTTGTATTGAAACGTCTCAATCAATTTGCGTCTGTTGGTTAACCAAATCATATATATATAAATATATATATATATATATATATAATGTGGTTGTGCCCAGATGCCCATATATATATATATATATATATATATATATATATATATTATATACATATAATCTTTTAACTGTCTAACAAGTTTAACTCAGGAATATTTTTAGAGACATCTTGAATAGCTGGCTATTATTTATTATTATTTTTGTCAATTTGGTAAGAAGATAACATTTGGCAACAATGGATTTAGAGAGAGAGAGAGAGAGAGAGAGAGAGAGAGAGAGAGAGAGAGAGAGAGAGAGAGAGAGAGAGTTGGATATGTCTTTTCTACTGACTTTTATACAATGTCATCGAACGTTTATTGATGATATTTTCTCTTTTTTTCATTCAAATTGCCATAAAACATTTATTGTTGATGTTTTGTCTAATTTTTCGTTTGCAATGTTTTTAAAGTATGTAATTAATTTTTTAGTGGTGCAAGTGAAAAGTCAGACGACTCTGATATACACTCATACGATTTAACCAACCCCAAATCTCCAACAGGTTAATTCTCTATCAATATCGAACATCATACAGACATACCATTCAAAATAAACTTCCGATATTTAGATAACCTTCTTATGTATTTTATGTTAACAATTATGTTAATTGCAATCGATTTTTATAGCGCTGCATGCGAGTATTGTTTTGTAAATAGGATTGTGAAACAGGAGAAACAATTAAATTAATTAATCACTACATACTTGTATTTGAACATAAAGATTCGATGATGTCAGAAAAATTCCGATCAACTTCAGGGATTGTGCTGGTTTCAAAGAAGACAGTGCAATCTGATCCTTCCAACTCAGATGTTAGTTCAATAATTTTAATTTAGCAATTCTGTCTTTATGAACTAAAAATAAGTTAAGAAATAAATGATATAATAATTCAATTTTATTATTAATTTAAATCTCCATAATTCTCTGTTGTATACGAAGTGTCTCAGTGGCCGAGTTTTAAGTTTGTTGGTACAGAACTCTCTTTTAGGGAATAAAGTAAATTTATAAGACGTCATAAATATAGTAACAGATTGCCTCCCAACTGAGTCAGCCCTTAGATTTTCAAGATGGGATGAAATTAACGAGAAAGGAGCAGTAACTGGAATGTCACTGTACTACCTCAGTTAGATTGTATCTATGCTCCTATATCAAAAGGCTAGCTGGCAGAAAACAAAAAAAAAGTTAAAAAAAAAGGTTTAATAACTCTTCCAAATTTCAGAGGAATCAACAACACAAAAACAGCGTATATGAATACGTGCTAAACAACGCATCACAAACAAAGCATGTGATTACCGAGGATCTTTTTGTCATGTTCGAACTCGGCCAATGCGCGCACTGTGAAGCAGGACTAGACGCCTTTAACCACATCATACCGCCCTAACTATCCTAACCATGACAATTAATGTAAAGAACAAATACTTTCCACCGTTCTTTGATTTTTAAAACATGTGAAACCATTTTTATTTTCCGGACATTCACTTACTTTTGGTAAGAAGCAGAATATTTAAAATAGTAGTTAATCACCATTCCTCAATATGGTTAGATATTTAAATTCAACTTCTTTGAAACTAAAGTGGATTTAAGAAAGCTAATGTAGAATTTGAATTTTTCAAAATGCGGACGGCATTGTTTAATTTAATTGTTTATTTATTTTGTCGTCGTCCCAGATGACGAAAGTTTCAAGTTGGGACTGCAGACAGGTCCTGATTTGGTTACAATCGAACGGATTTGGTGAATACACTGCAGAATTCTTGAAGGAGCGCATCGACGGCAAACAACTCGTTCAAATGAACGATAACGATTTTAAGGTGGTTTCTAAGGAATTCAATTGCTCTCTTTAATTTTGCTGTGTTTAATTTTTAAACGCTTTTTATCCTATTTTAATTTTAAAAATACAATTGTTCAAGAATCTTGGCGTTGATCAGCAGAAGGACTGTGAGATGATTGTAAAGAAGGTCAAAGATTTACAGCGTCAAAAGTCTGATTCACATTTAGGAAAATCTGTCTGTTGACGTTAATAGCTAACTAGCCGTCTTTCATTACAAGTTTTGATCCAATCTCGTCAAAATTTGTAATTTCTTGTTTTTGTTATCTAATATAATATAAATTGAAAAATAGACGGATGGATGGATGGCTCATACGAATTTATCATTCCTGTACATGTATATGTGGATATAGGTAGGTCATATATGCGATCCTATATATTTATGCTTACATTATTTTTTATATAATCGCATATATGAATATATATTGAAGATATATATTTAATCATATATTCGCATGTATTCATATATGTTGTATATATATATATATATATATATATATATATATATATATATATATATATATATATATATATATATATATACACTATTGTATGAATTCTACCGAATTGTTGGCATTAATTAATTTAAAGTTTGTCTTTTCAATTTTCTTTGCTAGAATTTTCTTGTAAGTAAATTCTAGTAAAATAGGATATTACTAGAATTTTCTTTGTAGAAAATTCTAGCAAGGAAAAAGAAAAAGAAAATTGTAGTAAGGAAAATTGAAAAGACAAACGTTCAATTGATTAATGCCAAAAATTTGGTAGAATTCACACAATACTGCATGGTCTCCTTCCAACATATATATATATATATATATATATATATATATATATATATATATATATATATATATATATATATATATATATATATGTATATATATATATAATAATATATATATATATAATATATGTATGTATATTTATAATTTAAATATGTATATATTATTTATACAGGTGTTACACATAAGCCAATAAAGATATTAACATTGTGACAATGCATATAATTACTTAATGACATTAACACGTTTTTATGCATTAGCCATGAATGTATTACTAACTTATTGTATTTGTATTTGTGTGTGCATCATTACACTCACGCATTTGTTTATCCACACACGCACATACATAACACAAACATGACACAATACACACACACACACACACACATATATATATATATATATATATATATATATATATATATATATATATATATATATATATATATATATATAACTATGACAGACGTAACGCTGTGATTCCTTTTGAATGAAATTCCATATAATGTAATGTAATACCGCGTTTAAAATAGTTCTGTAGACAGCCCTGTTAAATTTAAAAAGAATTGTTCAGTGACAAAGCAACTTCTTGTTTGTGGTTGTTTGAGTGGAGTGTAGCTAGCAAGCAGATTTGCATGTTTTTTTTTTCATTATTAACCAAATCAAAATTGTTTTAAAAATAGTTTTTTTTATTGTATTATAATGTAACTTTTATCAGTATCGCCAGATATGTGCATTCGTCGTGAAAGTTTGTTAATTGTTTTTAGATAATTTCCTTTTTAAATAGTTCAGTTGTTTAACAATGAATTTGTGAAGTATGTCTGCGTGTGTATATAAATTGTAGTTGCAATTTAGTTATATGTTGATTCATAAATTATTCGGTCTTTTATTTTCAAAATATTTTCGTTCACGATCCAGCTCTTTATTATGATTCTATCCTACTTTATTATTTCTTTTAATAGTAACTAAAAATTTATGAAAATAAAAAAATGTCGACCTATATTTTTTATTCTCATTTTTGTGTGTCGAAGTACGTAGCTATATATAGCTGGCAGTAACTGTCAAGGAAACTCATTCAGCATGGACATAGAAGTGCGAAAGATCGCATTCACTTTGGTTTTGTGACGATACACAAATCTACTCTACTGTCTGTCTGTACCTCCAAATTACAATTACTCGGCTCATTGGGGAAACTTTTACATAAAAATTACACTGAACAGGCTGGTTCTAGTTGCACGTAATTTGCAGAGACGTAAACAGTCAAACCAAAATTGATTAAGTGAAAATAAAATCATTGAATGTGATGAAAGTAAAAACTTCAAGAAAAGTTATTTTAAGAAGGTTGATAACATTTGATGATTACATAAGTTAATGATATAAAATGGGTAGCATTATAGAACTGCAAAGTTTTAAGTGAATATGGTTAATAAGTTTTAGCAACAGATTATAAAATGACCAGAAATTCATCGGTCAATGCATTATTGGCCTTCGAAGCGCTCGTTTCACATAAACAATAAAAACATGTCTAGTCAGATCATTTTTCGGATTATATTTCGTTCGTGAAATGGATATAATATTACGTTGGAATATTTTGCATTGGGTGTTTTATGTTTCATGCATCACATAATATTACATGAATGAACATTGTGTGGCCTACCTCAAACGCGTGCTATATCGACTTCAAAACTCAACTGATCTACTTTACATTTTTATAGTTCCAACGCTGACACGTTTTGGAACATAATAGTGTGCAACTTGAATTACGTGCACTTGCGATGTGCGTTTGGTTGTATTGGTCGAAAGTTGCCGTTTCATTTTCCATGTTGTCTTTATAGCACAAGTTTCTAGTTGCACAAATTTTTCCATTAAATTTATTCTTCCGAAGCCAAACTACTTCAGAATACCTGTGGCATTTCTGCGTTTAAAAATTATTTTAAATTTCCTGTAAAAAATCATGATGTGAAATGTGATTTATGTTTTGTTTGCCGTTTTTCGTTGTTAATATTTGTGTACACTCAAATATTTTTTTACGCTAAGTTATTTTTTAAAGTTTTATTTTGACTTTAGTGAATTTGATAATGTTAAGAAAAGTCTAATTTATCAAGCATTGAATAGAAGTATGAAGCATTATGTAATCAAGTGAATCTATATCACTTTCTTAATTTTTAAAGAAATATTTATGAGGGTATCAACGGATGATGGTGAGAATATCAAGTTCAGCGTTAAAGTAATCGAGCTGAAATGCAAAGAAGGGATTCCCTTCTTGTTCTTGATTCATTTTTCATTTTTTTAAATATATTGTATGATCATTTAATCTTAGCAACAATAAGTTATTATGTATGTTTAAAGTGTTTTTAATTGCTAAGTTTTTTAATATCAGTTTATTTTTCTTTTTATTATTAGCTTATCTCTCACCGTACAAAGTGATTCTAAATATTGGTTTGAGTAATTGCGTTGGGTTGGTTGGAAATGAATCTAAACTAATTTTTGTGCAAGCATATCCAATGTTTTTGTGTAAATCGTGTATATAGATATATAAACGATTTACACAAACATATTTATGTAAATAAATAAATAGAAATACACATAAATTAGTATTATATATATGCATAGAAAGAGAGAGGCATAATTATTCCAAGTGTATGTATATGGTGTGAAGAAGCAGAACCAATTGATTTTGATGCATGTAAGGTTATAAGACAGTATCACTTATGTTAGAGTTGTCTGGTTGAGTTAAAAAAAGTTGTCAATTGATTGTCAAACTAAATTTTAACTCTATGCGTCTTTGATAAAAAAATAAAACAGATGATAAACGAAAATAATATAACGTGTTTGGATGGTGGCAGCAGAAAATCTTTATTTCTAGATAATAAATTTGGCGCGTTGGACTACATTATTTTTGGCGCTCTATTGGCTCTGTCCTCGTTGATTGGCCTCTACTATGCATGCACTGGAAACAAGCAGTCCTCCACGAGCGAGTTTCACATGGCAGGCAAGTCTATGGGAATATTACCAGTTGCACTTTCTTTACTGGCCAGTTTCATGTCAGCCATTACACTTCTTGGAACGCCATCCGAAATCGTAGTGTTTGGAACGCAGTACATGATGCTTGCCTTTGCATACTGCTTGGTAATACCAATAGCCGCTCACGTGTTTGTGCCTGTCTTTTATAAGTTGAATCTTACTAGCGTCTACGAGGTTGTTTCAATTTTCAAACAAGTTTATTTTTAACCTACTGAAAATGTTACTTTTTGTTATTTCCTTTTGTTGCAGTATTTAGAAAAAAGATTTAGTAAGAGTGTTCGGACATACACTTGCATCGTGTACATCTTTCAAACTGTGAGCATTTTAATCAATAGCAAATAAAATCCACAATTTCAATAAGATTTTAAAAAAATTTTTCTTTATTTTTAACGTTTACATAATAGATATCTATATCGATAAAATTAACTTTAATTTTAAACATTAAAATCTTTATTAATTCTTGTAGTTAATCATTCTTTAATCTTCATAGTCTGTTAGATGTTAACAATTTTTAAAGAAATATTAAAAATTTAAAAATGAAACTTCAACAGGAATTATATTTAGCCATTGTCCTGTATGCCCCATGCCTCACGCTGAGTGTCGGTGAGTTATTTGGTTTAATTACATGCTTGTTAGTAGCAGAGCTGTGAAATGATACTTTTTTACTCCTTCAGTTTAAAAGGAAGCAATTTATTTCAGCTACTATTTTGTTTTAATGAAAAATCTATCTATACTCTGTTCAATATTTGTTCATGGGTAAAAATAATAAATAAAATATACTCTAAAGTATGCATCAATTTTGACGGCATTGTCGAAATGTCGGGAGCGTTGGAAGAAAATGGTAGTCAGTTTTTCAGAGTAAACCATTTTATTTACGACGTTTAGCTTAAAAGTAATAGCCTAGAAAATATCATTTATTGAAAGAATTAAAATATTTATAGTTGAGGATTGCTATTTTTACATATAAGAGCAACAAAGCAAAGACTAAAGTGTCATAAATCAGAAGAAGAAACACGACGAATTGCTGTATTGCGGTTCATAGTGCTTTTAAGTTCAACGGTTCACATGATACCAACTTATTTAAATATTGGCCCAAGATCAAATTCGTGCTATAAAAATGTTCCTTGCAAACAAACATTTAAAGAATTCAACAAATATTTCTCTACTTTTCTTTGTATTTTTTAATAATAATTTTGTAAGGTTTGATGAAAAATACTAACAAATAAATAAATAATGTAGAAATACGTAGTTTGATTAAAATGTTTTAAGGTGAACATCAATAAATCATTTGATTTTTCAGAAATAACGAACGAATTTGAAATTATTTCATATTTTTATAAATTTCAGTAACTGGTCTAAATAAATGGCTAGCAGTTGTTTCAGTCGGCGCGGTTTGCACTTTCTACACTGCCATCGTAAGATTACAATATTTGGAGTATATAAACTTAAAACATTGTTTGCTGTTGTTGAAACAATATATAACAGGGAGGCATGAAAGCCGTCATGTGGACCGATGTCGTCCAGATATGCCTCATGTTCCTAGGCTTGATTGGCATCATAATTAAAGGATGCATCGATTTCGACGGCGTTATCAAAATGTGGGCAGCGTTGGAAGAAAATGGTAGAGTCAGTTTCTCAGAGTAAACCATTTTTGTTAACGACGCTTTGACGCTTAACACTAATGAGATAATTAAACTTAAAACTCAGGTTCAGTGCCGATCCGTTCATTAGACATTCGTTCTGGTCGCTTGTAATTGGAGGCACTTTCACGTGGCTGACCATTTATGGGGTGAATCAGTCTCAAGTCCAAAGAGCACTTTGCACGCCAAACTGCAAAATAGGGCAGATGTATGTTTTTCTTTCTTTTAGATCAATCAATATTAATTCTTTTCTGGGGTCTACCTTTATTTTCTATTATAAAATGTGACCTCAATTCAGAAATGCGATGTAACCATAATATAAAGATTACAATCAATCACTCACACTATACAACATATGGAAGCAACTTTCAGCACGTAGGAGGTTTTTGCCGGATTCTGAATTTTTAAGGGGCCAAAGTCAGAGTCAGGTTTTTTTCATCCGACTCCGACTTACTTCGAAAATTGTTGAGAATTTGAAAAATTTTATTACATGTGCATCTGCTTTCTGTGCATTATGATTCCGTTCTTATTTTCAGACACCCGTTTTCATAAAACAAATCATCTCTCTATCTAACTAAAATTATGTGGCTTTCTTTAATCATACACCTACTAGTGTTCAGTGGCGGATCTAGACAACTTTGACGGAGGTGAGCCAAAATTTTGAAAATGTTTAATTTTTGATGGGGGACCAATAAACTACCAAAATTTTTGGTGGTGCCTTTTCTTCAGCTTATCACGTACATTTTTGATAAAAAATACTACTCAAAACGGCTGCCTTAGATCCGCACAGTCGTGGCAACTAGAGTTATTAGCTAGTCAAGTGTGAGTTTGATATCTAATTGTTGATATAATATCAACACTCATTGTGTCATTGAATGTTTTGTGGTGGTTTGTATTGTTGTTGCACGGCAGATAAATTAATGTTCTGTTTAATAAAATCAATGTTTTAAAATATATTTTCATTAATTTTCAGTGCTCTGTGGATAAACTTGCCAGGGTTGGTAGGATTGATGTTTGCATGCTTCTTTTGTGGACTGGTGGTCTTTTCGGAATACAAAAATTGTAACCCCTTGCAAATCAACAGAATTTCCGAGAGAGACCAGGTATTTGTTCTGTTACACATTTTCGAAATTATAAAAATTTTACAAAAAAACTATTCTGTCTTAAGCTTTTACCACTTTATGTCATGGATAAAATGAACTACCCTGGCTTTCCTGGCTTTTTCACGGCGTGCATTTTTAGCGGGGCTCTTAGGTAGGTTTTAAAACTTTACCATCAACATTACTTTAAGCTATGTATAACTTTAAATAATTGAAAATTTAAAAAAATACATTTCTTAATAATTTATCACCATAAAGATACAGAAAATATAATTTTTACTAATAATGATCAATTTCTTTGCGCAACCAATGTAAATATCACCATTTAAAACGTATTTCCGTACGTCAATGCACTGTTTCGAAATGCAAAAATTGTTTGCTCCATCGTAATTTCAACAAAATTTAAAGACTTCGAAATTGTTCTGCAGCACCATATCAAGCGGGTTGAACTCTCTGTCGACCGTCGTTTTACATGATTTGATATTTGCGTACTGCTGTGTCGGCATGTCAGACGGCAGGGCTACAACGCTCTCCAAACTAATATGTTAGAAAATATTAACATTTAAGAAACTTAAAATAATAATCAAACACGTCTTACTTTGTTTTAAATATGAATTAACTTTCAGCCATGTTGTTTGGTGTTTTAATGATCCTCTTAGCCGTTGTCGCTTCTAATTTAGACGGACTGCTGCAGGTTCGTTATTCTCATAAAAAGTTGTAATGTTTGAATATCATGTCTTGGTAAATTATCAAATCTTTTATTATTTTTAACGTTTTAGGCTGCCTACAGCGTGTACGGTTTAGTTGGAGGACCTATTCTAGGTGTTTTTATGTTTGGATTGTTTTTTCCATGGGGCAATTTTAAGGTCTTCGGTTATTTTAACATTTGTCATAAACATTTAACATGTACACTGTTTATTTACTTATTTATTCATACATATTAGGGGGCCTTGTTTGGCCTCACCTTTAGTTTAGTTTCGACGTTGTGGATTGGAATCGGTGCTCAAATATATAAACCAAAAATCTTGGGTTATATACCACCTCCAATGAAAGTGGACAAATGTTATGACCTGAATCAAACCTTATTATCTGTTAGAAACATTAACGATAGTTTATGCTTCCTCCATCATAATTTTAACGTTTCGTCCACGAGTGATTTTTTTAGTGAATCGTATGAAAACATTTCAGAAGTTGCAGAGACAGCCAGGTGAGACTTGTTCAATAGCCAAAAATAATGCTTTTAATTATCAGGGTGTCGAATTAGAGGTTTGCCGAAGTTTAAGGGATTCGACACTTTAAGAACTGTCGGGTCGGAGTCAAATTTTTTTACATCAAGTTTTGTAAAAGATAAATTGACAAAGTGTATAATTCCAACTGTCCCTTAAATTAATGATAATGAATTTTCATCTATAAAAAGTGATGGCTGACTTCGACGTTATACGAGAGAGCCGTGGCCGATTTTAAAACTTTTTAAAAGACAATTTTTATGTATCACTGTCCTGAATATTTAACAAATATTTTTATGTTATGTAATAACGTAACAGCGTTTGTAAAAATTATTCGTGGTTTGAAAGCCGCGTGCAGTTTTTAATCAGTTCTTTAATAATGCAAGGCATTTTATCATACTTTTATAATATGCCCTTAACGTTTGAAAACTGCGTTTGAATATTTAAAAATAATTACTTCCAAAAAGTTAGTTACCCAAGCAGACAGGAATAAATTAGCTGATTAATTATATGTTGTTGGAGTAGCATTGTGATTCGTATGTTATAATAAATGTGGCGTATTATTATCAATTATTTTAAATTTCCATTGTTTCACGATTTTACTGATATGAACTTCATTTTTCACCAGCTATTTTAATCAAAGCAGAGCAGGGATTACGTAAAATAATACAGATTTCATAAAATTGTCAATAGCAAGCTACCTTTTCTGTATAAGTAGCAGGTTGAGGGTTTGTTTTCATCACGTAAAAGTTGATCAATGCATAGTTCTTGATCAAGTCGTCTGAATCGCCGAACCATTAATAATCCGACACCCTGGACGCAAGCGCAATTAGGATGCAAATTTAATAGAATAAATTATAATGTCACGTGGCAGTAATTATTCCGGGAGTTCAATCTACCAGCTGTCTTACATGTGGTACAGTGCTTTGGCTGTTACGACGGCCTGCCTCTCTGGTCTTGTGGTCAGCTTCATAACAGGTCTAACGCGTGTCTTTCAACCACTTCAATTATAATTCAACTATGTGGTTTATGTTTTTTGTTAATAAAAAAGATTTTTCTACAACAAATAAGCTTGGAGAAATCAATACAGTTATACTTATTTGAACCCCATAACATTAATATTAGTATTACTATTATTATTATTATCATCATCAACATTATTATCACTGGAGACTGAAGTTTTTATAAAGCGCTTTTCTATTGATCCCAAAAGCGCTAACCAGAGTGAGTGACACTAAATGATTTTGGCGAAAGTAGTGAATAAGATTGGTGATATTTGGTGGATAAAAGTATTAAATATATATCTGTATATGTATTATTTATTTATTACTATTCCAGATTTATTTTGAACCAATTTTTGTAAATTTATTTAGGATATACACGACCGTCTGATGTCGATCCAAACCTCCTGAGTCCAATCCTCACGCTCATTTCAAAGCTGTTGCCCGAGAAATTCAGTTTACGACCAGCGACTCAAGTATGTTTAGTTCAAGAATATTCTACACAGTTCATATTCAACATAATATAAAGTAATTGCTATCTAACCCAAGTTGAACGGTTTGTACTTTCTCATTATTAGCCAGACTTCTTTTTTAAAATGATTCGTGTTCTGTAGTTTGTTAGTTTAGCTAAGGTACAAGTTTCATTGTACGCAAGCAGATGCATCGTGTCAGTCAATGTTGAGTTGATGTGTTTTCCTCTTTTAATTCAAAATTTTAATTAGCTTTTGAACAAGCCATTTTGCCCCGGTCCGTCTTAACACCAGCATCCCTAGACGCAGGTCAAGTTTACTTAAATTAAATTATATATTTCCGACCGAAATTTTAATCAACAAAAATATACTAGCACAAGTTTTAACGATATTTCTATCGTCGAAAATCAGCTAAAAACTTTCTTGATACGTAATTCAGGATAAACCATAAAAAGAAGCGCAATCATTTTCAGGACTAATAATAATACTGAGCATGATAAATACTGATATTGTCACAATAAGACTTCAGTAGGCAATTTTTGGTTAGACCATATATTAAGAGTTATTACATTTAATCAATACAACAGGAAAGCTCAAAAGAAATAGTGACTTTGCCGTCAAGAAGATTCGTTGATAAACTGATTGACCGGTGTAGGAGCAACGGCAAGAAATCATTTGATGTTTCCACAGCACATTATAATGGCACTACCAAGAAAAAAATCACTGAAGAAATAATCAGCACTCATTTTTAAACATTAACTACTGAGAGGAACTTATATTGAAATATCATATTTGTATTTATTAATATGCTTGCGAGAATTTTTTAGTTTCCCCACCACGGAATAAAATGTATGTATTTTTATAAAAGCGGATTGCAATTTCATTGAAAACTCATGCAAAAAATTAAGCAGTAAAAATAAGAAACACCCAAAAGAATCAAGAACATGTTTTAACAAATTATCAACTAAAAATTATTTTATTGAGAACAAAACATAGTGACATATTGTTGATTCAAAAAATGAAATGTGTTCTCCAAAATAACAACTACAAATCATTCTTAACGAATAAAAAATGTTAACAACCCTGCATAACTAACACATCATAATGTTGAATAAAACTACCAAAACCTAGTAATGAACTAGATTCATAAAAATCTAAAATATAAAAATATTTTCCTTAGGTAATTCTAAGAAAATATTAGGCTATATTTATTAATACATTCAAAACTATTCTATAATCCGTCAACTTTTTTTCAGTATTAATTTCAGTTCATTTGCAATTTAAATATATTATATTTAATATTGAAAGTGACAAAACGAATTAAAAATAAATTCATTTATATAAAAAAGAATAATTTTAAGTATAAATATATTACGTTCAGCAGATACATTAAACCGATTTAAAAAGATTTGTTTCAGGATACTCTCAACATACAAATAGCGAATTTTCACTTGAAAATAAAATTACTAACACGAAGTGACAAATAAACCAGCAACAAAATTATGTAGTCATGTAATTATTTGAAAGCCTAACAACTTTCTCTGTGCCAAAGAAACTTAACAGATCTCATCTGGAATAAATCAATGAATAACACCTACTAACAATTAAAGAGTCATCAAATTGAAAAGGATGGCTAACCAAATGCATTTTAAATAATATTAACAATGAGAGATAACTGAATTAGCTAGAACATTGAAACTGATAGAATGTTTCCAATTAAATGACATCAGTGAAAGAATCAATGCTAATGATAACTGAACTTTTAGGTAATCCATATTATAATGGAACTTTCCCTTAAGTTAACTTAATATGGCAAAAAATGTTGAAAAATATTTAAGGGCTTGGCTGTATGTTTTAACATAAGTATGTATCCAGATAACGAATAATGTAACATTTTGTTATTATTTCATAAGGTAATATTGTAAGGAGCGATTTAAATAATATAAAGATTATTGTGAAGTGACCTGATGGTCACCCCGATCGCGAGGAGGTGAGACTGACCGAGCCTGTTTTGCTGTTTGCAGGTTCACAATTGTCCTTATGCGAGACAAAGCCCCCTGAATCAAATATTTCAAGGACCATTCATTCAACCAAGCCAGTCTAACATTCAATGTGATCAAACGAATTGGCTACTGGCGGCAATAAATCTTACATTATGAAAATCCGAAACAAACAACAAGGAAGATAAATGAAGAGCAAGAGAGTGTATGAATGTACCTGAGTAGCAGTGAATGTACCGCAGACTTCGACTAATGATTCCTCATCACTAGCTCGAGGATCATCTGTAATTCTAACAATGGCTCCAGTCACCTGTTCAATGTCGCGGGCATTCTTGCCACCTTTTCCAATAATTCGTCCAACAGTACTTTTTGGGATTGTCATTAAAGTCCTCAAGCGAACGTCATCGTTACCGGCAAACCCTTCCATTTTCATTTTCTCAAAAATGAAAAAGCTAGCCTGGCAAAAGTATTATTCCAGAGCATAAGTTTTTAACATATTATTAAATAAATGTTAAAGATTGAAAAAACATAAAATCTCATGACTCTCTTTAATAAACGGTTTTTGGGGTGCCATGTAGAGAACAATATGTAAAAAAAATGAAATGAGCGAACCCTCCAAAATGCATCAGGAGTTCCCTTGATAGTCACACTCCTGTCTGAAGCTGGGTTGGCATCAACATCTTTCTTTGTTTCAATCTAATATACAAAATGGAGTTTTTATAGGATTTGTACAATAGAAAATATTTATCTCGCAAAATAAACTTAAAAACATTTAAATGCCTAAATAGAAATGCATGTTGTCGACGCAAATAAATAGAACGCCGATTTTCACAGCTCCTTTATTTAGCTAAATTTCAATAAATCATTTGATATTAAAATTATAGTAATAGAAGGGTAGGCAATTCACTAGATTCTGACAACTGGCAACCTTTGATGAAACGTATAAATCTACAGGTTTATGTTTAAATTTAAACAAGCCTTCGCCCAAACTCAAATCCTATATGAGAATAACAAGACTGAAAATAATCACATTCACGAAACAAATGTTACAGAGGTGGATTGGGATGCTTGTTATTTGCTACTAACTAAACTGACCAGTTAATACAGGCAGTAGATAAATTGTTTGAACGTATCTATGGACTCGACTGGAGAAATATTTCAACAAGAAGGGAGGTGCGAATTGCCATGACTAACAATTCATTCAACTTTCAATTAAATTTTTTTAGTTAAATTTTCTGCAATCAATTTTCTAACCATTATTTCTATTTTTCGAGGTATAGTTTTTCTACAACAACATTATGACGGATTCACATGCATTTCCTTTTATATTTTTTATTTCTGACTGCAAGTTGTTAGGAGAAACTTCTGATAGAGGCCAATTTTGAGAGTATACTATAAATAATTTGTTACAGAAGAAGAAACGTACAGTAACAAAAGCATTGGAATCTCTGATGATTTGTTTGATGTTTGAGCCTCCTGTGCCGATGATTGCGCCAACCACAGTGTTTGGCACAGTGATGTAATAACAATTTTTTTGGTTGTCCACTCCCGACGACCCTCTGACGCCTGGTCTCTGGCGATCAGCTGGCGAGTATGTTCCTCTGTTTGCCTGCAAAGTAGCATCAACAGCTTACAAAACGTGTCTACGTTGAATTAACATATGCCATTAACTAGTTTTTAAAATCAAACTTTTAAAGAGAACATATTTTTATGACATAAAAGTCTCAGTTGAAAAATTATTGGTAGTCGGTAGTAAAGGATCAATGAAAATTTAACAGAAACCTGGAACATCATTCATATGTAAGAAACAACGTAGGTTCAATGAGGTTAGATTGATGTTTGGAAGAATAACACGAAATGAACTAACCATTCCATTGTATCTTGGAGTGGAGTAACTTCGGCCAGCAGAATATGATGGTCGAGGTGCAACATAGTTATTATACTGCTTGAAAATATAATTTATAATACCTCTTAACAATATTCATAACGTTTCACGGTATTTCAACAACAAAATAAAGGAAAAATTATATAAAAAAGTTTTTCATTTCTACGATCACATATGTCTTTCATAAGGCACATCTCTTAGGGCAGTAACTATTAAAATTTGAAAATCCCCACACCATAGTGATTCAACAAGCACCATCAAAAGAATCTGTGTAATAAAAATAAAGTTTCCAGTTCTGAATACTTGTACAGCTGCCTCTCAACGAGGTTATCATCTTGCCCCTCTAAAATAACAATTTGAGTTGCAAAAATCTATAATATTAGAAAAACCCATCAGCTTCAATTTACATCTAAAACGAGTCCCAGACAATGATTCACCATTATTTACTCACTAATTTTCTAAATGTATGTATCAACATATTATTTTCAGGCTACTCGTGAGGATATTTTTCTTCTTAAAAGTAACATAAAAACATAAGATAAAATATATTTTGCAGGTGGGATTCATAAATCATGGGTTATTATAAGCCTCAGCAACATTCTTATTGGCATTTGTAATTTCTCTCTAAACTTGTCTTTTCAGCTTGTGTTGCAACAAGGCTCTTGAGGCAATAATTAATACATATTTTTAAATGCACGCTATAACTCGTGAGACCAGGTATGTCTAACCATTCCTGTCCCTCTTTGCTGCAGATCTTTCTCCATACATTGGTAGAGAATGGATGATATAGCTTCTTCAGCCCTTGACATGTTATCAACAGTTCCTCTGATGACAATGATACGATCAGGGTAGGTTGACATCATATCGTCGGATCTGTTTGTAACAAATCTTGATCAACTCTCAAATGTTTAAAACTAATACCAAAAAAAGAAAAACTTGCAATAAAGAAAATTTTAATCAAAATGAAGTAAAAAATATTTCTTATTGCAGATAAGCAAATGAAGCCAAATAAAAACAAGACACACCAACCCTGAGACAACAATTTTAGTGTCAGTGTCCTCTCTGATCTTCCTAATGCTCTTGCCTTCTTTGCCAATCACGCGACCACAGTAACGATCATCTGCCAACATCTTTAATACTGCCTCGCTATTTCAATTAAACAATGACACAGACTTCAATATCAATTTCTGCATCTTAGGTGAGAACATAACTTAGTAGGAATATAATGCTTATATAGGCTTAAATGCACCCAACAAAATATATATAATATATGATGGAAATAGATCCAATATACAAACTATAGCAAAATTTGCTTATAAAAGACTCTTTTACAGATTAGAAAATTGAAACAACGTTTCTGAAATTTCAAAGTTAATAATATTAATTAAATTACATTAAACTGCAGAGATTAAGTGAAAAAGCAAACATAAACATGTTTCACTTTTTTTTAATTTTTCATCAATCAGAAATCTAAAAAATTCTCAGAAAAAAAGTTGCACAAACCAAAGTTTTTCAAAAGTTAACTGTGAAGTTATTAAAAAATGAGAAAGAAATGGCAAATAAGATTCGAATGTAAAAACCTTCTATTATTATTAGAAGCCTCTTGTTGCATAATCTTCAATATTTCTTTACAGGCACATGATACTGAACTCAATGACTTGCCAGCAATAAATATTGCCTGAACAAAACAAGTTTAACAATGTTTAACATCAAACTAAAAACTTTCTTTAAATGTAAAAATTCATAGCATAATGCAAATGATGAGGCACCCTGTTTCAATTTCCTGTTAAGTGCTACTTTCTGCAATTTCTTACATTTTCGTAGCAAAATAAATAATTAAAAATACGTTAGAAACTGCCAGCCTTCTATAAGTTAGTTTGATTTAAAAGTGCTGGTTTTCATCCACAGCATACCGACACTACACCATCTTGTCACCTTATTGAAAACTAAATTATATTAAAAATTAAAGTCCCTTGTTAACCTTTTCAATAAAACCCGAGCTATCTTTTCCGTGAACATCAATCCTATATGAAACAACAAAATGAAGCTATATGAATTAATTCATTCAATAAAAAAGCTGTTTTGTTAGAGATTACATTGAGTTAATAAATGACCTAATAAAGAGAATAAACAATAAAACATTAAATGAAACTGACTTGAGCACTTTACTTTCAGATGTTATGTTCTGAATAGTCTGCCCCCTTTTACCAATGATAGCTCCGACATATTCACTTGGAACCAGAAGCCTGTTCCATTTTGAAATTTAAAAAGATATTTACAAGCTTTTAAATATAACCAACAGGTTCAATCAAAACTGAACATTTAATTTATATTCTTTACTGTTCAGTTCTAGACCCTTATTTGTTCTTGCAAAATATGAAAGATAAATCCCAGACTATCAATTCGTCTGGATTTTCATGCCAAGCAACTGAGCTTGAAACGTGTTACACGTCAATAATAAAGAACCACATTTTAATTTGTTGAGCAATTTTCTGTAGTTACGTCAGTGCAGAATGTAATAACCAGCAAAGAGACCACCTGTGAAACCAGCTGTGAGACAACATGCCGATGTTTGACAGTAGCATTTGATACATCTTCAGTTACCAACTATAAACAATGAAGACATTGCATTTTCACTTCAGCAGTTTGCTTGATCTCAAGTTGACAATGAAGTATCAGAATAAAATGTCATGCTGATTAAACTCAAATAATAACATTTCATCAGTCAGTCAGAGAACAAATCCAGATCAGTTGGTTGGAATAATCTAAAACTTCAATTTGGGCTACTGTAATGGTTTAGCTTCTTTTTGCTGATACTTTAAAACTGTTTTCTGAATGATTTGCTTTAAGGGCTCTCAGAACATCAAGACTCTTGTTCAATAGTTTCAATAAAATTTTGAAAACCCATCTTAATTTTGAAGATGCAATATCTTAACCGTTTAATTTCATATGATTTCAGCCATATTTTGACAATATTTTTTTTTATTCAACCTCAAAGAAAAATATCTTGTTTAATGACTGAATTGTATTATACCGCAAGTCTATTGTTTAGTATTTTTAATTCTCGAAATCCATTGTACGATTATGCCTGAAACATGTGTGATCGCATAGGTGTACTCACGCATGTTTTGGGATTATATATCTAAACCACAATATGTAAGCTTTTGTTTATTTTGTACATATGTATATGTTTACATTACGTTTGTTTGTTTATTTATTGGGTATTTATGTACAAACAATTTCGAATGTAACTATGTTCAAAATGATTCTATTCTATTTAACATTCTTGTTAACTTAAAAATTTTCAACTGATCAACAATCAACTGATCAACATATTTGTTAAAATTTTTACTTTTTCTTTTGACATTACATTTACATGTTAATTTGGATTATTTTCTATTAAGGTTACTGTGCACGATGAGTCTCTTAAAGACTCCCTACAGTAGTCCTGTACCTTTATTTTTCTTTGAGGTCGAATAAAAAAATATTGTATTGTATTGTATATTTTGACATCAACTACCTAGTTAGCCTTCTATAAATAAGTGCAAGTAATAATAATAATAATTATACATACTTATAATCATAGAAAAATGCCTTTTCACAACTTCATTTATTGCAGATTTAGACATAATTGTGCTTACCTATGTGCTTAGTTTAAATGTGTTTATACAGTTAGGCTATGAAATTTTGTCAAACTGCTGACAAAAACACTTAGTTAAACTCGTTAAAAACAAAAAAGTGAAAAATTATTTCTGTTGATTACACAATTTTTGATCAAATGTTTGCAACCACATCATGTTCTGATTGAGGTCACATGGTTCCTTTCTAATTACCAAACATTTCCTTGCAAAAAAACTTGTTCCTCTTGGTTATAAAGTCCAAGCACATAAGTAAAATTTGATTCAGAAAAAAAATTTTGACAATGTTTGTTGTGCTTTTACAAAGATGTACAGTTTTCAATAACAAAGAAAATCCCGCATATAAAATATTTTAGTCCCTCTGAGTACACTGAAGGATGCATGTCGTCGTCATCGCATATGATGGTTTGGCCATGTGAAGCAAAGCGGAAACGATACGATAATTTCCGTCACTGAGCACCAGGTGCTTGGCATCCGCCCAAGCATTCGCCCAAATTAGTCCTGGATGCAGACTATACTGGAGGATTGGTCTCTATAGTGTGGCGGTGCAAGGCACTATGGATGGAAGGATTACTTGTAGACCAAGGGGTTGTAGGTTTGGTACCTGGAATGTAGGCACGCTGACAGGAAGGAGTTTGGAAGTGGTGGAGGAGTTGCAGAGGAGAATGGTTGATGTGGCTGCATTACAGGAGATCAGATGGAATGGAGAGGGTACAAGGTTTGTGGGGGCTAAAGGGGGAAAATATAAGTTGTGGTGGAAAGGGGATAATGGTACGGGAGGAGTTGGTGTGAGGGTAAGAGAAGAGTTGGTGGAAAAGGTGTTGAAAGTGAGGCGGAAAAACAATGGTGTAATTGTGGTATTGTGTATAGGATGTAAGAAGTTGGTGCATAAAAGATGTAGTGGTGTGAGGGGGGCACTGAAAAAGGTGGAATGCACGTTCAAATGTAAGAAATGTGTTCATGGTGTGATTAATCGGACAGATGCAAAGACGGGGTTGAGTGGTAATACTAAAAGAGTGGAAAGCTTTGTTTATTTAGGGGTTAAGCTGAACGCAGATGGAGGATGTTTGAGCGCTGTTACGGCTAGAGTTCGTGTGGGGTGGATGAAATTTAGGGAACTGGGTGGGGTATTGTAGAAAAGAAATGGTCAGTGAAGATGAAAGGGAGGGTATATAAAGCATGTGTGAGAGTAGCGATGGTATATGGTGGTAAAACTTGGGTGTTGAGGAGAGAGGAGGAAAGTGTACTGCAGCAGAGGGCTGAAAGAGCTATGGTGAGGATGATGTGTGGGGTTAAAGTGAAGGATAGGAGGAGTAGTACAGAGCTGATGTCAATGATGGGACTGAATGAGGACATTGTGACACTGATAAGGAGATCGAGATTGCGATGGTATGGACATGTGTTGAGAAAGGATGAAAGAGTCGGGATTAGGCGAGCGTTGGAGTTCGAGGTTGAAGGAGTGATAGGAAGGGGTCGTCCGCGATTGAGATGGAGAGAGCAGGTGGAGAAGGACAGGGTGAAAGCGGGGTTGCGTGATACTGAGGCGAGTGACAGATATGAATGACGTCGAGGGGTATTTTGGTTTCATCATAGGTAGCTAAACGCAACCCCCGATCTCGTCTAAACGTGTGTTGTCGTTGTTGGTCTCAAAGAGGTAGATGTAATAGTATGATTGACTTGGCGACAGAAGCTGATGGCTGGAATAAAAAAGTCCAACCCATAATGGATAGAGACTAAAAACGAGGATTGATAAAATATTTTAGTACTTGAGCAGTAAAATAACAGTTACCCAGACTTACAAGCAAAAATAACTTTTCAGTTGGGGTTGCTACACCATAGAAGAATAGTATTATAAGAGTTGCAACAGTATGAAGATTGAGAACTGCTAGTTTAAATAAATATGTAAACCTGAGAATGTATCATATGATACAAGCCATAAAAGGTATATATGTGTGAACCTATAAAAGGTCAAAAAACGTCAGCACCTGAGTATGTAGACACCTTCTGTCTTGGCAGCATCTCCGGCTAACTTGTTGACATGTTTACTAGCGCGACTCTCTCGAATATTCATGAAATCAACCTTTATTTAATTTTGGAAAAAAATTTTAAAATATAATTCCAGTGAAAGAAAATGATCTAATATAACAAACTTGCAACACAGATCCATGATATTCGTAATTGTTTAATTCTTCTAAGGCTCTGAACATTATAAAATTAAAGCATTTTAACACAAATATACAATTAATGATATAAAATGTATTACTTTTGTGCTTCTTCAACTGTATCGTAGACAACAACTAATTGTTTGTCTAAGTTGCTTTTGACTACAAAAAGTACAAAAGGTTACAAAATTGTTATTTAATAATTACCTATCATTAAAATGTTATTTTTATGTACAAAAGCCAAAAATTTAATCAAAGTGAAGGAAAAGAAATCACTCAATTAACCAATATCACATTTTTGAATTTTGCCCTTTGAAGCTAGTAAACTTTTTATGTCTTCTGTGTCCAACTGATCAGGCAGATTGGTGACTTGAATTTTGTTACTCTTCCTAGTTTCAATAAACAGTCATTGAAAAAATATGGTCAATATTCAAACTTAGTAATACAGTCAGTTAAAAACTGATAATCAAATTGAAATATAACAAAAATCAGCTTAAATTTCTATAATTAAAAAATAAAGAAAAATATGCAATAAAATGATTAGCTATTTTTGATTATAGGTCAAGTTGAGGTAAGATAACATTTACTTAATTTTCTCATTATTTATCATTTATAAAAACAGTTTACAGAAAAAAAACTGAAGCAAAGAATGATCAAGTTTAGATTATAAAGTAAAGATAAAAACTCTATATTTAAAATTGCATTATCAATTAATTAAAGATTATTCTGGGATGTGCTGCAAAAAGAATCTTTAAACTTATATAGGTATGTCAGTGAAAAATAGTTACATCTTGTGAGCGGTTAACAAAAAAGCAGAAAAACTAGATATTCAAATTTATGATCATAGAAGACATCTCTCAAGCTATTTGAAACAAAAGCTAAAAAAATTTCCAACCTTTAAAATAATTTTTTTCATAGTTTCTATACTTATTTTTATAAATAAGTAAAAAAATGAATTTGCAAAACTTTTTATTACAGTTTTTACCTTCTTTTGGATACTGTGGAAGGCTCAACTTGCAATTGCAAACCCATGAAAGTAAAACCTTGACAAATTAAAATTTAGTTGTGAAGTCATCATGGTTGTTAGAATGTTTTCAAGTAAATATTCAAAATTAAATTATGATGATGATAATAATACCGTTGAGTTTGTCGATTGTTTTATCAAAAGTGTTCTGGTCCGGACAATCAACGAATCCGTAGCCCTTTTTAATAAGAATGCTGGAAGGCGTCAAGTCGTGGTCACTAAATAACTGCTGCAGGTCTTTCTCAGTAACGTTGTGTTCTAAGTTTCCGAGATAAACTCGGTACATTGTTTTAATTTGGGAAGCCGTTTTGAAAAAGTTTAGGTATTATTATGAAAAATTATTGAGGAATCGGCCTGCGAGGGCACAAATATTTTAATACATTAAAATAACGAAACTTTTTAAATAAAAATCTACGTTACTGGTGAAAATCTAAAAAAGATTCTAAATTGCTTCAAGGTAAATGGGAACTTTTAAGTAAACTGATTTAATACCGTACCGCAATTTTGTGTATATCATTTAAATTATTATATATTCAATGAATTATATTTATTTATTTATTTATTATTATTTTCCTATGAAGAGTTTTTGAAATTTAACCATCAACAAAATGGTTAATTGAAAATTAATATTATGAAAGCATCTCTACCGAACTAAGAAATCGCTTTAAAATTTTTATCAATGAAATTAAAAAACTTAAAATTGGAAAAGCTCAATTAATTAGATATAAAACTGAGTTAGCTAATAAATTAAATGTAATCATAAAATATAACGGTCAAAAAGAAAATCAATATATTTGATTGACCAAATTCATTTTTGGACAGGTTTGGTTTTAAACCGAAAAAATAGGATGATTATGAGAAAAAATTGTTAAAACCTAGCTCAAAAAAGCTAATACGATCAAAAAAACCGTGTACAAAAATTTGATGTCTAATGTACCGGTGAGACACCTGAGACGCCTTCTCCACGTCATTTTGACGTCGCTTAAGTTGGTTATGGATGAAATTTATAAATGTTTAATTTGAAAAAAAATGCCAAAGGTCACTCGTCTTACATTTATAGGAATCAACAAAACGCCACAAACATCGTATACGAATACGTGCTAAACTACGCATCACACACGAAGTATCAATATATGGTAGGCGGGTATCGCTATGTCATATAATCCAGCAGTTCTCAACCTTTTGAGAATCAAGGACCCCTTAAAAATGTGTCTCAACCCACTACTGAAAATTTTGCTACTGGCACACTAGAAAATTATATAAATAAAATTATTATTTCATATGATGACGTAACAGCTACACATAGTATAACATAGTTTTTAGTATAACTATTAGACTTAGAGAACTACAGTTACCACACTTGATTATAAGGTGTATTAAAATTGTTATTAAAAATATTTGCATTTTACACTTTGCACGCGGACCACCAGGCAAATGTGGTCTGGACCACAGGTTGAGAACCGCTGATTTAATCGAATCGAACCCGATCACTGCATTAACTACGAAAGGGCACCAGGCAATTTTAGCCACTAGGCCATCACGCCGCCCGTGTTTCATGGTTCAATTTTGTTTGATTTTTTTAAATATTTTGCTAATTTTGTGACCCACAAATTTGAGGTAGTTGCAACGATGACGGCTGAAATAAATGAACTGAGTTTGCCCGATGTTGAGCTAAACATTTAATCCTAGTTAAAATGTGTAGTTGAAAATATGTGTAATTACATGGATATAGGCAACCAGTTATTGGATGGATGACGAAGAAAGAAGGAAAGTGCAGAGGATTAACACCGTTGAAAGTATTTTGCCGACATGATCAGACGCCACTTCATTTCAATGTATAATCTTTCTCTATGTTGTTGTATATTTTATAACGTTATATATTTAATACATTTTTTTTCATACACAACGCACGTAGCTTTAGCAAAATAAGTTTTAAACCTTCAATTTTGTTTATTAAAGCACGATTATGATATGATGATTTTGTTTGACTTGTAGCCCTCAAGACTAGAGACGTTATTTATTTTTGTTAAATAATTCCTGAATAATTATTAACAAAACTCTTCATTTTATTCCGTTTTATACATTCTTTTCTCTTCCCATGTTACAAATTAAAATTTAATTGATAAATAATAAATTTAAATCGGATTTGCAATACAATATACATTATATATGCGAGCTTATTTTAAGACCAAAGAAAATTAAACCGAAACCAATGCATCTTTGCTGAACGTAAATTTTTATTCGGAGGACTGCGCAGCGTTGCACGTAGACAAATCTCGTCCATGTACAAAGTTAGATCGCTGAATGCATGGTGTAATTTAATTACTTTTACGCCACAATTCGGCGTTTTAATGCTTGATAAAATATCGTAGTTGATGGTAATGTTATTTTAAACGGCAGTTTAGCATATATTTTCATAAAATAAATACAGATTTTGTTCCATATGATTATTGGAGAAAAAAATCTATCTAAAATAGAAAACGTGTTGCTGTTCAGTCGTGAGACCTCTTTCGATTCATCACCTAAATAGAAGATTAAACTTATTTGCAGTTTATTATCTTTAGATTGATTAATTTTGGAATATCATCGAAACGAAGCTTAGTGGAAACCACCGAAAAAGGTTACTTCATAAGCAAGCACGCTCACACAATACGCATGTATTAGCATATGTTGTGTTTATCGGCATAAAATGGTCAAATCGATTTTGAAGTAACCTGTTAAGCAATGTTATATCGTCATTTTATGCTATTTACTTTGACGGAAACATTGCGTGAAACCAACTTTTATGCTGAACTATCAACATTGTGATCATTCTGAATGGCGAGCCTTGAATTGCTTTGACTTTACTCGATTTTGGAATTTGAAAAATAAAAGAGTTTATTCTTTATCTCCCTCTTCTCTTTATTATCATCGTCAACATCTCGAAACCGTGAGTATTAAGATCTGTTTTAAATTTTAAAAAAGGGAGACAAGGCTGACGTAGACGGGATGGAAGATTGTTCCACATTACTAGTAAATAATAGTGGTACATTTGATGTTCAGGATATTTTCGAAAACTAAATAAAATAAATCATGAAATAAAATAATAACCAAATCTTTAATCCGATAAGAACAATATTTTAAAAATATTAAAAAAGTTTGTCAATTATTAACTGATAAACGAAGAACATTAAAATCGCAATAACAAAATTAATTGCTTGAAATACCCAAGTCTAAGATTAATTTGTCATGAACAAAAAAACATGCCAGAGAACATATCTTGTCTTTATAAAGCCACCATCTAAATGTGCTTTTTTTGGACAACTCGTTTAATAGAAGCATCGATATTTTTGAGGCCAGCGTGGTTTTGTTTTATAAATAAATTTTGTTGTTGTGTTGAGGGATGTTTTTGTGTGGAGGAATGTTGTTGTGTTGAGGGATGTTGTTGTGTGGAGGATGCTGTTGTATGGAGGGATGTTGTTGTGTTGAGGGATGTTGTTATGTGGTGGGATGTTGTCGTGTGGAGGATGCTGTTGTATGGAGGGATGTTGTGTTGAGGGATGTTGTTGTGCGGAGGGATGTTGTCGTGTGGAGGGATGTTGTTGTTTGGAGGGATGTTGTTGTGTGGAGGGATGTTGTTGTTGTGTTGTTTAGAAAAATTTTGTACCATCTGTATTATCATTTTCACCAAGCAAATTTCCACTTACACAACGTCAGTGCATATGTGATTATTGCTTCTGATGCTTTGTCAGCTTGTTTACACGCAAACGGGACTGACCTTGTTTTTCATAAAAAAGCATTTTTTTTCAAAAATATCAGAAATAATTATATTAAGTTTTTAAATAATATAATTATTTTTAGATTAGTTTCGAAAATGAATGAATGGTTTTATTAGTTAGGGATAGTTCGAAGAGCAAAGTAACATGTTATTTAAGTCATCCTAGTACATTGATTTTGTAATTAATTTCATTTTCAAAGACAATGTTGTTGGACAACGTGCAGTGGTGTCATTTTGTGTGTAATTGAAAAAAGTTCACCTGAGTATTTTTTGTTCCTTCCATACACGTTATGGCGTGACAAACGTATTCGATGTGATAAAACTACAGAACATGGCGCCCAGAGCTGTTAACTGACTGACGCGTCTGATCGGGATGGAATTTTTTGAATTTTTTTTCTGATGTGTCTGAGCGTTTTTTAAAACTTTAGTTAGGCGTGTTGCAAATTAACAAGTAAACAATATTAATTAAAGTCTATGCCTCTACATCGGCCATTTTCATTTGAACATTCGACAAATATGTGATGAAACGAAACTCAGCACACACACACACACACACACACACACACACACACACACACACACACACACACACACACACACACACACACACACACACACACACACACACACACACACACGCACATACATACCATACGCACACACACACACACAACACACATGCACGCACGCACGCTCATACACACATACACATACATAAAAACAATTATCAGCTATGTGGTCAGGTTCACTAGTAAGTCTAAATAAATAAATTGTTCAAAATTAAACAACATGTCAAGCCACAACCCTCTTCAGCACGTCAAATGAGAATATATATATATATATATATATATATATATATATATATATATATATATATATATATGCAGTAATTTATGAAATATATATATAGAGAGAGAGAGAAAGAGTTTTGTATGAATTCTACCGAATTGTTGGCATTAATCAATTTAAAGTTTGTGTTTTCCATTTTTCTTACTGGAATTTTCTGGAAATTGTTAGATTTGTTAAAAATACAGTTAACCAAGTTCATCATAAAAATTTAACAAAACTGTTGTTACCGAATTCATCAAGCAGATAAGGCCTTATTTCGATTTTTCATAAATCATCATCAGTTCAAGTTTGGAGCAATTTTACTCCGGGTTCCGACTCGCAGAAAAAATTTTCAACTGTTGCTACATAATTTTACTTATTATCACTACTAAATAAAAAATAAGTAAAAAACATTTAATATCGGTCATGTGCTTGCTTTCCTTAGTAAAATTACTTTATATTTATGTTTTAAAACATATTGAAAAAAAGATTTCTATTTTAAATATATTATATGAATAGCTTATTGATATTTGGGTTATCGGAACCAAATGAAAAATATCCGACTCCTGTCCATAAAAAATTCAGATTTTGACTGAACAGTTTTACGGTTAATCACGTGATACTTGAATACAAATTTGGTTTGTGTGTGTATTGTATGCATGCGTAAAAGTGTGCATGTTATGTGTGATTGTGACTCGATAAAGAGTTCACCAAAAAAATGAGAAATGAAGGCGTCATAAGATTTCCAGCATAAATTGAAGCAAGCATAGACACGAAGCAATCCTGACAGTGAAGTCTTGCCCAGGCGAGGAGGAGGCATTGCAGCGTGCCATGCACCACATACTTACGTACAAACGCATATCAACCGTCTAAATACATAATGCTGAATATTGGCGTTCAATAGCAGGAAAATTATTGTAGGCTAGAAATGTATATGTTTCTCCGGCCATGCAATTACAACAAACACGGTCAGTGCTATTCTCAATATTTGACGGTCACTTGCCACAAACTATCTGTTATTCAACGCTTTTGCTGGTCAAGCAAGGCATGACGAAAATTACTTTACAACGTTTTAATATTTTTGATGAACATAGTTGATAATAATTGTTAGTAATGGAACTTTCATACTATGATTGAATCGGTGTGAATATAACTAATGCTTGCATCTTCACATACCACATACCTTTAAATTGATGTGCGTCTAAAGTTGATATGAAAAATCTCGTTGATTCATCCGAATGACATCGTTCGACACAATGTCATTTATTTATAACTCACAACAGTGACGCAACTCATCTCAACAACAAAATTTTTTGAGTCCAGTATTATTTTTTCGTCATCCATATAAATGTACGTGTCTAAAAATTACTTTTAATCCAGCGATAAACGTCATTCCGCTGCAATTATATTTACACATCCATCCTAAAACGTATTACCCTGTGATGGTGCTGTTGAATATACAGCGATGGTGATGGTCATGATATGATGATGATAATATAATGATGGTAGAATGATGATAATTTTATTATTATTATTATTATTATATAAACATTTATATAGATTGCATAAACATTTATATAAAGCTTTTTCTAAACAAATTGCTCAAAAGCGCCCCCATAAAAAGAACAAACAACAAATATACCTAAATAAATAAATACACAAGCCAGGCAAACTACAATGTCAATCCAATTTAAATCCAAAAAAAAATATTAAAAAAAGTTAAGCGTTCGAAGTAGTTGCTGGCTTCATATCGCTTGATTGTATCATATAATTATGTTAGTAGCCTACTTATCAATGATCGAATCCTATCGTTGTCTGACCCGCATATGTTCCGGCCAGAAATTCTCCCTGCTGACCAAATCTGAAAACTTGGCATCAACACAGTGTCGGAATGAGGTCGGCGATTGCGAATCATCGGGTCTGTCTCCATTGTTGTCCTTTTTCAATGTGGGATAGCATGATATCGCGTCAACTTTGATAAACCCGAGATGATCAACCACATCAGATGCCCCTTATTTTGCCGCATTACTAACGTGAAATATTTTCTTCCGAGAAAAAATTTTATCGGTAGAGATCTTAGATTCATTCGCTTCACGAGAGCCAACTACATACAATTACATATTTAGACATAGCGTTTCTTAGTTCGAATACTCCTTTTTTTACTTTCGACCAAAATAAAATTACCAGATTTCAACTCAGCATTCATTTTTGTCAAAGATTTATTTGAATCATTAGTGCGGACATCACTAATTTTTTATGTTCTGTACCCAGGCAATCTTGTTTTCATTCGAAGTATTTAAAACAGCAGCCGTTCTCAAGTTTTTCGCGCCATAACTACTGAGCCTATCAGACAACTGTTGAACATCTTCTTGAATATCATTAAGCAGATTTCTATGGCGGTCCAGTAGTTTAACAACGACCGGTTTCACTTCTCAAAATCTTTTCCTTTCGTATCATAAAAATATCTCTCACAATTACATATTTTCGATACATTTGAAGTCACAAAAGTTGGAAACATTGTTATCCTGTTTAACATCAGCAATAAACTCGGAAAACTGCTTTCTTTTGTCACCATTGTTTGAAAATTCAGGCTAATTAAAAGATATTTTTCAGCCTCTTGTTGTAAAATATCTCGACTCATAACGACATCATCAACTCGAAAAAACACTTCACTAACGAATGTTTCAATTCAGTTGCTGTAAAATTCATACTACAGTTCCGAATATAACGTAACAACTCGTTCAAAATTAGTTTTCAGGCCATCTTGAAATACACACACACACACACACACACACACACACACACACACACACACACACACACACACACACACACACACACACATATATATATATATATATATATATATATATATATATATATATATATTATATATATATATATATATATATATATGATGACAATGATAATGTGATAATGATATTATGATGATGATGATGATGATGATGATAATGACTTGATGGTGAACATGATTTTAAGGTCAGTCATGGAGTTATGAAAAAAGCTGGCAGTTTGTAGCACAAATGATATCATTCGTTATGTTCGCTCAATCTACTTATCTTCAGTATGCGTTAATTATGAAATGTTATTCTTCAATAATTTAGAAAATGATTCATAAATAAATAATTTTTCTTTCTCTACGATTTCCAAAAACTAAATCGACATAATATTAAAGGTAGCATGAAGAGCGTATTCTCCACGAACTCCACAATTAATGTATGTAGTTGCGATGTAAACGATGTCCTTACTTTTATTTAAATCTTTAAGATTAGGCTTCGTATGTTGGTGCATTGCACGGGATGCATGCATCGCTTGTGCAATGTGCAACAACCCTCGCTTCGAAAGTTGAGACATTTTTTGAGATGAGATACATGGCGTTAAATAAATTTAAGCAATTTGTTACCGCTAAGCAATAAATTGGACTCCTTTTTTTTCAATACTTCGCTTTCTTACAAGCACCAAAGACGATACTTGAAAAATTTGAAAACAATAAATTTGTTTGAAAAAGCTGTTTAAACAACTTTGAAAATATTGAGTATTGGTTGGCAAAATTTTTTATTAAATTTAGATATGAATGTCATATCATGAAGCTGAACTGGGCAAACTTTCAAACTAACTTTTTCACATAAACTTTCATTTAACGCCGATGTTTTCCTATTTTAACAACGAAACCAAACAATTTTCAAAAGAAATTGTCAGAAATTAAAAAAGAAATTAATTCATTTAAAAGTATGAATTAATTTATAAATCGTTTACTGGACCAAAAACTCAAATAAGTAAACAAAATATGAAAATAAACTCTTTCATTATATTAAAATTTGAACATTAACAAAAAATTTGTTGATTGATAAAGTACAATTTCAGGCATCACCACGTTTCCCATCAATTACGATGACGAATCTTGTGTCATTTTCACAGCAACCGCGAAGCTCGACTGTGAAAACAACTTTTATTTTTAAACACATGTCGATAAGTTATATTTCGAAAGAAGACAAAGTTTAGCGCTGCACTGGTGGTTCCGTTTTGTAATAACCTTCGAAGAAGTTCTTTGGTTGCCAAAATTTCTGTTCCCAACTCTTAATTTTATATTTTTTATTTGTAGCTTAAATGCTGGGACACTCATTTAGGACTTTGAGCCATTCTCAAAGATTCCTTTAATAATGACTATGACTACATGAAAACACCGACTAGCTTAGAGCAAACATCTGACAGACCCGGTAGGCCTGCTACGATCGGCGGAGCACATCTGATGAGGCGAACCGAACATCATCATTAATACGATACTTTACATATTTTTAAATGAAGCATCGTTCCAACCTACTGTTAACGTGATTGACATTTAATACGCTGATTTGTATCTGAAACCAATTTATTATGATAAGCATTCCTATGCAGAGCATTGTGCATTATAACTAAAGCGTGCTCGTGTACGAAGACAAACACCCAGCCCCATTCATTCTCCAACTTAATGCATGCAACTGCACTAACATCGTTAATTAAAAATATCTCAGCAGCCTAGTTGTTTATACGTTCCTAATTTATGCAAACAAAAACACGATAATGCGCCCATAAATAACTGTTACATGCAGCGGAGTATCTCGGGGGGAACGCCCACTCGCATGTAAGCGAGTGTCACGCAGTCGTCCACGTCTATGTTAACACTGTAACAATTGAGGGAAATCAAGATACAATTGATAGTTATATATATATATAAATGTATGTATGTATATATATATATATATATTTATATATTTATATTTATATATATATATGTGTGTGTGTTTGTTTGTGTGTTTGTGTGTGTGTGTGTGAGAGAGAGAGGGTGAGCGTGCGTGTGTGTGTGTTATGTATGATACTAAAAAAATCCATGCAACGGCAAATGAGCTTCTTTTTCTATCATCTTTCTTTCTCTTTGCCACATGCAAACACACGCGCGCACACACGCACACAATCTCAAACCCACACTCATAAAGATATAACATACATATTGATTACAATTATTCTTTTATGCACTGCATACATTGCTAAAAGTCACGAAAAAATCAATCGATAACAAAACATCAAGATTTTCGAATCAACTTGTCTGCTATTGTTATTTTTTAGTTTAAATTAATAATGAATAACATTTTTTGAAAATTTAATATATATATGTAATACATATATATATATAATAATAATAAATATTATATATGTATATGTATATATATATATATATATATATATATATATATTCAGTGGCGAATCTAGGGCCCCCCGTTGTTCAGCGTTAAGTCAAAGTCGTTTTTAACGAAGAAATTTGTGGATTTGAAGGGAAAATTGACATTATAAGCCCATTGGCAAAAAAGTTACCCCCCCCAGATCATTGACTTTTTTTGGAAATCTTACACTAAACAAAACATGACGAATTATTTTTCTTGCATGAATTATTATTTTAGACTTGTCAAACTGTTGAACTTTTTCCTATTTTGCTCGACACTTTGCTATTTTTCCAGCTATAATCTTTTCAAATAATTTACTTCTTTGATTGTAGTTCGCAGTTAGAGAGTTTCGCAAATATCAAAAATTTGTCATCTAAATCGAAATTTGACAATGTTGGCAAGTTCCTTAAACTTAACGCCCGCGAATTTTTCAGTTGAATTGACCGTAATTTGACTTTTCGCATGCTTACCCTAAATTTTGAAATGTTTAGTTAACACGTTCACTAAGTCTTTATCTAAATATTTCTAATTAAACTTTATAAAACATAAAGCCTCGTTAATCAAATTGTATATACAAGTATGTTTATGTATTGACTATTTTCAACTGCTTATAAAGCTCACGATGAAGTCAACGCATTTGCGCAGCGGTGCTTCAGATTCAAAAGCTCTCGAAAATCTCCTGAACTTTCCGCTATGATTTTGACTTTAGAACAAACTGAGAACTTTTTCATTGTCGTTAGGATGTCAGGATTGGTTAAGTCGTGCTCAACTACTGTTTTTACTTAGATATCCTTTCTGAGATCACACAAACAAACACACACGCGCACGCACGCATACATCTATACATACGTGACATATAAATAGATCGTGACGTCGTTCTGAAAATTTTTGTGTGTTACGCTCGACGGAGCGTGTGTCATGCATTTTCCTTCTTGTCTGCTGGAGAAAGGAAGAGAGTAAGTCATTGAACATATATAAGAAATTGTAAAAACTCTTTAATTAAAAGCGAACAAAATTTTTTGACGTTCGAAAATGCACGACTATGTACTCTGCTACAAGGTGGGTATAAATATAAAGAGCTGTGTCGATCGCGAGCTTACACCGAAAATGAGAGATTGTGTTTTTTAGTTTTTTAGACTGAAGTTTTCGGCATTTTTGGTCAAAATTTGTTATTTCATTTTAATCTTTTAATAATTTATTTATTGTTTTGACTACTTTGCAAAAGTCATTAGACGTTGTTGATAATATTGATAAGACTAAATCAGCAAGAACGTAATGAAGAGTAACGTGAGCAGCTTACTTATTTCCCAAACAACAAACCGCAATCTGCCATCAAACACCGCCAACACTTTAAACTCTCTTCAATACAACTGCAGCGACTACGAAACATCGACCGCGAGAAATACCACTGACTCAGAGGATGATTTCGGGAAGGTAGTCGGTGTATGGTTCAATGGGTGTATATGTATCGTCGGGTCTATTGGCAACCTCATATCATTCGTAGCCCTCACAAATACCTACAGAACGCATTCTCCAAACCTCGTCTATGCTCTCAAGTGGTTGTCTATTACCGATTCCATGTTTCTCACGGTTGCTTTCATCATGTTGACGCTTGTAAACGTGGAATGGTTTGAAACATTGGCAGAATCTCGAGACGCCATCCAAAAGTACGTGTGGCCGGTTTTGCTGATGCTGCAGATGATGTCCGTCTGGTTGACTGTTCTGATATCCTGGGAGAGATATATCGCCATCTGCAAACCACTTCAGGTTAGCTAGTTGATGTTTTACACAAATATTCACAATTTTTAATTTTGTTTGAAAATATACAAATAAAAATATAAATATATAAATACAAATTTACAAATATAAATATGTAAAAAAGAGATTACATTGCTTTGGAATTAAAACCATTCAAGTTTTTTGATTAATTTATAATTAAGATACTAAATAACAATGTTAAGCTATATGGCCGAGTTTAAATATTTGTTCAACTTGTTAAAAATTCTTGTTGATGGTCTTGCTTATTTTTAAATCTACATTTTGCTAATAAAACAAATTTTATTTTCGTTTTCTCAACACAATTTGTCAAATTATAAATCTAGAAATGAAAGATATCACTCTTCATTCTCAGCGTCTTAATTCTCCATAAAGGTTGAAGCTTTGTTCATCCGTCAATTCAAAATGTTGTACGTTGTTGTGCTGTTGCTCATTTTAATTGTCTTTTTTTCAACGTTTTAATGCTGAAATTTAGGTTTTAACATTAAAATTTTTTCAAAAATGATAATAAAATTTCGTCAGGGTTTTAACTTGACTTAATTTATGCTCTTGTTATTACAAATATTATGTGAGTTATAAAAACATCTGTCGTGTCGTCAATACTTGTTACATTGTAACTTATTTTCCATTTATTTTAAATTATAAAAGTGTATAATTTTGAAAGACACTAATCAAATTGAACAAATTTGTTATTTTGTTCTTTTGCGGCCATACAAAATGCTTGCTGCCAAACACTGAACAAATAACTAGGACATTATAAAACCTTAGAGAAGAAGACCACGACAAAAAACTTTAAATAAAAAGCGTTAAGGCAATGTTTGACGCCATCAAATAAACAAATACTCCCATAAAAAAAACCCTATATTGATTGTCTGGATTGTTTGGTTAAATATTTGTTTGTTCCATCCTCACATTCAAAACAGTCGATAAATCTCTCTCCCGCTTCTCTGAAGATTGCAAATTTTTACGGTTCATTAGCTCAATAGAATGTGACTGAATAAATAAATAAATAAATAATAAAATGAATGAATGAATGAATAAATGTGAATGAATGAATGAATGAATGAATGAATGTGAATGAATGAATGAATGAATGAATGAATGAATGAATGAATGAATGAATGAATTTAGTTTGAATAAAATAAATAAACAGATAAATAAATAATAAAAATGAATGACGATGGCCTATTGGCAGAATTGGCAAAAGAACTTCAGCTGCTTCTAGCTTTCTATATTTCTCGTGGCGTCATTAGAATGAAATAAATTAAGGTCAAAAACATTTTAAAAAAGCACTTTAATTTTGTTAATTTATTTTTAACGTTTCTTTTCAATCCAGTGCCTTAAATCGCATTGGTCGGTTAAACAAATAAACAATTCAAACAAAACATACCGTGTTTCCATGGCGTGTCATTTACACGCATTTTACAGTACATTAAAACGTAATAATATACATGATTTATAATATGATAGGAAATTTAATACAGTTTAGTATATGTGAATTTTTTTTCATCAGCCACTCTCGATCCATGCCATATAAACTTGGAACATTTCATTAGAATCTGTTTGCTGGTGTAGAGTCCATAGCTTTTATATTTAAAATTTTAAATATAAAAATTGTCTTAATAGTTATTAAATAGCGGACAGGGATAGCGAGCTAAGTGAAAGAGTTTAAATTAAACAAAGTTTGATCACTTTTGCACTGATTTCAGAATTTAATGCGTGAAATCAGAAAGACAAGAAAAAATATTTTTGGAGAGGTAGTACACGTCGGTTATAATTAGTTAAAATCTTTATCAGTTTTATGATGTCGGCAACAAATTTGAAATATCACCAACACTTCAAGTTGGATTGAAAAGAAAAATGCATGAAATCTTTTTCAAACCTTAAAGACAAAAATTTAAAGAATGTTTTTCTCGCCAACGTGAAATTTTTCGTCCCGCACGATATTTGTCTTATAATTTCTGTATGAAGTTTTCTACACAATGGATCTAATCTTTCGACGAAATAAACTTCAAAATTTAAAGCAGCAAAATTCCTGCCTGCATCGAACTATAATCAGTTCAAATTTTAAAATTTAGTATAATATACAGATGATTTTATTTTAAAAGCAAAAAACTGCATGTTCAGATTGAAAGCAAATATCTGATGGTTCTGTGTTTTTTAATGATGAATTCGCTGCGGTCTGCATTGTCGTCCTCAAGACGTCAGACTGGCTGTGCTCTGTGCAATGTGCCCGTGAACGAACGCAGACAGAAAAAACGAAGTCGTTTTTTCATTTCCCGACTTAATTTCTTTTTTTCAAACTTGTTTTTAGAAGCTATTTTTTATTACAATAAAGTTACAGAAAATAAATGATAAGAAATTCAATGACATAACTTTGCTGAGCTGAACAAAATTGAAAAAAATTCTACTACGTTCTTTAAATAAAAGTCTACTGATGGAGGCAATTCTCTAAGAAAGATGATGTTTTACATTTTTTGATAAAGATGTTCTTGGGTTTAGGCATTTTATAGAATTACTTCTTTTTCTTTATTCAATTCTGTCATTGCTTTGTAGTGTAACAAAATTAAAAAGAAAAACTTTTGTGTTGTGATGTTTGCACATGTAAATGAGTGGTGATGTTGTCAATGAGTTTGACAAAATTAAAGGTATGTGTATGTTGTACTGTTGTTGCATACGCATGTGTATGTTGTAATGTTGTTGCATAGATATGAGTATGTTGTAATGTTGTTGCATACGCATGGGTATGTTGTAATGTTGTTGCATAGATATGAGTATGTTGTAATGTTGTTGCATACGCATGGGTATGTTGTAATGTTGTTGCATAGATATGAGTATGTTGTAATGTTGTTGCATAGATATGAGTATGTTATAATATTGTTGCATATGCATGTGTATGTTGTAATGTTGTTGATGCAGCTTGGACGCAAACACGAAATTATGATTGAATTTTGAATGTGGTTGTTCGTAGCGGCGTTCGTGGCTAATGCACATACAGATGGGCAGACAGAACGGTTTTGACGAGTTGTCCTATTAAGAGGATACACTTCACGTAACGAAAAAAATGTTAATTTGATAGTGCATTGTTTGGAAATTTCATTAGAAATAATCACAATTTATAACCAACCAATAAATGAATGAATATAGTGAATGAATAAACAAAGGAATAAATAAATTTTTGCGTATTATTACAACATTGTAAGCAATTGGTTGCTTCATCTTTGTGAAAGTGATAGTAGGATGTATAACCAATATAACTAAAACATTTCGAATCATCTGTAACCGGCTTGTAATCATATCACTGATGCATCCTTCATACAATCATTTTAATCTCACGGCACAAATGCTGCACCTGATGAACAGGGACAACTCGAAGATGACATTTTTGTATGCATTTTTTATAACTGCATGCAACAAACATGCCGAAAATAAAGTTAGTGCGAGATTGTCAATATAAATTTCTTTAAAAGCACTCAATTTTTGTATTCTTCAAGCTGATTTATTTTTTCAAATATGAAACAAATAATATTGTCAGTGAAAATAAGTTGAATGTTCTTCATAGATATGTTGGTCGTGAGATGGTTTAGAAACTTTAAAAACTTGAAAATTTTTAACCAATAAATAAACTGTAAAATTTATTTGAAATTGTTTTTTAAACAATTAACAAATTGAAAAATTATGAAAAAAAAATTAAAAAAAACATTGATTTTTTAAAATTTATTTCTTACAGATCAACTCAGTGTGCACAAGAAGTCGAATGCGAAAAATGATAATCAGCCTACTCTTATCATGCATCGTTTTCAATGTTCCGAGGTTTTTGGAGTACACTGAAAAAATGGAAAAATCAGAAGTTGGAGAGAATTATTATTACAGAATCTTATACTCTGGCCTGTTGTATGCCTGCTTATTATTTCTAGCACCTCTCTCACTTCTCTTTTATTTGAACGTCAATCTCGTTCTCGTCCTGAGAGCGAATCGTCGAAATTGGGAAGAATTCAAGAAGACGCAGCAGCGCAGAGAGCAATTTCTCACTAAAGTACCTTTAACAATCGTATTCATCTTCTTCTTCTGCGGTACTCCGTCCGTGCTCATAAACATCACCGATTCAGTTGATCCCGAGATTTACAGTGTGGCATGTCTGGTCCTCGCCAATTCTCTCCTGCTTATCAATTCGGCATCTAATTTTATTATCTACTGCATGCTTGGTAAGAAGTTTAGAGGTGAGTTTTTGAAGTTGCTCTACTGCAGATGTCTCACCACAAAGTCGCCGGCTATTTACAGATTTGCTTCGGAATACAAAACTGATTTGAAATAAATATTATTTTGTTTCCATTACATCAGAAACATTTCAAAAACTAACTCTTCATTTATGAACCTATCATATTTTTTACAAATAGTGTATTTGTTGTTTTGTATCGTTTGTAATGGTTGCAAAATGATTGTTCATAAATATTTATTTTTAAATATTATTCACTTAGACAAGTTTTTAGTTTTGGGGACGAATTTTGGTTCTATGATTTGAAATAATAATAATATATCATCAATATCAAAATAAACACTCTGATTGTTTATGCTTATCTGACATGCCTACATTAATATTAATTTCTGATTCCATCTATCCAAACATGGCCACAAAATTTAAATTTATAACGTTATTGTAAATATTGTTATATCGGCCGGAATGGTCGACATTAGTTATTATCAATTAATTATTGTTATCTTGTTATATTTGTTATCTTCGCTATTTGTCATTGATTGTAAACCCTTGAATTTTTCCATACCATGCATAGAAGATTGTAAAAATCTAGTGTAGAGGTTAGGAGGAGGTTAGCAGCGAAGTTTGAAGAGCAGTCGTAAATGTGATTTATGTAGTAAGGTAGATTAGTTTGGTGTTTCTATTACTGTTGATATTCAAATAAACGTTCAACCAAGTTTACGTTTGAAACAGTTAGGTTCCTTTATCTGGAATCTTTAACCTACGGAATAATGACGATTGTTGGAAGCTACAACACTGGTGTTGGATATAAAGAGATCTTTTAAGTTATAACATTGGTGTGTTTATAACAATAACAATATATATATTTAAAAACAATATATTTCAAAATGCTGAGTAACTTTACTTTTAACGTTTTCAAAAGATTTTGCTCACCAGCAACAGTTTTTTTTGTAACTGAAAACTGCGAACAGGATCAACAAATTTTTTAAATTATTTTATTCTGCTCAACATTGTTGAAAATTAACTTTTTATTTTAATTTTTTTTTATCAAAACATTAACTGTCATAATTGTCGTGTAATTTGAACTGAACACCTGAGCAGTTTTTTTTCAAAATTTTTTTACAAAATTTTAAATTTTCATAACAAGCAGCAACGCGGTCACACTGAAAGTACGAATCAAATTAACCCCGTTTGCGATTTTTTTTATCTTGCTTCGGTGACGATCCAATGTATTACAAAAACATTTAAAACAACACAATTTAAATGTTGAGCGCATAATTGATTGGGAGTGATGACTCACATTTTATTTGCTCATGGAAGTTTCATTGTTTAAAAATATTCTAGAAATAGTTTTGTCTTAAATACGTTTTGATATTCACATTGTCGAACAATTAGAAGAAACTTGCTACTTGTTTTTGTATATTACCCTATACGAACTTGAAAAAATATTCTGGACAATCATTTCAGTGTGGTTTACTTCAAGATTTAACGTCTAGCAATATTACAAAACGTCACATATTCTCTATACAAAACCTCTCAATGGATGTTTAAATATTTTCTGATAAACTACTTGATCTGTTGAAAATAAAATACATTCAAGGTGTTTGTTAGTTTGTGCTCATTGAGTTTTGACAAACTTCATTTAAAAAAAATTAATAAAGGGATCATGATGACAAGACACAAATACATTTATACATCATTTCTTCATAACAAACAACAAAGATTAAGAAAATTATGGAAAAAATAATAAAAACACTTCATGAACATTTTTTTTAAGTTTTGAACTGCCAGCAGTAATAAAATTTATTAATATTTATTTTCAAAGATCTTAATAAATCTGATTTCATTGAAATCTACTTCATCTTATTTTGCTTCATATTAAATTAAATATAAGAACTTTTTTTTCGAAAAAAATACGAATGTATTGGCTTCCATGTCATTTCATCTTAGTTGCTATGGCAATCGCATTTGTACCTTGTTTATGCCGGCACGTAAATGTAAAAATGATCATCTAAATTCGGCCTATGACAATTTGCAGTGCATCAATGCTGTTAACTGAACTGCCTGCAGACCAACCGTTATTAAAGACGAAGCCATTAAAAACGCTAGATGATGAATTGATGAAATGATATTTTTGAAAATATAAATAAATAATAAATACTCAAATAGAAACAAAAATATTAAATAAAATTCCACCCATACACGTTGTAGCATGTAGAACACATATTATAATGAAGGAAATAGAATTTTTATAGTGAAAACATTTCCTCGGAGAGGGAGTTTGATTTAAATCAGAGGAAGAGAAATATTTGTAATGTTTAAAAGTAGCAATTATTTTGACGTGGAAGCCTCGTGGCGTCTTCAAAACAGGGAGCAGTTGGATAATCCCATCTACCGATACATCAATCTCCAGAAGGAAGGAAGACTCGCTGACGCCTTCAACAGGTCTCCCTTTGAAAATTTTTAAAACTTTAATGAAAAGTTTTTCAATCTGATGTTATTTAATCGAAATTTTCGTGTCTGGTTTTGCCAATTCAACAAAAAACATTGCGTTATTGAAGCCCATTTTAAATGTTCCAAATATATGGCACATTAAATTAAGAGTCATTAATATCCGTTATTTGTTTAATTATTTCTATTTTAGATATTATTTACTTTTTTTAAATTTAGTTTATTTTCATTAAAAAAATTAACTCAATAACTGAACACATTGCTACACATATTTATACCTCGTTCCCACACTCATTATTATAACGTTTATTTCCTTCGTTCCATTATATTTCACCTGTATTTTTTATTTAATTTAACATGCATGTTATTGAAAGCAGTAACGAACCGAATGTGGAAGGAGGGTGCTCCTCTATAACTTGTCAGCAGTCTTTCTAATCCACTTTTACAAAACTACATGAAAACAACTGTAAGCTATACGCAGTTGATACCATGTATACAACAATTTAAATAAATTAACTGAACAATCTGAAGTAACAGTATTTTCCAACGAAAATAATTTTTGTGGTTTTGCGATTTTGTGCGATTCCATTAGAAATGTTATTATAAAAAAAATTTTTGAAATAAATTATCCAAAAATTTTAAAATTAAATGCGTTTTTACACCCATTTTTTTTTACTCTACGACCCAGTGCCCAAGGCGGCCACCCCTCTGCCCCTCCCTCGGTGCGCCACTGCTTGTAACAGTCTGTGACAGTCTGTTTTTTTATAGAATAAAATAGTTGTTTGCTGTTAATTTGATGTTCATGCATTTTCAGTTAAAAGTTGTGACATGAAATCAGTTTTAATCCTATAATCCTCTCACAATTTTTTTATTTTTCACTAACATAGAGCTCAATTTTTTGCCCAGTTTTTATCCTAAAGCAAACTTTTAACACGAATTTTGTGAAAACATACTTTTGAAATACATGAGCCAGATGTGATTAATTGCATGGGTTTTATTTTGATATAAATTATGGTAGATGAGTGTGCTGACGAAATGCTTGCTAACAGGTGTGGTGTAGAGGGTCTTGAGCAGCTGGTTCGTGACGAGTTGCCAAACTTCATGTACAACGCAGGAGCCGGGGCCGTGATAACGAAGAACGAATATTTAGACTGGGTCAACGTTATTGAGTCGAAGATGCAGGTTGCCTTCAGCCTGTTTCATATTTCAATTATTAGATTTAAATTGCATTTAAAATATTGTAAAAGTGACATATAAGTAACTTTGAATGGTGATTCAAGAAAATTCTGACAAAACTATTTTGGGTGCTAGGAAATATATATTCAAATTCCGTTTCTCGTTGACAATGTATTAATACATGTAGTCAATTTTTCGTCCAAATGATGAATGGTGGGTTTTTAAATCATAATAATACGTGACACTGACAACCTGATAAGAGTTATTTATCGGAATTTCTATTTTTCAATCGTTTAAAATTCATCTTTTTATTTCCTGTTATTTAAAAATCGTTCATTTTTCATTGTTTAGCAAAAAGCGTTTTGTTTCAAGATGACCCCCTCAATTGCACGGCAGTGATGAGCGGACGTAGCACGCACTCGACGATTTCAAGATAAGAATATTTGTTTAAGCTACCTACCGAGTGCGTGGCGAGTTTCCATGGCAGCGCTTATATACATCCGACATGAAAATCAGATGACAACGTACGATCATAATTCTGTGAAATGAGACGATTTTATGTTCGTTACATCAGAGGCAGCGTTCAACGTTGTACGACTGAAGATGTGCAGTGTACATATACATGTGTGAGTTACCTTTATTAGGTCATGCAGGGAACACTCAACATTGAAATATATTAATGTTTTAAAACGTATCAATAATAATAATAAGAAGAAGAATAATAAAAAATTTGTGAAGCGCCTTACGCATCGCCACTTCAGAGCCTACGTAAAAAAAAATTACTAACTTTATTCAAAAGAAAAAATAAAATAAATTGTGACAATTCAAGAGGCAACCTATTTTAAACATTTGGAGCAGCTGAATGAACATAGTGAATCAATAATAACTGTCTAATTTCTTTATTAAAAACTAAAAAATTATTTATTAATTTTTATCTTAGGAGGTTTAGGTTCATCTCATATTTTTTAGGTCTGTGTGAATTATACTAGGCTGAATAAGTTTAATTCTAACTAAAGTAATATTTAACGTTGGCTAATGTTTTGTTTGCAACTTTATTTCGAAAGACTTTAAAATAAGATCTGACTACAACTGATAAATTTGCGCGAGTGTTAATTTGTCAGACTGTCATTGTTTCAGCCAACTGGTAACTGTTGCTCCAAATTAAATTGCAGTCAGTGCAGTAAATATGGCTATGTGAAACTAAAAAAAAAATGTTGTTTTCAAGAATCTCATATTTGCCATCGCTTAGTTGACGCCATTCCCACCACATACAAGAACACCTCAAATATTAGTCGACACAATGAACCAAATTAATGCTAAGTTAGATCGGGCGCTCTAACCACTGAACCGTTGTGTTGCCTTATATTTCTATTTCTAGAAGCAGAAAAGTTTAATAAATTTAAAGCGAAAAAAACAGGACAGCAAACAAAATTTTTTAAAAATTTTAAAAATTACTATAAAAATTAATTACTTTATCAAATTAAAATATTTTATTTCTGGTCGTAAAACTGATCAGTTTTAAATAATTAAATATTTAATTAAAATTAAATTAAATTAAATTAAATATTTATTAAAATATTTTACTTTTGTTCAAAATATAAATAGAACAAACCGTCGAAGAAGGAGAAAACGGGGCAATCATTCAGATCACTAAAGAGCGGTTTGTCCATTTCAAGAAAATTCAAAAGAAATCACTTGGACAGAGTTGGACCTCTGAATGTTGAACATTTAACTAACAATGATGGCAGTTTATGGATCGATTCAAATCTTTCTAACAATTATTATTTTTTCGAATCGACAGGCAACGTTGAACAAAACAATAGCTGTAATGCCGTCACGGAACTATACAAGTTCACGCAAAGTGAAGAGACTTGCAATGTCGTCAATAAACTTCGAAGCAAACACAAGCATGATGAATTAAGCATTGACAATTTCATTAGCAATGGCATTAGAAACCATGTTAAACTAAATAATAACATCGGCATTCTCAACAATAGTGATGACAAAAATGATTGCGACACTGTGCCAGTTAAGCCTTTTGTAAAAATGTTCAAGGAGCACGAAGGATGCTGGCAGTTGAGGAAGAGAGGCAGCGTGGGAGAAAGCATCATCCATCTAGCCGTTTTGTACTCCAAGTCTTCACACATCTACAAAGAAATCACAAAAGTTCTTCTCAACATTTTTCCCAAACTGGCTCTCGATTTGTACGAAGGAGAAGAATATTACGGTATGTCGTCTCAAACTTCTTCACTAAAATTGTTTCCAAAACATAAAAACATAATTTTTCATCAAACTCATAATCAAACATTAATTATTTCTTTTTCATTGCTTTATGCTAGTTATACAATCCATTAAACTAATGAGTTTGTAACTAGTACTCCAACGACAAAATATAATGTTGGTGATGGCGTGTGGCCCATTGCATGTCAAATTAATTTATGCTTGCATATGCTTGGTGAAACTTTATTTTCTTTTATAAAACGTTTTTATTGGAAAAATAAACAATATTAATTATTATAACATAAGGTTAAATTATTTTTCAAGGCATGCAAAATTTCATAAAAATAGCTAAACCAGACGCGCTTCTTTTTTAGAATAGCAAAAATGTGTCAATTAGGTTAAATGTTTGTGCACAATAAACTGGAATTATTGCTTTGTAACATATTCCAGTGGAGAATCTAAATTGTTTTCCATGAGATGTCGATTGTTGTGCAGTAGTACAAATCCCAGTTTTAACCAGCCTCCTAGCAAATTTTAGCCCGCTCCCCATCAAAGTTGTTTAGATCCATTGAATCGTGTAATATTTACAATATAAATAAAACAAAATGGATAAATTCAATATTTATGGGACATAGTTATAGTGAATATGAAATTCTTGCTCGGCATTTGGTTAATGAAATTTTGTTTGCACGTTTGCGTTCAGAATTTATTTATAGACATATTATTATCAGTCTTTTTAGATAATTATTAAATGAATATGTGATCTAAATTGATTTGAATGGTGAAATGTTTCGTTTTAAAAAATGTTCAACAACTCTTACCAACGATATAAAATGATATATAATAGTTTGCACGCAAGTCACTTTTTTATAAGAAAACCCGAAAAATGTTCTGCTCAACAGCCCGCAGCAAATAAACATTATTTGGTTTAAAGAATAAAAGCGATTCATTAATTATAAAAATACAAATAGTGTTAAGTAAATAAAAAGCAGATGTTTTATAAGATTCCCTCAAGTGTTCCGATTCCATATTCCATCCTTTAGAGTCCAGTCCAGATACTACTGAATGTTTAAAAAGAATTTAATTTAAGAAATACTGCCTGCTATATAATGGGCTACTGAACTCTATTCATAAGAAATGCTAAATAATTCCTGCAACACAATAATACGCAATGCAACCTAATACAATACAGCACAACACGACACAATGCAACACAATGCAACACCATACAATACAATACAATGTGTACAACACAATACAACACCATACAATACAATACAATGTGTACAACACGATACAACGCAATATAAAGCAGTAAGACAATCGGAATACATAACAACATAAACAGGAGAAAGTGGTTTGCACATAGCAATAGTCAATGGAGATTTAGAGCTGGTCAAATTGTTTGTTGAGAAGGGGAGTGACATTAGCCAGAGAGCTACCGGCAAATTTTTCTTACCAGATGATCAAAAAAATGGACCATCAACCGAATCAACAAATTATTATGGTTTCTTACACTAATTTCAAATACCAAAAGATTTATAAATTTCTAATAGAATTTCATTAAATTTTTATTATTCGATAATACATTCATGGCATAGAAATAAATGTTAATAATTGATTCTAAAGGACGAGCTTACTATGGAGAATATCCGTTGGCGTTTGCGGCTTGCTTTGGTTATGAAAGCATTTACGATTACTTGATGGAGCAGGGAGCAGACCCTGACCAAGCAGACTCATTTGGAAATACTGTACTTCACATGATGGTCATCTGCAATCAAACGGTTTAGAAATTATAATTATTTGTTTTTATTCATTGTATAAACTCTTTAGCAAACAAATAAATGATCACAATTAATTAGCGAGCCATGCAATTTTTATCTAATGGTAATTGATTGTTATAACAACTGTTAGGCAATGTTATCGGCAGCCATGAGACACCAGTTCAAAAGACCTAACTTATGTTTGGCTAACCAACAAAACCTTACCCCATTAACACTAGCTAGTAAACTGGGAAGAATGGAAATTTTCAGCGAAATTATTGAACTGCAAAGTTATGTGCGTAAATCTCAGTTCTATGTTGTTGAAAAAAATTTTCAGATTTGAACTTTTTTTATATGTCTAAATTTACTATCACTAAGTACAGATAGCATAATATTTATTTGCAGGAAATATGGCGTTACAGCAACATCACGTGCTCAGTCCATCCTCTTGGACCACTGGACACGATTGGTCAAAACGGAGCTTTCAGTGAGCTCTTTCTCGAGGAACTTTAAAAATATCATAATCCATTTTCAATTATTTTTAAATTAATTTTTTTTAATTTTTGATAATATCTTTTTACATAAATTAAAATACAAAACACAAATGAGTAGCTAGTGACAACATTATTCCAACTTGAATAAAAGACCCAAACGCAGCTTTAGTTTATATAACGAACGGGGTGAGTGAAAACCACCTGGAGATGTTGGACGATGGAATCATTAAGCAGTTGCTCCTCGACAAGTGGAAAAATTTTGCAAAGAGAAGATTTTTGGAACGAGTGCTGCTTGCTGTCTTCCACTTGTTGGTTCTCAGCGTGGCCATTTATTTGAGAGATGATGTCGTCTTCGTCGATTACATCTTTCCACCCAACGTTACGGATATAGTAAGCGGTATTTATTCTATTTGAAATAATTGAATATCGATAGTGCCTATAATAAATAGTTTGCAGTGTAATTAAATAAATCAAATTTGGAAATCGTCTTCATCCTATTTTTATTAACAGGCTAAAACGCATTTAGTGGCAATGTAGTTGAGTAGTCAGTCAGCTTGGGCGTTGAAGTTTCATGGATTTATTATTTTTCGTTAAAACTAAAAAGATTGTAATGCCGTTTCTAATAGTTTTTGAAAACAGATGGGTCTTGAGATCTGCTCTGAACTTCGCAAGTGATAGAGAAGTAGTCAGAGAAGTAGGTAGAGAGTTCCAGAGAAAAGGACCAGAAAAAGCAAAAGCAGATTTGGCAAAAGAGTGTTTAACACGAGTTAAGAAAAAGCGAGAAGAAGAAGACGATGGTAAACCGGGGCGTTTAGGTTCAATTAATATATCTGATAAATACTTAGGAAATAATTTAGATTGAGACTTATACATGAACGTGCAAATTTTAAAAATTATTCTATAGTACATTGAAAGTACATTGAAAGTTTGCACCAGACCGAGAAAATAAATTCTCACTGCTAATTTTTGACATTTCATACCAACCAGATTCGATATTTTGCCGAAGTCGTAGTGCTGGCTTATTGCTTAGTAACGGTTGTGATACAAGTTTTTGAAATGAAAACGCAAGGGTTGTCTGCTTATGTCCAGAGAGAGGTTTGAAACACACCCTATATTTCCAGATCTGTGCTTACACATTAGCATTCAAAAAAATATTGACTTATATAACTTATAAAATTCTGTGGTGATAGCTATATTTTATTCTTAAGAAAAAATTTTAAAACATTTTTTAATATATGATATTTTAGTAAAATACGCTAGCATCTCTAGAAAAAGAATCAATGAAAATAGTAAAAAATAACGTAGCCGTCATCATTATTTATTTAATGTAAATTTTACGTGCCCATAAAAATTTTTTTGAAAAAAAATAATAAATGATTTTCTCTTATGACATTTGCAATAAATGAAAGAGAGAGACTCCAGCGAAATGTGTATTCAACGTGTCTTGCGTCTTCATCATAATCTGTCTGCCTGTCAGGTGCCTTCATTACCAAACAGCTGAAAAAATTCTTCTTGCCTTGGCGGCACCATGTGCTTGGGCAAATCTTCTCTTTTACGCCAGGCTAGATATATTTTTTTGCTTTTTTATGTTATTTATTAATACTCGATTGATCATGAGTGAAGTTTTACGGTTTTGTTTGTGCTTATATTCTTTTTAATTGCAATCTATTAATCAATTAACCAATCAATCAATCTTTCATGACTTTTTAAGAGACCGTTGATAAAAACCGCGTCCACCTTTATTGTCATTTCAGGTCACCTTATTGTGGTTGGCAACATAATTAGGACTAACTTGAACCATTTTATTGATCATTTTTGTTCTATCGATTTATCTGTCAGATTCTGTAACTTTTTGGCTCTCTCCAGTTCTGTCTCAGTTCATTTGAAATCCCACCTGTTTTTGTGCTCTTGTATAAATTGCATAAAAATATTAATTAATTTAAATTTTATATCAGGCTATACAAAACCGTTAATAGTAATAAATACAAATTAAACATTCAAGAAATATAACAAATAAATGCTTTCAACCAAGAAGTTATGTACAACTTCGACCTCTAACGAATTTTGCTCAATATTATGTCGGAAAAATGTTGATCCACACTTATATCAATTAACAAAATTGATTTTATTGTTGTTATTGTTTTTTGTTTTATTACTCTTAAATTCATATAAATAATTGTCAGCTATTCATAAAACTCAACGTAGCACGTCCCGTAGAAATTCAGACATGCAATTCACCCACACATTTTGAATATTATTTCGTTGAAAGTTATTCGAAATTTCAAATGTTTTAACATGCGTGCGTGTGTGTCAATCAAGTTTCATCTTAGCTAAAGATCGAGACATGATTGAAAAAAAAGATAAAATATTTCACGAACACAAACACCCAAAACAGGATTTTCTACTTCAGCGGGGTCTTCGTTGTGGTATTTTACCAGATGCTCCGCGGAGATTTAGCGAGATTTGGCATCATATACATAATATTCTTCATCGGGTTCGGGCAATGTAAGAATGCGTTACTTCAATGCTACGATTTTGAAAAATTTCAAATTTTAATAGTTTTTTCGAATTAGTCATTTGAAAAAGTCATGTTTTTGATTGAATATGAAAGATTTAATTTCATTCATAATGTTGATTATTTTGATCAAGCTGAAAATTTTGGAAAATATTTCACATATTAGTTGAATGTTCAAAACATTTCATCAGCATTTTCCTTCCTATTCAAAACGACGAAACCAGCCACTCCGGACTGCAAAGCGAGTCAACTGCCTTTCGAAACTATCGGAGGAACAATAATGAAGTTATTCGAAATGACTCTTGGTGATTATCAGGTTGTTAAAAAATTTTTTAAAGTTGTTGTCTTAATTTATTTTTAATTTATTTTATTAATCTTGTGGCAAAACTTCATAACTATCTTGGATGCATTTATTTATTTGCATTTTTTTTTAGTTACATAAATGCTTGGTTAGAACATATCCACTAGAATGTCGTTTAGGCAGTTTTATAACAAACAGAAGATTTGTCGAATAAATAAATTTACCTTTTTTTAAACAAACATATGGAACACGCTCAAATTATTTATCATTTAACCAAAGTTTATTCAACATTAATAATTATGAAATCACTAATCAGACAAATATTATTTTCTTGCATCATTCCATGGATCTCAGGAAGTGAGTCTCCAAATTTTCATGTTTAAAATTTTTTCATAAATAAACATTTTGATTTTTAAATATAAAATGTTTAGCCATCACCCCACTAAGTGGTTTGTTCTCAGCTTGTGTTTCTTAAATTAAATGGAGAGCTGGTAAACTGGTCATCATATCAGGAAGTCCATATTTTGCTACCTAAGTTTTAGATCCAGAAGGGATGCAAAGATGCAACTCCCATTACACCATGAAAGAAGATAATATTGTAGAGTCTGGGTAAAAAAAGCATCAACTTGACATGTTGAATATCATCCTCCATCGAAACAAAAATTAGTGGGAAGAGGTCATCACTTAAGAATTTTGAAAATCTCCAGCCGCAAAATTCTTGATCCGCCACTCTGTGTGTGTGTGTGTGTGTGTGTGTGTGTGTGTTAGTGAGTGAGGAGTGAGTGTGTGAGTGAGTGAGTGTGTGAGTGAGCAAGTGAATATATTGGTAGAGCAAGTATATTGGTAGAGTGTTGAGTGTTTGTGCACAAACTTAGAAAAAGTCCAAAGTGGACAGATTGATAGAATGGTACATGGAAATTAAAGTTATGTTCGGAAAATGTTTTTTAAAATTTGTTTAATTAACCGTTAACTAATTTTCTGATGGCAGTATGCTTTGACATAATCACGTTAATAACTAAATACCTTGTTTCATTAATGCATGCTCTCTGGATTTCGAAGGTGGTTAGTATCTTGTAAAATATTTAGTTCTGTTCTCAAATCTTCTATTATAACCAAAATATTATTTAACTCCGTCAAACATTAAAATTTAAAAAATTGTTTTCACTTGTCTCATAAAATATATTGTGTGTATTGTGTGTGTGTATATATATATATATATATTATATATATATATATATATGTATATATAGTTCGAAGAAATATTAATTTCTTTATTGAACGTGTCATAACTTGAAAAATTCTATTCATAGTACGAATCGTTTTCAAGAACGGCGAATCCAATACTGACAAAATTGATTTTCATACTTTTTGCCATCATGGTGCCGATCTTGTTGTTGAGCATGCTCATAGCCATGTTCGTCCACACGTACGAACAGATCATTAAACGATCTGAAAAGGAGTGGAAACGTCAGGTACTTTAATTGCTCTTAGGAGATGAAAATGTATGCAGTTTGATTTTTAATCCCTAGTTTTGAAAATTTAGAGAATGTACATTTTACACAACTTTGGTTTTTTTGAACTTTTAAATTTCAAACTAGTTTATTTATTTTGACAAAAGTGGGCCAAGATCATACTTGTTTTGGAAAGAACCTTCTCTCCCAAGCAGTTGGTACACTTTCAAGAAAATTATTCAGTCTGCATAGGAGGAAACACAAACCCCATACGGGGCTTGATGGTTATCAAAAACACTTTTAAAACGAAAGCGAGACAGAGAAAAGATGCTCTTGCAAATTGGAAGGTTAGGTTTTTACGAAAATTATTTTTTAAATTTTTAAAATATTTTATAAATGTTTCTAAAGAAACTGTACAAAATGGTAAAAAGAAGGTTAGTTTTCACTCGACCCTTACTTGCTGGGCAAGAAAATTTAAATAACGAACACGATGATGGTTTGAGAAGAAAGGACACTTACATTCTTCATAAAAATGTTACAAGTGCAAATACTTCACCTATAAAATATATCGAATCTACCAGTAGATCAAACAGTCAAAACGAAATCAATAAAAAATCCAAATTAAGCAATCCGAATAATGTTGGGAATGTTTCTGGCTACAATGAATGCTTATCTACGAATGAAGTAGATGGCACTCAAGTCCATTTTCTTCCCGATATCAGTGCCCAACATCTTGAAACACAGAGTTCCGAAGAAAAGATTAGAAATAAAGCTGCGGACAGCAACAAAAATATTTTTAAAAATGATATGCACTCAAAAATTGCTGAAAACAACAAATATTCAATTTCAAAAACGATCCCATCTTCAAAATATTGTACAGCCGTGCCCAGAAAAAATAAAGTTACCCCCATCAATGTGACTTCGAGTTTATTGAAGAAATCGTCTCAAAAATGCGAAAGAAGGGCTAGTAATGAAAGGAATCAATCACAGTCAATAATATTTACGATTGGAACTTCCTTATCGTCAGACAGCCAGGGCAATGCACCATTACAATCACCTCAGTCTTAACTACTTACTTTATTTACAGGAGCAACTCTAGAGATAACAGTTTGAATGGGAACAATCGGATATTGCTTTTTAACAATTCATTTATAAGTTTTTAAGTACAAAAATTGGTTTTAGAACAATTACATAAAATTTAAATAAAAATACAATAATTTGTTTTAAAACGGTTCAAAAATATTCAATCATTTGATTGAGTTGCACTGATGTATTACAGTTAGGAAGGAAATAATGCCTCAATTCAATCTCACCATCTTCATCGTGCAAACTTTATTCCACAACATCAGCTGCATTATAATGAACAGCAGAAGTTACTGAAGAAATGTTAGGCGTAAGTAAATATTATGCAAAGTAGTTTGTGCGAATGTGCGAGTCTGTTCGTGCGCATGAAAATGTACGTAGGCTTGCGCTCCATATATATAAGGGTGTGTGTGTATTATAAATAAATAAATATATATATATATATACATATATATATATATATATATTTATATATCCAATAGAAATTGTACATATTTACGTCTAAGATCATATTTAAATTTGATTATTTTCAAAAATGTAATTTAAATTATGATTTGAAATACTTTAACTTTCATTTTTAATTTTTTTTTGTTACCAACATCAATAATTAAATTGGAAAATATTTATATTGGCATGTAGTTGCATATAATGTTGCATAGGACTTTTTAAACCACATTAATGACATAAATTTGGATCCATTCCAAAGATTTCGCACATGCATTTGAACTTGTAAACATCGTAAACGTTCAGTATTGTAGTACATAGCAAATGTAAGGCATACATGTATCTTGAAATACTCATCCATGAGATGTTGTGGCATTTGTTGTGGGATAACCAATCATGTTTATTCAAACTGTGCGTGAGTTAACGTAGCTGCATAGATAAGGATAGGGTTGTTTAGCAATGTTTGAGAATCAACGTCTTTAAGTCGTTTTGTTTTCCGATTGTTTTGTTTTGATGAAAAATTATTTTAATACGGCACAAACTAATTTAATAAAAAGTACACTAAAACAGCGGCAAGCAAGAAAATTATCAAATTGGATTTAATTGGATTACACTCGAGTTGCATTATTATGAAACTTATCTGTCTGTGGGTTTTTGTTTGTTTGTTTTGGGCTGGATCAAGGGCTGAAAGTTGTTTGTCGTGCAATCCCGAAGAATGTCTGCCTGTGACTGATTGCGTGGCAGGAATCATAAAAGATCAATGTGGATGCTGCGATGTATGTGCGAAATCAGAGTTTGAACTTTGTGACCACACGCGTCTCCCGTCGCTCAACATGTATGGCAAGTGTGGAGAGGATCTGGAATGCACAATCAGGACAGATTTGAATGAAGGAGAAAGCCAGGAAGCGATTTGTTATTGCAAATCCCAAGAATCAGTCTGTGGCACGGACAACTTTACTTACGATAACATTTGTCAGTTGAGGGCTTCAGCTGTGGTGACCAAAAGCGGAGTAACTTTAGCTAGGGAAGGACCTTGTAATACGGGTAAAATTGAATGTTATTTCAGATAAAAATAACGCAAAAATCTTTGAAAACTATCAATCAATACAATTTGTCAATTCATTCATTATATAGCGTAGCAATTGTTGATGGCAAGTCAATCAAATGTTTGAATTTAGAGTTTTGACCAGTCTCAGCCGCAGTTTCGGTTTCAGCTTAAAACTGAGTTTTTTTAATTATTAGTTTTATTTTATTAAACGGTAATTTTTTTCAAAAAATTGTTTATGAAACAATATCTTTAAGGTTAATTTCTAAAATAATATTACTTCAAACAAATTAATATTTTCGTTATGCCGTTATTAGCAAATGGAAAGATAAACTTCACATTACAGCTTTTTACATCATACACAAAACCACGCTTCACGAAACTTATTTTCGTGAATTTTTAACCAGCATTTTTTTTCTATTTATTTGTCAGAAATTGAATTTTTTAATTATTAACAGTACCTAAGAGTTTGAATACTTTAAATTTCATAGAACTACTAGGCAATCTACTATGAGAAGATGTAGAAAAACTTTTAAGCGTATAAATTTTTTAAATTTGACTGGCAAAAATAGAAAAAAGGTCTTCCTACGTTCAAATAAATCAACAACGCCACAAACAGCATATAAGAATACGTGCTAAACGACGCATGAGACACCAGGCATGTGATAGGTGGAGATTCTTTTGTCTAATTCAACCACTGCAACGCAATGCGAACAGCACCGGACGGCCTTAATCGCTGGGCCATCACGCAGGCTTTATTTTATTATGAATAATAATAAAATAGAATAATAATATTTTGCAATTTTTGGCCACGTGAAAAATATGGTATCTTTTGATGTACCGTTCCATGCTTTAATATTCTTGAAAAGGTTCGGATTTGGTTTCGAGTGAAAGCAATATTCCAGTTTCGGTCCGGCACTAATTTATATTTCAATTTACTCTCATGCTAAATATTTGATTACCACGCTGTTTTACCACTCTAATACATTTGTTGCATTTTGTAACAGTAATACTCATTTATTTTTGTTCTCAAATCAGTTACAGTTATGTAGAAAATTTTAATAAAGGCCAATTACTCTTCAAAAGTCGAATATTTCTATATTTGAAAAATCTCTTTCTCTGATACTTTTTTTATTTTCAAACGTCGCTGCGGGTATTGTCTTGTTCTAAAATGTACACTCGTGTTTTAGCTAGTGTTCAACAACACGCCACGAACATCGTATATGAATACGTGCTAAACGACGCATCACACACGAAGCATATGATAGGCAGGGATCTTTTTGTCATATTAGAACCCGGTTAATGCGAAACAGCACCAGGTGACCTTAACCAATAGGCCATATTATTCAAATATATCAAAAGTGTATCTGCTGAAATATTTATTTAATTGTTCAGTCAAAAATTCAAGGTTATTAATAAAGTTCGGAGACGAAGGCCAAAAATTCGGTTACAATTTCGGCCAAGGTTCTTATTTGGTCGGAAACTAATCCAGAGCGTGAATATTTCTATATTTGAAAAATCTCTCTCTCTCTGATACTTTTTTTATTTTCAAACGTCGCTGCGTGTATTGTCTTGTTCTAAAATGTACACTCGTGTTTTAGCTAGTGAAAAACATTTTGTTTCATAAAAAAATTTTTCCTCTCTTTTATAGTTGAAATTGACAATCATAACGAGTAAAGAATACAAAATTTTAAAAATTTATAAAATTATTTGCAGTTTTCAAATTGAGACAAAATTTCATAAATATTATTAAAATTGATCGTAGCTTAAACTAAAATAGTGTTAACTATCAATTGTTTTTAATTTTGAAAGCTCCCGTCATTATTGTTAACCCTGAAAACGTGAAAAACGTAAGCGGATCGAGCATTTCATTATCGTGCGAAGCTAAAGGCTTTCCAATCCCAGTCATCGAATGGACCTGGACAAGAGTGGACAAACAAACTGTCACCCTACCAAGTAGTTTCAATCAATTTAAATATTGTTTTTTTTTAATTGGCGACCGAATTCTCATGAAATATATGTATGTGTATGTAGCGTTTGTAATAGTTATATAACTTGAATTAGCGTATTAGTGTGCTATCTATTTTTGATAATTTGGTGGCAAAAAAATTAATTTGTCGTTTTTTTTCAAGGTGATGACCTTCACGTTTCGATAAACATGAGAGGAGGACCAGAAAAATATCACGTGTCGGGCTGGCTGCAGATCATAGGACTGAAGAAGGAGCACGAAGGAGATTATTCTTGCATTGCCCAGAATGATTTCGGATTCGTGAAGAGTTCCGCAAGAGTTAATGTTGTTAGATCTGGGGATCGTTAGTGAATTTTTTTATATTATTGTTAAACTTGAAGTTCTGCTCATTGGTTTTTCAGTAAAATAATTTTTGTTTATATAAATGTATAGAATTGTATAGATTCTCTAGATATGTTATGATGAACAAAAATTTGTTTATTGATGATTTTTTGGATTAGGCAAGTGGAAATGATTTTGACAAAATTCAATTCTGCAATGCTCCAATAACTAACTTCAGAGTTCGTGATGTAATTGACGGTCATAAAATGTTGGTGCAAGAAAATTAGATCTTCTAATTAAATTGGCAAAACTCGACGATAAATCGAACAAGAAAAAAGCGTTTGATGATATATTGAACGTGTACAATCATTCTTTATAGACAGTCAACATAATCCTGCATGTATGATGAATTAATGCTTTTGATTGATGATTTATTCCAATCTTTCAAGTCGTCTTTTTGATAACGTAGTCAGGATTGGTTTGCATAATTTTTCTAGCCATCTACAGTTATTTAACATTTTCTGACAGATTTTATAATTTTTAAAAAGTACAACTGGTTTTCCTATTTTACCTTTGCATTTGTGACTAATTCAGTTATTTTACTGCTCCTTTTATTTCTATCCTACGTTAACATTTCAGTTATTTCTTTTTTGAATGTTTCAATCTTTGTCTGTTATTATTTTTGACATTTCGCTTGCTGCTTGGAAGCTTCTCTCAGTGCGTCAACCAAAAATTTTGGAAATGGGATATGTATAGATATAATTCCCACTCATCTCCACTGTTACTTTTTACATTGTTAGTTTGATATAACGGTTTGAACTGTCAAATTTATGATTGTTGGATTTAATTGATGAAATTTTTTATTGTTATCGTTAAATTTTTTACACAGATTTTAAAGGTGAATTCTAGAATAAATCCAACGCCAGACTGAAGCGAATTTATTTATACATACCTTTAAAATAACAGTTTGTTTTGACAACCACCAGCTTTTTTTTATTGTAACTTTTAATAGAATGTTTCATTTATTAACGAATTTAGATTTTTTAGATGTTATGTCTTTATCTCCTGGCACGATTTCAAATATTTTGTAAACGAAAAAGTATGAGTATCAGTATGTTATCTGAAATGATAGGCTGTTAATGTTTCTAAAAAGCAATGTAGGCTGTGTTTGCCAACCATATAATGAATAGTAATGTTAAACATTTAAAAGTTATCAATTAAAATTAATTGTTTTATGAAACTTGAAATAAAAATTATTTGTTTTTATGCATGAAATAGTTTTTACTGACGAAATGCTTGTTTAATCTCCAAATAGGATTGTTGTGTAGAATATAAATCGCAATCGAGGGGTGGGGCGCATATCAATGTGAGTTATAACGATGGACCATTGTTTCAAATCAGTATAGAAAGAATTATGAATTGGATCGCTTTTTGTAAATTTTATTTAAAAAAATCGTTGCTTACAGTGTCGGATTTGGTTGAAGTTGGAGATTTTGCCGAAGTCGAAATTTTTTGAGAGGCCGGAGACGGTGTCAGATATTTTTCATCCGACTTCAACTCTGGAAAGTGTTAAAATTTGGTCAGAAAATATATGCATTCATTCAATCAATAAATCAATCAACCTGTTTCCACGATGTCCAACAGCGCTTTTCAATGAATTTCGCTAACCAGATGGTTTTGTGATTCTTAACTTTGTAAGTAATGGCGAAGTAGTTAGAGAAAGAGGTAGAGACTTAGAGAAAAGCGTAAGAAAAAGCAAAAGCAGATTTAGTATAAGAGTGTTTAACAGGAGTTAATAACTAGTGAGAACAAGAAGACGATTGTAAACCGGGGCGTTTAGGTTTAATTACTATATCTGATAAAGAAAATAAATTAGATTGAAATTTGTCCATTAATGTGCAAGTTGTAAAAAGAATTCTATATTTGATATGTAGCCAGTGTAAGAGAACAAGATGTGGAGATATATGAGAAAAGAAAGGAGCACTAGCAACAAGACGAGCAGCAGGGTGGAGAGTAGAATCAGAAGGACCATAGTAGAGCGAGTTACGATGATAATCAATCCAAGATAAAACTAATGAAGCAACAAGAGATCTTTCGATCCATTGATTAATAAAGCTTTCTTGATTTTTGCTTCTAAATAAGTGAAATAACTGAAATTTAATTTTTACCGAAATCATTTTTTTATATTTTGTTAATATTATATTATGCCTTATTCTAGAGACTTTCTCTTACTCCAAACAAGCTTTTTCATAATGCCTGCGTAGTTTTGTTTGTTTTCTATTTTTTCTATGTTTTCAATTTTTTATTATCGTTCAGTTTCCTTGCCGTTTTCACTCGTGGTCGTTTATTTTTTATTTTAAAATTGTTCTCTTAATAAAAAAAATGGTTCTTACAAGAGTGGTGTAAGTTTTTTAATTTTCTGTTTAACAATTTTTAAATGTAATTTTTTTTCAGAAAAAATTTACCAGATTTTTAAGTCATGTTGTCCTGGTCTGTCTGTTCTGTTGTTGCTTCTCGCCTATGGGGTGTGCCTTAGTATAGATAGTTAGATGTTAAAAAATCGAGCCGCAGTCATTGGGTCCGCCTAAAGGTGGGCGGTAGTGAGGGTGGTGGAATTTGCATAGTAGTTAAAAAAACTTGTCTAAATTAGCCAGTTAACAAATGCTCCTAACTCTGACATTAACATTTTAGAATTATTTATTACTAAGTAAATAAATATCATTATAGAATAGCTTTAAATGATTTATTATTTTATAAAAACATTTAATTTACTATATTTTTTATTTTTCCAAAATGGCTTAAAATGAAACGTTTGCTAATAAACGTTTGCTGGCTTTTCCCAAGTGTTGAAAAGATGTTGGGTAGTATAATGTTAGGTGAGTGACAGAGGTTGCATTGGTCGAGAATGGCATTATATATTTAATTAATATCATTTATGCAACTGAGGTGGGTAGAGTAACCACAGTGGAGATGTAATAAGATAAGATGGTTCTTGTTTTGCTGAATAGTAATGCTTCAATTTTACTCATAAGTAGAAGTTTGGTTTTTGCTTCAATTTTACTTATAACTAAAAGTATGGTTTTAGAAAGCTGATGGTATTGAGGACTGTGAGAGTGTGGATTTGAGCATTTGTTCGATGATGCAGGGCGTTGGCAGGGCATTGACTATATTATATGAAAGATGATGGCATGGATGATTTCTATTTAGGCATTGGACGAGGCATTGGTCTGCGAGTGGGGTGAAGTGTTGGAGGATGTTAGTTTCTTGGTATAGGCTGCCATGAGGAAGCAGTCAATTTGGGTGGTTTGGAGTTTTTGAAGATTTGTTGTCTGGCTGTTGTAGTTGCTTTTGGTGTCGTGTTGTAGTGAACATTAAACATTGAAACAACTAATTTGATAGTAATTAAAATGCATGATTTTTCAATTGTGCCTAATATTTTAAAGAAAATTTTGGCAAAAAGTATACTTTTTTGAGATTTGTAAAAGGATAGTATAGTTTTGCTATTGAGTGAGAGTATAGATAAAATAGACAAATGTGAACTTAAATAGCTAATAATGAGCATTAGAATGTTAATTGTAATTATATTTATATGGAAATAACACATTTATAATTATATTATTAACAAATACAGGTATCTATTTTCATAAAAATATATATTTAGTGATGTTTTAAACACCTGTCATTGTCTCTAGTCATACAAAATTACATGTCAGCTTTCCAGTTAAATTTAGAATTAACATTTATTGAAAAATATCTCATTTGTTTTTAAACTCATGCACGTTATCAGAATTGACCAAACCTTCACTCAAATCTTCAATCCACATATATATATATATATATATATATATATATATATATATATATATATATATATATTGAAGAAGTAGATAATAAATAATAGTATTAGTATGGAATGGAAGTGTTGTTGGTTTGAATTTATGCTCTCCTGTTCATTTGCTGGCCTTTAATGTTTCAGGGAATCTTTGCTTGTCTTTGATGTTGCATTGTGTGGAAGATGTATCTTAATGCCGGAAGCTTCAGAAATCTCAAATGGACTTTGTACTAGATATATGTGTTTGCATTCTTTGATCATTCAGATTGCTCTTTACTGCACTTTTTCAACTGCCTCATACTGAGTTCTTTAGTTGTCATCTGACTAAGTTTTTATACAAAAAAAAAATAAATATTTCTACTGTTACTTTTATAATATTTATTTATTAAACCTAGTATAAAAATGCTCTGTGTCTATATCGATAGTTTTAAAATGACATTTTGAGAAATCAATTAATATTGGTTCAAATCAATATTCAAACTATGAGAGAAACCTTTATTGATAAATTTTCTATAGAAAAGCTAAAAATCAACGCTCGAAACGTTATCTGGAAAAGTGTGAACCTCAAATACATGAAAATGATAAGAAGGCATTGTTTATTAAAGGTGGAAGAACGAGTGAAACTGTTACTAGGATTTTGAAAGAATTGGTTAGTTAACCATCTGTTTATGGGTTTTTATTTAATTATATTTCCAAAACATGCTTCTGACATTATCATATTTCCACGTTCTGTCTCAATGATATATTGTCTTTGGTTGTTAATTATAAAAATATATTGATTTGTATTGCAGGCGTCATTAAAGAAACCAAATTCGACAATGTTTCAAAAGTAATAGCTTTGGTTGAAAATTTAAAATATTTTGAATAAAAAATAAAGCTCGTTGTTTTTATTTCCTGACAAAATTTTTTTGTAATAGAATTTTCTAGTCTGGTAAGTAATTTAAAACTTTTGAACTATTTTAGAAAAAACATGACAAGACCTTTTGATGATCCAACGTCCATTGTTAGTTTTTTACTTTTTCTGGAACTGACATGGAAAATAAATTTCATTAAAATCAATAAACTGAATTGCTTGTGTTTTATTTTAGGAGTTCTTCTCAAGGAAATGTGACAGCTCTTTGTTCATGTTTGGTTCCGACTCCAAGAAGAGGCCTAATAATTTGATTATTGGTTATTTTTTTTTCAAATGTACTTTGTTATCATGAAATTGCTATCACAATTGTTGACTCTTGAAGCAGCAAGGAAAATTTTTGGATGTACAAGCTAGCCACTTCCCCTTCAACAATCACCACCTTTTCAGCTGTTTTCTATCCTGCACTGTCTTTTCTAACAACAATTTTTCTAACCAGAACTAATCAGAATTCACTGTTCACACCTATATATCAAATCAACTGTCTTGGTTGTTTAATTATAATCTACAATGCCAGTTCATTTTTCAATTTTTAATTTCATTAATTTAATTATAATAATTATTTATGTTATATGTACATTAATTATATCAGTTATAATGTATTTTTAAATCCATTTTTTTAACTTTTTTGTTTGTTTTGTTTTTCTTAACGGATTTTGTGCTCTACTTCCATAACTAATAACTGTTGCTATTTTTAATTTACATGTATTAAAGGCTGGTCAACAAATGTGCACATGAAGATAATTTTTAATCATGATTAAAATACTTTAGAAGCTGATCACTGTCTGCCACTTTTTCATATTTTTGCCACGAATTCATGAGATATCCCAAATTTTTCCTTTTACTTGTATTTATATTTGTTTCACCTTCCATCATTCATTTTTATATTTTTTTAAATTTAAGTTGACAAGTCATTTTCTTCTGTTAAGAACCTTTTCGTCTAAACAATTTTATTTCTTGGCACTCAAAGTTAAACATTCAGCTTGGTTTGATTTTTAATCAGCATTGAAGAAATTTTTAGGAACACTTGATTTCATTAAAATGCCTCAGTGAACCACCTCAGTTATTATTACATAGATGCTTGGCTGGATTATTTCATTTTTTAATGTATTTTCTTTTCAGGAAGGATGTATGATTTTCAAATTCTTGATATGTTTGAATTTGGAGTAGCAAACTTCAAATCTCTACAAGAGTTCAAGGTGCGTAATGTGTACGTTTTTGTTTTATGTACTACGTTTAAAGGAAATAAAATTTGTTATGATTTGAGCTTCTCTAAAATTTTCATGTGTTCTTAAAAACTTACACAAGATGTAATAAATCAAATAAAACTTGGAAGTTGCTCATACAGCTCAAAGTTCCATAGAACTTCTGGAGCATATCACAAGGCCTGGACATGGGTCAATGTGATCCACCATCTCAAAATGTATTTATTTGTTCTGCAACAAATATACATACACATAGAGTGAGAAAAGAGTTTAAGAATTTTTTATTGGTCGCACATATGTACCACCATGGATTTTGTGTCCAATGCATAATGATGCACCATTCAATGAAGTGCAATTTATGGACAGAATTAAACATTAGTCTGAAATCATCAACAGTCTAGCATGTGCTGCACAAAAATTTGTTATCTTGATCTGAAATGGAGTAGCTAATGCAAATTGTGCACTACATTCTCTCAGCTCTTAAGTTATCAAGGCATTCACAATGTGATGGACCTTTGGCTATTCATGATTAATAAGGCTGTCGATGTTAAACATTCAAGCCTGATAATTTCTGTTAAATTAACTATCTATTCTAATTTCTTAATTATTCCAGGAAGCTAAAGTGGCCATTGGAACCAAGCCATGTTTAATTTTTTCCGGGGAGCAGTTTGAAAAAGTTGAAGAATTTTCCAGATTAAAAAGTCTATTAATTGGTGGTACTCCTATTTTAATAGTTGTACTATTTATTTGCCATTTTTTGTTTTTTCTTCATATACTGGTAATTATTATATTAATAAGGCCGTCATTCTTTTTTACTTATATTAATATTAATAGTGATGGTGGCTTATTATGCTTACACGTGCACTGTTACTCCTGCTGAATTTGTAGGATTTTCAAAAGTTGTCATTGAATTAATCATTCTAAGTTTTTACAGCCATAACATGTAAGCTTTTTACGAGCAGGAATTTTCTTCTAGTCAATGTTTTCGATTTTCTCTTATGGTCGATATAATTATTGGATATTACTTTCACCAAATAATTTTTTTATTTTTAAAAATTTTCTCGCAAGATTTTTTCCAAGGACCCCAAGTTTCCCAGATCAGGTTGTCTGGAATTGAACATGTCTTTCACTTTGTGTTGACTGATGAATGCCTCACTATAAGAAGTTACAAGTATGTCTGGTTTGGTAGTGTTGGTACACGGTTATAATAGTTTGTACCAATGAATTAATGTGATTTGATAAAAGACATAACTGCATCACCAATTTAATAAACAGAAATCAATTTTAAAATTATTCATTTGAACTAGTCATCAATATTGTTGTATGAATGTCGTGGTATGAAATACAATGAAAGACTGAGGTTTTTAAATTTATCCACACTAAAATTTCGTAGAATCAGAGGAGATTTGATTACTTTGTATAATATTTTGAATGATAACTTAAATAGTAATTTATATCCAGATCTAAAATTATGTACAGATTCAATAAATAAAAAACATAAGAAAAAGTTAGAACGAAATAGGGTTAGAACAAACATGAATAAATATACATTTGTTAACAGAGTTACTCATATGGAATTTTTTATGAAATTGTAATAAATTTCCTGTGGTAAAGAATCCGTAAATCAATTTAAAGTTCTGTTTGACAAGTTCACTATTGGATTTGAGATGAGATGAATGGCGTGCAAATTATCCAGTTTGATTGATTTGGTTGGCATGTGAGTATGAGTGTGGATATGCTTGAGACGTGTCTATGTAGTACTTTTATTATTACTTGAACAATTTAAGCCTTCATTTAGTTAACTAATTTTTGGGCTTATGGGTTGTACACCTGCGCTCATTAAATTTTTTATGTTACGTTATGTTATGTTATAAGTTGGAACAACTTATGTTTGTTGAAATCGTAAAGACATGCATGAATTTTTATTGACTGGGCAGTAAATGTGTCAATTTGTTTCTCATTTATCTATATTTTCATCTCAAGAATTCTTTTAAAGAAATCTGGAACGAAAGTACCAAGGATTGAGTTGGATGAAATTGGTCCATCGTTGGACTTGAAATTGAGAAGGCGAAAGATAGCTGGAAGCGACATGTACGAACTTGCTAGAAAACAACCAAAAGCTGCAAAGGTAATTTTTTTTATTTTTTGAGCTTATAACTGACAGTCAAGGTTTTTATTTTATATTGTAACCTCTCTTTAATTTTATGTTAATTTTTAAAAGTATTTATTTTTATTTTCAGATCAAAAAACAAAAAAATGTGAAGCAAAATCCGTTTGGCTCCAAAGTTGGACAAATTCATATGAAACATCAAGATTATGATGAGCTCCAAACCAGAAAAATGAAAGGATTGAAAAGGAAAAAATTAAAAAACCAAACTGAACAAAATAGTAAAAAAATGAAGTTGACTGAGGACGTCGATGTAAATAATAGCAATGATAATGACGATTTGGAATAAAAATTTATGATCAATTCATGTATTTTTAATTGTGTTTCATGGACGTTTTATATTTTTTGCCTAAAATTTTTAGTATGAAAATTTATTGTTTCAAATTTGAGGGCATCGTTTTGAATCATCTGTATCTATTTTTTAGTGCATTTGTTGATTTCTTTTTTTTTGATTTGTTCTGATCTTTATTACCACTTGGAAAAAGTGTAGACAATCGACCTGAACGCTCAAACCGTTTCATTGTTTTGGTTTCTCAATCTAATTGCTGTTTTTGTTGCTAATTTCAGGATTGCTCTAGCTTTGAGGTAGCGCCAACTAATTTTGGTGCTTCAATCAATCATCGTTTAGCGTCCAGAGACCCAGTTCTCCCGAGGTAGAATGTTGTTTTCTTTGCCATCACTTTTTTGCGCCAAATAATGCGATCAGTAGTATCCATTTCATTTAAATTTAGGGCTTTCATGTTTTGCTCGATTGTTTGCGATCAGGGACTTCTTTGGACGGCCTTTGGGACGTGTGCCAGGTACTTCAACATCTGTAAGAGAAGTTATGGCACTGTTTCCACTTCGTTTGACATGACCAAACCACCGCAGACGGTGTTGCCGGCATTCGTTCTTTATATCATCTAAACCAGAACGACGCAGGATAGCGGTAGATTTGATGTGGTCCTTCAGACTAATTTGTTGCATCCATCGGAACATTTTCATATCGGTTCGGTGAAGTTGTTGTTCCAGTTTGGTTGTCATTGGCTATGTTTCTGCACCATATAACAACACCGGACGTATCACAGATTTATAAAGTCTTGATTGTAGTGGTAGTGGGGTGTCACGCCGCATCAATATAGAGGCAAGGAGATGCCATTTATTCCAGGCTGCACGTATGCGTGCTCGAACGGCAGCTTCAGCTGTTCCAGTACAATCCAGAACATCCCCTAGATATTGAAACGATGTTACTTTCTCTGCCTTAATGGCTTCAAAAACATTGCTGGTTTGAATTTGTTGTTGTGGATTGATGCAAGCAGTCCAAACAAAATTGGACACTTTAGATAAATTATCAATTATTTTTGAACAACGTTTGTGACACCACTGGTTACACTGCTGACACTTGATTGAATTGTTACCTACACCAGCTTTACAAACTGAACAGGGCCATCGTCCAGTAGCTGTGGTTTGGATGGGTTCACCAGTGTTCATTGCTTTGGTTTTGCTGATGTTGACTTTGAATCCATAATCGGCCAGTCTGGTGTTCGAATCTTCAAACATCTGTGCTGCATTCTGCTCAGACGTGGCTGTTAAAACAATATCATCAGCATATATTAGATTCCAAATGTCACCAGTGCGTATTGGCTTTGTGATTTCTTCAATCACAGTTATAAATAACAGTGGACTGAGAATCGAGCCTTGATAAACTCCAACGCCGTTGTCAAATGCATCTGTTTCCAACCGTTGTGCTGACGAGTCTTGGTATTCGTATACATTTCCATCACAAGTCGAACAAGATATTCTGGAAGGAGTTGTCGACGTAGACTCTACCTGAGTGCTTCACGGAGAACTCGATCAAATGCTTTTTCAAGGTCTACAAAAATGTGTGATAGTTGTTGATGCTTTGCGAGGTACTTCTCTTACAGTTGCCGAAGGATGTGAATTGTGTCAATTGTTGATTTTCTCGCTAGGAAACCAAATTGATAATTTCCGATTGTGATGCACGACGTTAATTTTCTCAATGATTTTCTCGACAATTTTTAGGGAGTGTTCTAACAGACGTATACCCCGATATGATGAACAGTTCAATGGATCACCTTTATCTTTGTATAGCGGGACTGTCATGCTATAGTTCCATTCAGTCGGCGTTAAGCAGTTTCTCCAGAATTCACGGCAAAGTTGTAGTAACGTTTGGATACATGCAATACCAGATGCTTTGATAATGTCATTTGTGAGTCTAGAGGGCCCTGCTGACTTTCCATCCTTCATTGCTTTCAGAGCTTCTGTAAGCTCCTCTACAGTGATGTCTGGAATCGGACCTTCGATGGGTAAAGCGTCAAAGTTGACATTGATGGGATTTGTTTCATTTAACAGACGGTTGAAGTATTCTCTCCACTCTAGCTTGATCTCATCTGGTTCAAGAACCATCTCATTTTTGTAGTTTTTTATACATGACGCACCAACTATGTCTTTTTTCGTACGCTTTGCTTGTTTTGCTATATGATACAGAGATTTCATTTGTTCACTTTTGCTTTTAGTGAGCCACTCTCTGCACTGATCTGTCTGAGCCAGTGCGACTTGACGTTTTGCATAGTTGCTCTTCTCACGGAAAATTTTGTGGTCATCAATAGACTTTGATTTTTGCCATTGCTTGTGTGCAGCTTTTTTTCAGCTATTGCATTTTGTACACTGTCATTTCACCACTACGTGTCCCGTTCATGCTGGCGTTTTGTACCAGTTTTCCCACAAACTGTAGTTGCAGCGTTTATCAAAACGGTTTTGTATTTACTCCAATCTGTACTGGATTGCGATTGGTGGTCTAACTGTGTGGCGACAATCTGTTGAAATTTTTCTCGATGAATATTGCTTTTCAGCTTCCACAATTTGATTTTCCAAGGCATTTGTTTAGACTTATGTTTTGACAGTTTGACAACCAGGTCTGCTACAAGGAGTCTATGTTGGGCGACACATGATTCGCCTTTGTATAACTTTGACATTTTTGAATAACCTTCGGTTTTGTTGCTTGACAGCGAAGAAATCAATTAGCGTGGCTGATGGTCCACTTTTGTATGTTATGAGATGTCCCAACCTCTTTTTAATATATGTGTTCAGTAAACAAAACCCGTGACTTTCAGCAAACTCAAAGATGCGGTTGCCATCTTCATTCCGTTTTCCATAGCCAAAACGCCATGCACGTTGTCAAAACCATCTTTTTTCTCTCCAACGTGGCCATTGAGATCGCCTCCAATCAGAATCGCCTGTCTGTGGTGCGTATGCAGAAAAAATAGTCATTGTTTGCTTTTCTAGGCGAATCTTGATCTACATGAGACGTGAGTTAATCCTTTTAATATCCAGTACTTCTTGGGCTAGCGGTTCTTTGACAAAAATTCCAATACCATTTTGGCCGTCTTTTGACCATTCCAGAACAGTTTATATTTTTCTTTGTCTGAATTGATATGACAGACACCATTCGATTTCCATCGGGTTTCCTGAAGGCAGCAGATGTCAATCCTTCTATGTTCGAGCATTTCTGCGATTTCCATGCTGCGGCCAGTCAGCGATCCAACATTGAGCGTTCCAAGTCTATGTACCGTAGAGGGGCCATTCTGAATTTTTCTGCAACATCCCTCCGCCATTGCATACTTCCTAGGGATTCTTGGCACCCCTTGACCACTTAAGGCCTGTTGGGGACTAGGGGCCGTTGTTTTTGTTTGTGATGGCATGGAATAAATTTTGGGAAAATTTTTTACATCCGGACACCCATCCTAACGACAACCACCAGTTATAAGCGGTGGGCCTAACCTTTTGCTCAAAAGCACGCAAGACAGCGTGGATGCAGTTTTATATCGTGCCCAGGACTAATTTTTGTACTTGCGCTTTATTTTTGCTCGAGTGCCGATTTCAACTACTTGTGTTTGTGATGTTATTATTTGTTATGAAGCTCTGGTCCTGATATATCAGGAACTGCTTGAATATTTATTCTATACTGATAGTTAAACTTTTGTGCCGCCATCCATGCCATGCATAGGTACGCTTTTTGTATGCTGCCATACAAGCACCGCCTCATATAAGATGCGCGTACAATATTTCTTGAGTTTCGAACTGACACTATTCAATCTAGCCCTTCGCGTAATAACAGCGCGAAATAGGGCACTTCTAACGACTTATCTAAATTGCCGAATGTTTTGTGTTGTACTTGAACTGCTTATCTAAGTGTTTTTCAAGTGCAATAATTTTCTTGAAAGCAATTATGTTTCTATTCTTTTGGTGATCTGATAATAGATAGAGGGCTATTCCAAATCAGTGGTTCATTAACGAAAACAATTTCTGTGAACAAGTTAGTGTATCAAATTCTGCAAAATTTGTATGTCGACAAAAATCCACCAACAAAAGCAACCACAATTAATAATCAATTCCAAGTTAGTGTATCAAATTCTGCAAAATTTGTATGTCGACAAAAATCCACCAACAAAAGCAACCACAATTAATAATCAATTCCAAGACGTATCAGAATTACAAAATTTGATAAGAATATCATCAATTTCCAAATACCTAACAGGCTAGTTGGAAAGTCTGTTGCCAAGTAACGGATAAAACAATTTCAGTCATAGTATTTTATTTGGCAAAATCCATGTAAATACATCAGATAGCAACTGATTGTCAAATAATTCTTTGAACGAACTGACAGCTGGTAATGATCTAAGTATCATCTGCAATTTTTGTTGTCACTTCGTAAACATCAGCTGCGTATAATGAAAACGAAAGTGGTTCAAGGTTTTTGTCACAACTCAGAAGAATCACTCGACTTGGTTTGTTGTGTGATAGAACACGTAAGATATATTCCACGATAACCACTCCAGATACAGATATTTATGTTTTTAGATTTATTTTTTATTCAAGTAAGAAAATGCTAGAATCTAAAATAAGATCAAAACTACTAAATTTGGAGTTTGTAAGTCAGATAAAATGTAAAACACGAAAATAGTCTTGTACGATAAAGTGAAAGTCTAATCATTTAAATTGAATAATTGAGTTTGGTGAGCTCTTATATATATACAATTATGATTATACATACTTATAAATAAGTTATAAACATCTATCTATGGATATAAATGACAAAAAATTACTCATATGATATTTAAAACAAAATTCTGCAGTTGGCAGATAATGATTACTTTCAATTAAAAACTCTATAAGTGCTGCTGGTCACTGCTGGTCTCACCTCTACATTTTACCATCGATGCAGTGAGCCATTTGTTTATTCTTAGTGGAGCATGCCGCTGCGAAAATAAAATAAAGTTTGCCGAAATGACTTCCTCTCACGAGAAGTCCCCGGTGAGTTTGTTCCAGGAGTGGTGCGCAAAAAAGTCCATTATACCTACATACGAAGTTAAAGAATCAGGCAGTTGTCACCCAAAGGTTTTTGTTTGCAAATTGTTATTTAATGAAGAAGTTTTCTGTGCAAACGGTTTGTAATTTATTTTTTCAGCAGTTTTTTCTATTTGAACTATTGAATGCCGAAACATGTTTTGATTTGGTTCTCTTGCTCTACTGGAATAACAATAACTAATTATTCTAAGATCTCTGGACGAATCTTTCTCTAACTACTAAAAACTAATATTATAACAAACAAGAAGTCTTCTTAGCAGATAAAACTTAGCTATTAGACTTTTTCTTAAGTTAAAAAAATAAATTTTAAGATAAATTTGATAATTAATTTAATTAAACTATCCTATCTCTTTCGTTGGAGTCTAGTATTCTTATAATAATTAATAATTAATCTATTTTCTATTCTTTTGGTATAGGTATTGGCTTTGATATTGATTGTTTTTATAGTTAAAGTTTAACCGTTAAACTTAATTAAAATATTTTCAAATTAACTAATTTTTTTATTAAATTAATAATTAATTAAATCATATATATGTGAATCATATGATTTTATTGACTTGAGTTCATGTTTGGACATTTTTTTTATTATCTTCATTTATAAAATATATAAAAATTATGAATATAAGATAAATAATTAAATTTTGTTTAAACTAAATACATTATTTTTTTACATAATATATATGGGTTTCATTATTTAGGCCTTTACTTTACTATTACTTGCTTCAATTTTTTTGCTTGACAATATTTTATTTTACCATTTCAATATAAACTTTAATCATCTTTTTCATGAATTAAAGATTAAAAAAGAACTTTACAATTGTTATTAATTCAGATGCTTATGTTAAATGTATATGCACCTTTAAAACATTTATTTATTTTATGCCAGTGAACATTCAACTGATATCATTTTGAGATTCATATTTTCAATTTACGTGAAACGTCACATTGTTACTATTAGATTTTGGCTCAGATTTATGTTTTCAATTGTTTATTACGAGTTAATGATTTGAGTATTAATTTGAATCCTTTCCTTATTTAGATTCTTAGATATAGTAATTGCCAGTAAAGTTTAATTTTGATAATTAACACAATATAATTTTTTTTGGATCATTAATAAATTTAGGATTTTTATATAAAGTCACTAAGCATGCCTCGGAGATGTATATATCAGAAATGTCTCTATTGCACATTGCACATAGGGCAAAACTCTACTGGCCAATGAAAAATTTTTAAAAATTTTAAAATTGTATTCTGTTTTTTTTTTAAATATCACCTATAGTCTGTTATAATTCTTTCCTTCATTGGATTGATTACATGTGTATTATTATTGTATCTGTTGTATAAAGAAGTATTATATGATTATTTATTAATAAATTAATTTTTCTTGTTTAATTTAATCTAATCTATATTGTATATAGCTTTTTTTTAAATAATTATCGGTATGCTAGATATATATCTCTTTTGTATACAAATTAGTGACTGACTGGATTGTTTAAAAATTTTTTGCTGTTATTTTAAAATAGTTTTTATTTTATAATATTATTAATTTTAAATTCCAGCTTCAAGCAAAAAGAAAGCTAAACAGGAATCAGCATTAATGGCTTTGAAGAAAGTTTCTGACAAAACAGAGAGGATTAACTTAAAATTAAAGTTCAGCTCACAAATTTTCACTAATCCATTTGGCATTCTAATAATAAATAATTTATTAATCTTCTAGAAATCAGAAAGAAAATGCAGGAAGTTATAAGTTTGAGAAGAATTATGTTGGAGAGTTGCATGAAATAACACAGAAACGATTGTTGCCACCTCCTACTTTCCAATACCAACAAGATCAAAAATCTAAGCAGTATCTTTGTACAGTCAATCTTATGCAGTTGTCCATGTGTGGTAATTATTTGATTAACTTTTTTATTCATGAATGTTATGAATTGAATGATAATTGAAACCTGCACTTCACATAAATATTTTTATTAATGTTTGGAATTGAATAATCCCGTATAAACTCATGTGCATTGTTGACTTACTTAAAAAATAGTGACACACCTTTTTGAAATGTTTGCCCTAAAAGTCTAAGCTAAGCAAAAAAATTTAATTCTGTTGATGTTAACTTTGGGTGTAAGATAAGATTGGCACTTAAACATCAATGTTCTCTGCAAATAACTAATGCAATTTATCCCAATCTAATGCCTTTTATACTTTGGTGCGGTTTATAATGTTTCAATTTTTACTTGATGACTTCATTACTTTGATGTGCTTACATGCTCTCCAATTAAGTTATGAATTAAAAATGTTATAAATAAATAAATATATGAATGAACTAACTAGTGAATAAATAAATAAATAAAAATAGATAAATTTCTTATATTTACGCATATATTTATAATTTAAATTTTGTGTATATTTATGCACACGTGTGTTTTGTCCAAATTATGATACAACTCTTTACCTGGCCACATAGAAAAAACTTTCAAAAATTTTTTAGTGTCCGGGCCATCTAAAAAACTTTCAAAAAGGAATGCTTGCAAGAGGTTGTTAGAGGAATTGAAAATTGAAGACCTGAACACAACTTTGAACCAGACAGCTCTTTCTTTAGATGTTTGTTGAATTTCTATGAAAGGCCGTTGTATCTCTCTGTGACAAAACTATGGGTGTTCAAAAAGCATTTTATTATTTTTAAAATTTAATCAAATTCGTAACTTTTGGTTAGGTTTCTCTTGTGTGCTTACTTTTTGAATTCTTTGACTTTTTTGAGTGAATTGATTTTTGATCAAAAAGTTGACTTTTATGTTCATATATGGTTATTTATTTATTAACTGAACTGTTTTATTTAATGAAAATTTTGTTCTAAAAATATTTATTCAACGTGAAAGTTCTGGAGATTTTGTGGCAACCCAAAATTTTTTATAGACAATCTTGTTACAGGGAGATGCACATTTCTTTATATTATTAAACTGGTATTATTAAACTGATAGAAGATTTATTTCGTTATTAAAACATTCTTTATATTAAGAATGCAGAAAAAAAATTGGTTGAAAGTTCATCCTTCAAGCCAGTTTTAAAGCATGATATCAAGTTAAGCTTACTACAGCCAACAAGAGTCACCTCTCAATCTTATTTGAAGATGATGGAAGATTTAGCCAGGATTCACAAATTTGAAGTTATAAATGTGAACATTAGTGAACTCAACAGTAAAGGTAAATAATTTTTTGAGTTTCGTAAATGTTTTCAATCTAATGATGGTAAATAAAGTTTATGGTTATGTTATTTGCAATATTTAGAGACAGTAGATGTCATATGTTTGTTGAAAATCTAATGCCTGGAATCATTTTAATTTTTGGTTTTTGAATTTTTAACAAATCAAACTTTAAACATAGCAGAAGTGCCATATTATAATTTATAAGATATAACAAACAACAACACACGTTTAGACGGCATTTTCCCCGAGATCGGGGGTTGCCGTTTGGCTACCTATGATGAAACCGAAATACCCCTCGACGCCATCCACATCTGTCACTCGCCTCAGTATCACGCAACCCCGCTTTCACCCTGTCCTTCTCCACCTGCTCTCTCCATCCCAATCGCGGACGACCCCTTCCTACCACTCCTTCAACCTCGAACTCCAACGCTCGCCTAATCCCGACCCTTTCATCCCTTCTCAACACATGTTCATACCACCGCAATCTCGATCTCCTTATCAATGTCACAATGTCCTCATTCAGTCCCATCATTGACATCAGCTCTGTACTACTCCTCCTATCCTTCACTTTAACCCCACACATCATCCTCACCATAGCTCTTTCAGCCCTCTGCAGTACACTTTCCTCCTCAACACTCAAGTTTCACCACCATATACCATCGCTGCTCTCACACATGCTTTATATACCCTCCCTTTCATCATCACTGACCATTTCTTTCCACACAATACCCCACCCAGTTCCCTAAATTTCATCCATCCCACACGAACTCTAGCCGTAACTGCGCTCAAACATCCTCCATCCGCATTCAGCTTATCCCCTAAGTAAACAAAGCTTTCCACTCTTTCAATACCACCACTCAACCCCGTCCTTGCGTCCGTCCTATTAATCACACCATTTCTTACATTTGAACGTGCCTTCCACCTTTTTCAGTGCCCCCTCACACCACTACATCTCTTATGCACCCATTTCTGACATCCTATACACAATACCGAGTTAGCCTTCACTCTCCTATCACATACCCCACAGGGGTCTATTTTACTTATCACTCGCTCCCCACCTTCTCCACTCACCATTACCTTCGTCTTACCAATATTAACTTTTAACCCTTTCTTTTCAATAACACTTTTCCATCTGTCAAATTTTAACTGCAATTCTTCCATGCTATCAGCCATCAAGACTAAATCATCTGCATACAAAATCTCAAATAACAACCCCTCCATTATGTTTCCACACACAACATCCATCACAATTGCAAACAGAAACGGTGATAACACTGATCCTTGATGCACTCCTACCTTAACACTAAAAGCGTCCGACATCCCCCTTCCAACCCTCACCTTTGTCTTTGCCCCTTCATACAGCTGCATCACAGCTTTAACAAGTCTCTTATTCACTCCTTTCTTCCTTAACGCCCATTCAATGACCTTCCTTGGTACTCGATCAAAAGCCTTTTCTAGATCCACAAAACACATGTACAATCTTCGTTTCTTCTTTCTATAATTCTCCTGCAACATTCTCACCATGAACAACGCATCCACCGTTCCCCTACCAGGCATAAACCCACACTGCATTTCATTAACTGTCACCATACTTCTCAACCTCCTCTCAAGCACCCTCTCCACTACCTTCATTCCGTGCTCTAGTAATTTCACACCCCTGTATGACCCACAATCTCTCACATCTCCTTTGCCCTTATACAACGGCACCAACACACTGTGTCGCCAATCCTCAGGTATACTTTCATCATCAAACATACTGTTAGCAATTCTCATCATAACTTCAATTCCTATCACCCCACTCGCTTTAATATGTTCTGCCGCTACTTCCGAAACCCCTGTCGCCTTACCTAGTTTCATTTCTCTAACTGCTTTCTCTACTTCCTCCATCGTCACCTTCTCTATAGGTCCGTGTGTGACCGCGGATTCCACATCTCCATCCCACTCATTCTCTTCATTCATCAACCTTTCCATATGAGCTTTCCACACCTGAGCTTTTTCATCCTCATCTATGCACATCTTGCCAGATCCATCCCAAACACATCCATTCCCTATAACATCTTTCCTATCCCTCATTGACTGCTTTGCTACTTTGAACATTTTCCTCGAACTCACATCAAATTCCATTTCCTTCATTAACCTATCTGATGCTTTCGTTATTGCAGTTGCCACTGCCTGTTTTGCAACCTTCTTAGCCTTCCTATACTCAGACTCCGCTTCCTCCGTCATGTCCCTTCTCCATACCCTAAACCTCTCCTTCTTGACTTCCAAAACCCTTCTTATATCTTCATCCCACCACCACGTCTCACCATGCCTACACTTTCCTTTCGTCCATCCACATACTTTATCTGCCGTAGCCAACACACAGTCCCTGTATCTCTCCCAAACATCTCCATCCTTACCACTCTCCCAATTTTCAGCCACCTTCACTTCAAATGCCTTCCTCACCTCTGCATCCTGCAACTTCCATGTCTTTCTCTTTGCCACAAACTTGCCCTTCTTCCTCCTCCCCATTTCTTTTGATGTCACATCCATCACAACCATACTATGCTGCAACATACCAGGTATCGCCTTCACATTCTTCACATACTTCCTATGTTTGGCCCTTACCAATATATAGTCTATCATCGATCTATGTTCCCCTGACCTATAAGTAATCAATCGCGCTGGTTCCCTTGTGAACCAAGTATTCCCCACCACCATGCTATGTGCATCCGCTAACTCCAACACTCTACGCCCTTCCTCATTCCGTATACCATATCCCCATCCCCCATGTACACCTTCATATCCGTCTGCATCCGCCCCCACATGACCATTAAAATCACCCAACAACACCACAAACTCATTCAACCCCGCTTGCCCAATCTCGTCAGAAACATCATCATAAAACCTATCCTTCTCCTTTCCTTCCTACTTNGTTGCGGAGCATATCTGATATCACCCTCACTATTACTTTTCCAAACACCATCACCACCACAATTACCCCATTGCTTCTCCGCCTCACTTCCAACACCTTCTCCACCAACTCTTCTTCTCTTATCATCACACCAACTCCTCCCGTACCATCATCCCCCTTCCACCACAACTTATATCTTCCACCTTTAGCCCCCACAAACCTTGTACCCTCACCCTTCCATCTGATCTCCTGTAATGCAGCCACGTCAACCATTCTCCTCTGCAGCTCCTCCACCACTTCCAAACTTCTTCCTGTCAACGTGCCTACATTCCAGGTACCAAACCTCCAACCCCTTGGTCTACAAGTAGTCCTTCCATCTATAGTGCCTTGCACCGCCACACTATAGAGTGGGGTGCCAGTAGCCAGACCATCCACAGGGCCTTGCACCACAACCCCATGGACTGGGTCTCCGGAGATTCTTCGCACCCTCTTCTGCCGGATACTGAGGGCCATTGTTTTTTCCGTCATCATAAGTATTATTATTTGGCTAGTTTTTACACAGGACGCCCTTCCTTACGCAACCACAGTTATAAGCGGTGGGCCTTGCCTTTGATGATCCAACATCACTCACAAGATATTGAGGGTCAGTTTAATGTCTTCTGTTATAATTTATAACATGCAAAGAAAAAATGAAAATTCCATCGTCTCTCAAAGTTAACACGCATCTGTTCTTCTCTTTAGAAAGTGTGCAACATCATGATAACCCAGAAAATAATACTTCAGCTTTTCCTTCTTACTTGTTTTCACACCACAATCAAGCCACTTCCTCCACTTCATCCCAAGGCATGGTGACCTCGATATTTTCAAACCTCATTTTGTGTCTTCTGGACTCAGTTGCCTGTCTAAATGAACGAGTGTCTGGACTCTGAAGAAGGTATCAAATAAAATATAGGTAACGCCGAGATCGCCATTCCTTTCTTGCTCCAACCCATCAAAGAGTATTTTAAACATACGTGCCAGTAACAGTGCCACATACTTCCAAGTTAGTCAATCTTTCTCAGGTTGCTCATTTCTGATACTGTCTCAAAGTAATGCCGCCTTCCTGTTCTTTATTAATATACATCGACCACGCCCCGCTTCCATAAAGCTGGCAATTCTAGCTGCAAGTCCCATGTATTACATTTAAGTTGTACGTGTGAAGTTCTAGTGCATGCAAGTTGGTCATCCTCCTTAATTTTTTATCCTATATCAATCATTGTATTACACACCCTGACTCAGACATTGGAACGCACTAACTTTTTCATGAGCAGCTTTCATCAAGTCATCTATTCTCTCACTCAAACTCGTTTATTTCATGTCCAATGCTATGATTAACTAGACTGGCGTTGGTCCAGTTGCTTCAAGCACGTCAAAGTCAGTTCTTTCAAGGAAACAAATAGTTGATGTTAAATGATTTCGTGTCACAATGCAACGATCTCATATGGAACATGTTGATGAATAAATATTCATTATATTATGTATTGAAATAAATATTGGTGCCTGGCTCGAGTTTAATCAACGAAATATTTACGGTTGAGCCAGTTCCTCTATTATAATATTATGCATTGAAATTCTTTTATGCTATATTACACAAACAGTTGTGATTTGGTTCTTATTGGTTATTTAAAATTTACGAACAATATTTTATCAAATGTTTGTAGGTGAACACCAATGTTTGTTACAAATTTCGTTATATCCGGTCATGATATTCAAAGGAACGGGTACAACGAAAGATGAGGCTTACAGTGATGCTCTGGTCAATGCATTTGGCTTTTTACACAACTTCGTGACGAAAGTTGAAAAGAATGAGACAAAATAACATCTACGTGTATTAAGTTAATATTTAGGTTTACTCTTCAACGTTCCTCTCGTGTTCATATTTATTTAATTCTTCATCCACTTGAACAATTTTTTTAATGTGAATTGAGATATTTTTTGATTTTTATGTCATAAATAATTTTTCACAATTACTTGCACACAGAAATGACAATTAAATCAGTTGTACATTCCATATTAAACAATGTTGTTTTCTACTTATTAATAAAATATCAAATATCAACTCCTAAATAGAAGATTTTCATTTCAAACCGGCTGGTTGTGCATCACTCGTTAGTTTTATTTATGGCTGAAATGTGGAATGTTTCTTGCTCGCTATTTTTAAAATGTTATTCGTTTTTTTGTTTCGTAAAACTTTCAGATGCTTAAATTTCACGTTTAAAAGACGGCAAGACTATGTTATAGCTTCTAACGGCTTTTTGATTCTCTAGTATAACCTGATTGATTGGTTATTATAAAAAATGAAAAAAAAGAATTTGAAAAATGGAAAAGAAATGTTATGTTTTTCGTTGAATTTAATCTTCAAAGCAAATGGAATGCTTACCGTTAAGATGTGCTTAATGTCCTGACGTGTTCTTTGCTCATTTTTTGCGCGTTCGTGAAGCCTCTGAAATCGAACATCTAAGTTTTTTAATATCTTCTGCACCGAGTCTAGTTGGGGAAGGGTGACGAGCTGAACAAATCCGACGTGGACATGCATTTGTTGGTTTGTTCGGAAGGATGAATTTGTGTACAGTTGACGCCATCGACCTAACTTGTTTTGCCTTTTAAACAATCGATATTGTGTTTTTGATTTGTGTTTAGCATTGGAGATGATATACATTATTTAATGCACTTTTTATTTGTCAACTCTCTATTCACTAACTTCTTGCATCAAACTTTTTGCCTATAGTTGACCGACAGTTAGGAACCAAAAAGTGAATCAAATTATTGAACCAAAAAGTCAGATGTGTACATTTCGCGTTTGTGACTTTTGAAAATTGGAAGAATTGGTATATTAATAAATATGTCATTTACTGTGCTGCATATGGTGTGCATATATGGCACAAAGAGGTATTGTGCAAATAAATATTTAATATATATATATATATATATATATATATATATCAATCAATAGGAAACTTATATAGCGCCAATTAAATGTTTTCAAAAATTATATACATATATATAATTAATGTTGAGACAGTCGCAGATAATTTGTTGAGAAATATCACTTCATTTTCAGCTTTGATCAGTTTCTGGTTCAGTTTGTCAACACAAACAGTAATGGTTTGGTTTTCGTATCGTATTTTTTCATTGTTTTTTAACTTGAGTTTAAACTATTTTTTTATTTATTTTTATCATATACAGAAAAAGATTTTTACTGTTGGTTGTATCTTATACTTATATCTGTGCGTTCCCACTTTATTGGCTACAAGAGATCACTTTGCGTTGGTCCATTATTTCTTTTTATTAGTAGTATCTTCGTCGGTAGCAAAGTTACTGCATTTTGTTGAATATTTATTACAGGGTTTTCTTTGCAATTTTAAGTTGAAATGTATTCCTGTTGCGCGACAGTATCTTTGTGTTACTGTTGAGTATCTCTCTAGTAATTGCTGTTCCGTGCGCTGACCAAAGCTGAAAATGCAGCGATATTTCTTAACAATTATATGTGATATTTCTTAACAATTATATGTATACACGTTGAAAGAATATTAGAGCGCTTCTTTTTTACTTAGATTCAATAGATTCAAAAAATGTGATTGCATGAGAAATACAAAAATATTACAACTCAAGAAAAAACCGACCTAGTTTTGTTTTGCCTTTGTTTGTTTTGCATTTGTGATGGTTTGAGGCTAAGCCTTCTACCGATTGGTGCGTTGTTTGTAACTCTGTCACTCGATTTGGAAGTGGACGATGATAATCGCATAACTTTGTTCCCGGGCAGTAGTCCGTCCTTATCTTTATTTTGGTTTTAAATAACTCTGTTAAAACTTGAAATAATATCAATAACAGTTCAATCAATCATTTGATTGTAATTATGAGGTATCAAAACGAAAAAGAAAAACTTGTCCAATGGAATATTTGATGAGAAAATAATCGTTGTTAAATAAAAATGATAAAAAGCAAATAATACAGAATATTTAAAATCATGGAAAATCTGACAATGAAGAAAAGAAGAAAGAAGCTGACAACAACCTGAAAATGATAAAAAATACGAATGGCTTGATAGTTTGATAGTTCTGTTATCGTACCGCTCATATTTATTTTACATTATTGCATTGAATGGTTAGAAAACTTGGCCCTGCGTTGTACAGAGATAACCTGCTTAAAGATTATGATACACTGTTTGCCCGCATGCATTCGCAAATGTAGTTGATTGATTGTTTATATGGTTGAATGATTGATTGATTGCACTTCAGATCTGGAATTTGTGTAGAGTAATATAACTGTAACCACCTGGGTCTTTGAGCTGTCCCGTGTATGCCTCATTTGTGAACTGAGACACTGGATCACAGATCACTGCCGAAACTTCTTTGTCTAATAAAATATATAAAGTGAACATTTATTTATGTATTATTTATATAAGGGCAGTTTTAATATATTTCATATCTATCAGACAACAATAATAAGCTTGTTTATTCAATGGGATCATAAAATATGGAAATTTTTAAACAAAATATAATAATATATATATGCAGATTTTTAGTTGAAAATATGTTGCGCCCGTTGGTATGGCCAATGGCAATCCTTGGCTCGGAAGGTTGGACACTGAAAGAGAAGATGAAAGAAAAATTGAAGTTTTTGATATGAATGTTTAAGAAAAATACTAAAGGTGTCATGGAAAAACAGAAAAACGAATTAATGGGTCCTAAAAACGACTGAAATACAACAAAAATTACTGCCTGAAGTAAAAAAAAAATTAGGCTACTTTGGTCACATCTTCGGGAAACACTAAAGCAATGAAAAAGATATAATACAAGGGACGCTGTCCAAATCAAAACGAAGAGGAAGGCAAAGAAGAAGATGGATCGATGACATAGAAGACTGGAGGGATTTTAAAATGGGAGAGTTGTTGAGAAAGACGCAGGACAGAGTCACCTGGAAAAAACATGAATGGTTAAAGATAAGACAAGTTGAAAAAACATTGAAAATATCGGAAAAATGAAATTGAGTTAAAAGAATAAAATGCAAATTTAGAAAACAATTATTAATTCCGGAAGTAAATGGGTATTACCGAAGAATATCAAATCCTTCTCACCTTTAAAAAGAATTCATGTCTAAATAATTTATGTTTTGCATTGAGAAGATCAAATTATATTCAACACAGAACTAACGAAATGACATGTTGATGAAGAAGCCAATCAAGAAAAGAAATATATTTTAATGCTAGACAGATGAAAATACGAATTCAGTAGCATTATTTATTCGCAAAGACAGAGAGATGTTATAGAATTGAAAATATAATAAAATGTAAAAATATAGATGAAATTGTGAAACAAATTACAGTTTGTAAACTTGTAAAGATATTGATGGAGAAAATAGTAAAAGAATTTTAAGATTTATTAAACAAATTGGTTCATAATTTGAAAAATTTAATTTAAAATACATTCAATTACTCCAAAAGTAATGAATGTAAGAAATAATACTAATATATCCAAAACCACAGTTACAGTGCATTTCAGTGCTGAAAATATCTACATAGTCGGTGTATAAGATAAAATGAATAAAAAAAGTTGTTAAATTCTTTGTTTTCTATATAAATAAGTTAAAAAATTATGAAAAAATACGATACGAAATATTGAAAAATTGAACCAGAAACTGATCAAAGCTGAAATATATAAAGTTTATATAATTATATATATATATATATATGTGATATGTGTGTTCTGTGTGTGTGTTTATTGTTACGAATAATTTATATGGCTTCGATGAGTTTATAACGAAAAATTTCTAATAGGCAATACTATTAAAATCATTTAAAATTTTGCAGGAATTTGAAACTTCTTACTTTCTTCTTTCATTCTTTCAAGCTTAAATAGATACCTCCTAACAAGCCTCTGAAGGATGTCGGAGTAGGTATTCAGGTAGATGCCTGTTGAATCGTCGTCGCTCGTGCAGGAATCGTTCACACGTTCCACCTTGAAAGTTTTCGATGATTTTATATCTACCGCAATAGTTTCAGGTGAACGGTGAAATAGTTGAATTAAAAATTTAAATTAATTTATATCAAATTACGTTGAGCAAATGTAAAAATCAATGACACAACATTCCAATGAGCAATAATCAATACAACTGAGAGTATATATTCAGTTGTACACATAAACTTTTACATTTATGATTAGCGTTTCATTTAATATAGATTTAAATAAATAATAACACTACATATCTTTTCTTCGAAAACCTTGAAGAAGAACAGATAGTAGCAATACCATCAGTGCAGTGAAATTTATGCTGGGGACCAGAAAGTAAATATAAACTTTTCAATTAAAAAAAAAACCAAAAAACAACTTGAAACACGTAAATTATTATTTTTCTAATTCACTCAGCCCCGTCTTCTTACTCTATTGACTCCAAAGAATTTTTTCTTATTAATTAAATCGACTAGTTTTTTGCAAAATGTTTCGTATGCACATGTTTGTTTGAAGGAACGACAGATATGAACGAATATAAGCTACCTGAATCTTGAAATACACTTGAAAGTATGTATATCAGCCTTCCGGCATCAATTTATTACGAATTTTTGTAATAAATTTTCAAACGGTACAATATAACACAAAAATAAACTGCCTGCTAGATGTCAAACCTTGAGATTATGTTTCTGGAACGTTAATACTATTTATATACTGTTGATCAGAAAAAATACGACAAATAGTTATTTGATTTTATAAGAAGATATACGTTATTGTTGTACTGTAGCATGATAAAACAACGATGGCAATACTTAATGTGGTTGTTGAATGAAGCATATGCACAAATTTCATGAACAGTAACATAAAACGATCGTGACAAAACCACATGATAATATTTCAAGCCGAATGACCCAAATTGTCCAGCGTTAATGTCATTTCCAAAGCATACAAACGTACACTCACATAAGCAATAACTCATACACTAACATACACATACATACGTACACAAACAGCACGGCCAAAAAACATTAACAAAATTGACCAACATTTTATAGTGAGGCATTCAATGAAGTCTGAGCGGCTATCCAATTGTTACATACTTACATGCATATTACACACACACACCACACACACACACACACACACACACACACACACACACACACACACACACACATTAGATTTCAATTATATTTAAAAATATATCGTTATATACATATGTATGTATCTATGTAGATATATATTGCTACTGCAATGGTCAAATTACGCTATATTATTTCTTATCTTGATTATTAGTTACCCTCGTTATCTTTGCTATATTTATAATCTTGTGATTGTAAAAATCTACCGTAAAGGCTATATAAGGTCCTACTAGGAGGAGGGGTTTAAACGAGGTTTAGAGCGAAAGTTTGAGAAAACAAAACCGGCCAACAAACAAGGACGGTTAAAATTGACGATGAAGCCAGCAATTAGAAATATAACCATGCACTAATCCTTCCTTAAATAATGTAAAAAAAAATACACAAGAGAGTATTTGGGGAATTAAAAATTTATTTGTTTGTAAATTAACAACCTCCAGATTTTTCTTCTTGCGACAGCGGTAATCCAAGAGGTAGGCTTTTATCCTGCTGCTCCAGCCGATGAAATATTTTAGAGTCTTAATAGTAGGGACAACATTGAATGGCACGGGTAGAGTGCTACCATGGTCAATGTAGTTCATCCAGAGTTTAGTTCGAGCAAATTTCCATTCCACATCACAATCACCCTAATTTTTTAAATTTTATTCATTTGGTGTTGGTTTGAAGATTTAAAATACAGTCGTAAAAATTTATTTGAGAATTTTATTTCGTTTAAAAAATTATTCAAACATGACGCACTTGATTTTGATTAACACTGTGTTTCACGTCATACACACATATATACACACATATATACACACACCTACACACACAAACACACACCTGGATAGCTTCGAATGAATGACTCATCATAGCAATGAGCATGTTGGTGAGGACGATGATGACAGTCACGTGGTAAAGTGCGAAAAGATACATTCCAACTTGTTCGACCAGTGACGTCGTGTGGTTGCCTCCAGGAAAGTTGTTGTGGTACTCACTACTCTCCCACTTGCCAGGATACTTCACTTCGACGCTTTCCACTGGAACCAGCCCGAACATTGACCAAAACAAACTCTGCAATGTTCTCGGAAGCCTGTATAGAGTGGGTTTTTTGATTAATGCCACTAAGCATTAGATGCTGATGTTTAACTTTGGAAATGCATCACGGTAAAAAAACACTTGGTTGAAGTACATTAAGGTCATTTAGTTAAATTATTAAGGTTATTTAATTTGTTAGCACTGCTTTTTTCATACATATTTTATTAACAACGCATAAGAATCTGGACAGCTCTTTTAGACGGATTGACATTGTATAAATCTCTAATTCAATTTTCGTATGCAACTTCAACTGCCAAAAACTGACTTGAAAAAAAGTCAATTAAATGTTTGCTTAATTAGTTGCTTCTGATATGTTTGGAGAATGGATTTTCAAAATCTACACTGCCTTTGTTTGTTGCTTACACTTCCCCCAGCAGCGGAAGTGTTCCCTCAAAATCCTTCAATGAAGTGAAAGTTGTCAACGACTGCTACATATTTTTCTTTCATTTTTGGAGTGACAAAGGCAGCAAAATTGTGATTTTGCAATTATAAAAGTAAAACGTTCTAAAAGTATTCTTAATAATTGGTGTGGCTACTGAGAAGCTACAGTTTAAACGTTTAGCACAGGAGTAATTTAAGTTTAAGCTGAAGTAGGTGAGGCAAAATAATACAGAATATTTAACACGTGTAATTAATATTTTGTACCATCACGGTTGAAGAGACCAACTGACAATTTTCTCACACCATCACAACATTTCATCCGACACTGTTGAAAATGTACTTGAATATTGTAAAAGTATAATGTCTAAAGAGATGCAGCATGTTGCAGTTGCGCTAATGTTAAAGAAAACCAAAACAGGAAAAGCAGTGCATAGGAGTGAAAAGAAGGAAAGAATAGTATTCGTTCAGAAAGGCTGGACTCATCAGCAGCCCAAATACCTGGCAGTTTTTTCTTATATAACCCCACAAATTACTTCGTTAGTCTGTGCTGTTCATTTTATTTATTTTTTGAAGATCGTTAGTTTTAATGGTTAGGATTTGCGATTCGACAAGTATTTATTATATTACAGTTATGAAAAATTCAATAAAGAGTTGAACGGGAACATGTTTCAAAGTCTTAAACGTTTTAAACAAAAGTATTAAACATATGTTTATGCTAAACTTTTCAATATTTTACAGTTAAGGAAACTTGAAAAACACAAATTTTAATATGATTATTAGCATAAGCTAAGATAATTTTGGCGCTTTTCAGTGAATGAAAGTTTCAAATTAACAATCAAATTTTTCTAGACTTCCTCAAAAAGGATCATAACAAAATAAATTAAAATTAAAAATCTCATCGGGTTTATTTGAAAGACGTGTACGAGCATGAGCATTTTTTGTAGAAAAAATCGAAAATTTCGCTGCTGACAAATATTGTTTGCTGTTACCAACAATTTCTCAAGACATTTCAAACGTTTGCCGCTTAGTAGCTTCAATTCGTAACATTTTGAATCAAGTTGTGAAGTGTACATGTTTGCATTATTTTTTGACTTAATACAAGCATGCATTATGTTATTTGAATGAAATATTTTACATGAATTATTTACATTGAAAATAATGTTTCCATTTTGATCAAGCAGTTTATTTATTTACACACACAACATGAGACTAACCCTTGAAATGCGACAGTGGAGTAGTGGATTTTGTTGTCTCCCTCCTTGCCGACATATGTCTGGAAACCGTAGTACCAGTAGAGGTTATGCAGGCCAACCATGAATGCAAATAGCACCTTTTCATTTTCAATATATACTTTGGTAATAATTAATCGGTTAAGATTTAAATTTCATTTTCAAACTTAATAAAATTTTCTTGTTTTGCCTTATTTATCTTATTGTTTATTTGTTTGTAGTCAGAGTCCTAAATCTCATTTATATAATTTGTATTTACATAAGCCAAGAACTGATTTTTTCATAATATCAACTTCGTCGTTTTCTATATGTTTTTGGAATAGTTTAGCAACTACTGTAAAAATTCGTCTCCACTGGGTATTTTTGAAAACTCTATTTTCAACTTGTTTTTGATCAATATTTTTCTTAATATCTTTATTTTAGGCACGCCAGAACTTTCACTTTTTATTTCGATGTGAGTGTTTGTGTGTATATATATTTGTATATATATATATATATATATATATATAAATATATATAATAAATAATAAATATCAATAAATATATATATATATATATATATATATATATAAACTTGTTGGGGACCCCTTAAACAGAAACAAAATTAATCACAGTAATAACATACAAATACATACATATTTGGCGTTGTTTATTTCAGTTTTTTAGTTTTATTGCAGTTGTTTCAATTTCTGTTTTTTGCATGTTATTACTGGTATCAATATATATATATATATATATATATATATATACAATAACAATATATATTATATATATATATATATATATGTATATTTATGTTTTTTTAAATACAATGTGCAACGATCCTAATATAGAAAGCGTAAGCGAAGGCAGCCGCCATAAATATGCAACAATCGCAGTGAAGTTAAACGAAGCGTGCATGTGGTTTCTACAGAGCATGTAGCCTACTGTATTTTTTTCATTTAATATGTACCCATAGTAATCTATCCCGTGTAAATATGCAATTTACTGAGAAGCAAGAGAGATAAATATCAGGCGAGGCATGGTGTGTGTGTGGAGCACGTGTTTATCTTGGTAAGTGCCAGCATTGGCATTATTTGCTTTGCTTTATTGCTGAGCTGACGTTCAGCGTGTCGCATTATGATAAAGTTTGATAGATTTTCGTGAGCAAATATTGTAATACATCGAATGGCATAAAGATAAATATCACTGTCAGATGAATCATTAATAAACCAAACAATTTTGGCGATTGTAACGTTCAAATAGAAACAATTAAAAAAGCTTCAAGGTTTATAAAACTAGTTTTAATATTACACTGAGTGTATAATAGAAATTTGAATGAATAAATAAACGGATAAATAAATAAACAAATGAGTAATATATATATATATATATATATATATATATATATATATATATATATATTTATATATTTATATAATCGTCTCATCATTTTTAGTTAATTTTGCCAATTATTTCATGAAATTCCCATATAAACTATCTAATTTCTTTGGGTTGAAAGTTTTCAAAATGTATGAAAATGTTTCGATAAATTAAACACACAAATGTATAAAAATGTTCCGATAGATAAAACATACCAGCGTGAAAAGAACAAGGAACCTTGAAATGTCTCCCAGCATTCTTCCCAAAGAAATTTGAAGAGGTCCTAGGACTTCGAAGGCAGGCATCATGGATGTTGTCCGTGCTATGCTGAGCACGTTTGCAGCTGCAAATAAAACGTCCGACACTATTTCAGGATCATCTGGCCTCCAATCAAAACGAGCTGCATTGGCATTGTCAACATCATGTTTCATAATGCATCTACAATACTATAACAATAAAGTAAATTGTCTAGAATATTTAAGGGATTTCTTTAAAGTCTAGTTGAAAAATATAATTATTTGGGATCAAATGGTTTGTAAATGTTTCATTGTTTTAAATCGTCAAATTCAAACATTGTTTAAACTGGCATTAGACCCAAAATGCTCCAAAATAATATGGAATTATCAACGTTTAAATTTTCAAAATAGAATTGTATTTATGTAAAGGACCGGGTCAAGTCTTTAGCGGATCCTAGACATGTTACCAAATCCATGCCTTCATTTCCACAAGATACTGCTAATAATCATTAGTAAATGTCGACTACATTTTGAATTATTTGTTGCTTTTCGAATTAACTAATTTTATTCAATTTCACAAATTGCGTAATTTTTTTTCTAAATTTTGTCATATTAAAACATTGCATTACGCATAGGAGTCAAATTTTACCAATTGACTCGAACCTTTACTTTGAAGTATGCTCATCATACAATCTCCATCGATGATATTTTTCTGCTGACAGAGTGTTCACTTAATCAAATGTAATGAGCCCACTTAAATTAATGCTGCTTTTCTTCCTATAAAGTTTTTAATGGAAAAAATATAGGATAGGGCGATGCCAGCATGATATGCAATAACCTCACTTGTTTAAAAAAAATTTCAAGACTTTTATTTAAATCGCGAAATTTTTTCAGCTTTCTGATCTAGATAAAGGGGATGGAGATTACAAAAGAACATTATCAAGTTTGAAACAGAATAAATAAATGTGCAAGTGCATCATTATTAACGATTTCTACTTCTTAAAATAAGATTTTGAATTATTCGCATGCATTAAGGTGCGCTATATAAACACATACATAACTACCTACCTACATACATACATGTATAGGTATACATCAGCGTAGATACATAGAAACGAATATAACTTACAAGCTTTCATGAAGTAACTCATTGAAGTTTTATTTCCTTCGTATATTTCTTTTTTGATCTGATGGAAACGTTTGCAGTCGTGTCTGTTGAGAGCTTCCCTCGCTTTCGTCGTGCCATTAAAAAAGTGATCGGCTTCTTTCATCCACTTGTCGACTGCGAATCGCAAAACGTATGAACCTAAGTAGAGAGACAATATGAAAAAATCTATCCAGTTGTAATAGTCCAACATGTAAACACGAATTCCTCGGTGGTGCAATTGTTTGCATTCGATCCATAACAAACCTGCACGAGTATATACGTAATACATTTTTACTCAACTCACGAGTTTGTATTATTTTTTTTGTTACGTGATTGTGTGTTAACGTTGAAAATGAAGCCTTACCAAAAATCCAGAACATTAAACAGATTTGTACGTTTGTGAGCAGTTTGTTTGCTGGTCTGAAAGATTGTTTCAACATGTTCTCGAAATAATTTCGTTCGTCTTCGCTTTCAACTTGTTGTGTTTGATGCTTAGATGGATAAGAAATTGAATTTGACGAAGCCATTGAGAATTTTGTTGAAATAAAATTTGGCTCCATTGTCGATGACATCGGTTTCACTGAGGTTGTTGTTGTTGTTTTTGTCATCGTAATCAATGAAAGTGCAGTACCATTCACATCAACGTTAATAACAGGATTTTTCATAGATTGGTTCATATGTCGAGAGTCTACGAAATAATGGAAAGACACATTTCTTAAAGCTTTACTAAAGGTCTGGTGGTATCTGCTGCTGTGGTTGCATTTGTTTTGCGTTATAAACTTTGACTTGTTCCAGTTTGTCGCACGATGGTGTCTGAAACATTGCGAATCAGTTATGTTAGAAAGGTTGTATGGATTGCGTTCCTCTAATCTGAATGTCGCCACAGCCAGTAAGACGAGGAAGCATGCATGAGACAATGTGTGCGTCAAAAATTTTGTCGCTGGGCATCTCAACATTTTACTCAACTGAATAAGTGAGCATAATTTTATACAACTTGTTAAATCTGGATATTCATCTTGTTTTAATAATTGCTACGAAAGCATACAGAAAACATTTCAATATAAATTTTGAAGGAAGTTTACAGCAAAGAAAATAGATGTTAACTAACCCTTGAGTTTGGAGATATGATATACAACAAACACGCAAAAGGTACAATTGGAATCAGCGTGCACAAGAAAATGACTTTCTTCCAATTTTCCATTGACTGCAAGAACCCCATATCAGAACCGTACCAGATGGTCGTCAAGTGTTGCTGGCAGTTAGCGTGAGCCACAAACTGTAGTTTTATATTTTATGTTGGATGTTCACTTTGTACATGCAGAGGTTGAGAGACTGAATAGGGAAGATGTCACTAAAATGATGGCACTTTCCTTTTCAACACAATCCATAAATTAAGCAACAAATTTGAGAAGATAGCACGAAAAAGCTGATTAAAGTAATTATAATAAGCCATAAATATAGGTAAGAACAATTACATAGAGACCTGCATAAACCAGATCTAAATAGACAATTGATCTCTTAAATCAGTTTACCACCTTGTAGATTAAAATAAATTTGATTGTTAAATAACGTTTACGTTATTTAAATAAATTACGTTTAATTTTGTATATATGTTTGCAATTGAAAAAACATTAAGCTTAAAAGATGCATAATACAAAATGTTAAGTATGGTTTAAATATATATTTTTTATTGATAATTCTATTTAAATTATATAATTAATTTTATATTTTTCATTTTTTAATGATTAGTATAAATAATTGTTTCAAACTAATTTACTACTAATAATTTATTTTTATTTCTTCATATTCATGAAAGGTGGTACTAGTCTCTATTTTTCAGATCAAGGTGGTGAGAGAGAGCGCAATAAAATTGTTATTAATAAAGTCTTAATTTTATAAAACTTTATAACCGTCAGTAATAATTTTGTTAATTAAAAATGTAAATCTTAAATAGATAATAAAAAATTAATAAATTTAACTAAAAAAACTAAATGATAATAATATTTTTATCCCACTTAAATAAAAAGCATAGACCTTTTTTTCTTCATATTCAACAGCCATCTTCAATCTGATAAGAGGATCGCCCCTGTCGTCGCAGCCTTCGTTTAAGACGGCCTCAACTTCTTGCGTTCCTCTGCAAAGATCCATCAGCTCACATGCAAAGTTCATACATTGCTCCACGAGACCCATATATTCATTCTGAAATTAAAACTTATTTTTACAAATTTTTAACGCCTGCTTTTTCAATTACAATAATTTATTGTTTTATAATCAAAAAATAAGAAAAATTATAAACAAAACATTATCTAGAAAGACAAAAATCTAACTTTAAATTCCTTCTCCACTTGGGCTAACTTTTTCATTTCCTGTCTCAGCTGGAAGGTGGTCATGATCGGATCCTGGCTGGAAAGTGCCATGTAAGCAGGACTTGCGAGGGCTTTGTAAGCATTTAAGCGAGATATCGACCGTTTTAATGAGTCACAATTTTGCTTAGCCGTGCAATCGCAGCAATGGCAAGAAATGGAATGCGGTTTTGCAATTGTCTGCTGCTTTGACAAGAACAGCTGTATAATTTCGTGGTTATTACGGTGAGCCGCCAAAATAAGGGGAGATACGTCGGGAGAAAATTGGCCACTTTTTTCTGCTCTTAAATGTAATTTTTTGAAACTGTTGTGAAATTTGCGCAATGGATAATTGGTATTCCTGGATTCGTATGTTGGGTGTTCAATTATTTGGCGAACTATTTTAGCTAGGTCCTTGCTGACAGCGTGTAGAAGTGCTTCGTCGATGAGTTCCAAACTGAGAAACTCCATCAAAAAATCAATCATTTCAATGTTTTCTCCATCAACGGCAAAATGCAGAGCACTCCTTCCCATATAATCTGTGCAGAAGGAAATTTTAAAGGTTTCTTGCTTGGAATGAAACGTGAAAGATTCAACGTAGCAATAAGTTTTATAACTATTGAAACTTCAAACAATATAATAAGCATATGACAAAACGCAGATTATATTATGGTATTTAGTTGCATCAGGTTAAAGGAAATAGATCATAAATCATGTATTGTATAAAGGGGAGCATCTCACGTACCAACGCAATTAACATCCAGATTTCTTTTCTTAAGACCCTTTACGCTTCTTTTGTTATTCACAAATTTAATAAATTCTTTTTCATTTTTTCCCAAATCATCAGAAGATCCCAATTTTTCATCAACGTCAATTTCCCCGACGACTGATTGGCGTACGATTGCCATGTCTCCCTGAGAGGCAGCCAGCAAATACACACGCTCCTCGTCCGTTAGCTGTTTTTGTTTCAATAAATTTAAACATTCTATTCAAGTGACCTGTAGTAATTATCTGTACACACTTTAAACATAAAAACTGCAAAAACATTCACAAATTTATGCTTAAAAAAATAAATTCCAACCAATTCATCTTCGGCGTTTGGATTGAAATGGGCCATGGTTGACTCGATGATTTTGAGCTTTTGGCAATTAATCCTTCATATCAGTCATATTTTTAAAATTTATTATTTAAAATGTGTAACTAACTAAAATTGAAATTGGTAAATAATCTATAGATTATAAAATTTTAGCTGAATTAAAATAATCCCAAATAAATATCTGTAAGACCCATTGTCGATTCCGAATACTGAAAAAAGTACAAGAAAAATTGAGCAAGATAAGCAGAAAGAGCATGATAAACGGAATAAACTAACTTAACCTACGAAGCATCAGTGGCATTTAGATAACTTGAATGTATTGAAATTAACAATACTACTTCACTGAGTTGTTGTAAGCATGAATTGACAAAAAGCAGGCGTTGATTTTAAGGCTGAAATGCTATGTGCAGTTTCATATAGAATCGTGTGAGTATTTGAGGAAGCGCTACTAATTTACGATTTGAGGTTCTCCTCTATCATAAAATATTTTCGTTCCGTTTTCATTCCAGTTTAATTCGGGACACACCCATATTGCATTCATAAATGTTAAAAATTTTCTAATTCGCCATTCAACAGTGTAAAATAAAGATTTATAATGAACTATTGTTATGAGTGAATTTCCACGAAATCAACGCTACAATTGATTCCAATACAACAACAATTCCATATTGAAGTAGTCATTAACTTCAGTCAAAAAAATGTGACTGAAGTAATTTCAGTATTACATTATTCTTTTTTAAAGAGTGAACTTGCTTTTTCAATAACTTTGCTAAACGTCATTAAAGACAAAAATATGTAGTTCTAGGAAAACCGCTTAGAAAAGAAAGCTTAAATTATTTAATCTTTTAAAAAGGATTTTTTTTTGTTGTGAAATTTTCAGGAGATGCAGCGCCAACAAATTATTTTCTTTCGTACGTCCACTCAACCGAACCGAAGAACGTGAAGAATTTAATTAAATTTGTGTGGCACCCCGCCATAAATAAAGTACATCCTGGCTCAACAGCATTAAGCCAGGAGCACTAAATGATTTGCAGAACAAATGAACGATTCGTCTGAGATAATTATTTTTGTAGTGTTTTACCGGTCAATATTGTATCTACGACTCAACATTGTATTTACATTACAAGTCAACATTACATTTACATTACAAGTCAACATTACATTTACAAGCCATTTTATTTGTGCAGTCTGTTTAATTTTAAAACCGTGTTTTACAGAAAGATTAAAAAATTTCTAATGAATTACTTCTAACAACTTTAAAAAAATTATTTATTCAATCGAAATATCAATATATGTTCCGGTGATAAAGCGTTCTCAAACATCAAGGCATGTTGTGCTTTCTATGTAATATAATTACATAGGTATAAGTTGTTTCATTTGAAACTTTAAAAAATTATACGAAAGTAAGCTAAAAGTATAAATAAATAAATATTTTTGCATTTGTCGATGTTTGGGCTACTGAATGTCTTGTGTCAGCAGTTGACACCAAATTTTATATCGTGTTTGCTTTGCTGAAAAGCTTGAAACACACATGCACGGAAAATAATATAGTTGCTTTTTTTAATAAAAGGAAAAAAATTGTACGATGATACCCATAAATTAGATTGTTTGTAAAATGCCAGTGGAGTTTAGTTTGATGTTGCGTGTCAAAAGTTAGGTAGATTAGAAGGAAATTAAGCAGATTAGAATTAATGTATGAAAAAATTCACAAACTTTTTCGTTGTCAGGAGGTTATTATTTTATTCATCCAACTGTTCTTCACTCAATTTTCAGCGTGATTTATGACGGTGTAATTCATGTTTTTAATTTGCGTGTTTGAACGGCTGTCATCGATATTTTGAGAATATCCATTTTACCTGACAAATGATTTCAATTGTATTTAACGAAACATCGTCAGGAAAGGATCAAACAACAATATTAATCTTAAAAGATTTGTATCTGCAAACAAGAAAAATGAAAGACGAGAATGATTTGAGTATGCAAAGAGGCCTGGTATTTATGATGTTTAATAAGAAGGAGGCACGATCGATCGCACTTGAATGACAAGAAGGAACAAGATGCAACAAGGTGGATCGCTCAATGATTTGCCCATTAATATCATTTTGTTTTCAACTTTTAGACTAGCTATATTGCATTGAATTTTTTTATAATGGTTTTATGTCACACAATTCTACAATTCAGATCCAATTTACAGCTTGTATAAAATTCGCCTCATTCATCTAATCCATATGTATTTTTTTTTATCCGTGTTTAATCGTTAAACATATTACTGTAATATATGTAAAAGTTATTTTTTGTTGTTTTCAGATACGTAGCTAGCTGTTAGGAGGTGCTTTTGGACTGAAGCCTTCGACAATGAATGAATATTTTGTATTAGGGATAAGGTTAAATGATAAATATTTCTATACAAATTTTGAATTCAAATTGTCGCTGCATTCTCAACCGTAGAGTTTGACTAACCAGTAAAAAAATTGTGGAATAAGCAAATAAAAAGTTGTCAACCAGCTAGAAAAACCAGCTTAAATTATATTTTAATTAATAGCAAGATCAACAAAACCACATGTAACTTACATCAGATAATCTAAAATATTTAATAGTTGTTTTCAGTAAGTTAACTTATCGTGAGTTTTACGTTTTCGAAACAACTTTTATTTTTTTAATATTATTTGCCAAAATAATTAAAAAAAATTCTGATTACTTTTCAGCATATTAACGTCATTTGTTACTGTTCTCACTCCTGCTAGATCTTTAAATCATTCACATGAACGAGCAAAGTAGAAATCGCTCAGTCGGGATGAACGTAATTCGGTAAGCATTGATATCGACGTTTAGATTGCATCCACAATATATATATATATATATATAATATATATAATATATATATATATATATATATATATATATATATTATACATTACCAACTGTACAAATTACTATCTATATATTATAACCTCGTAGAAACAATTTGCACTTTGTCGAGAAACATTTTGGAAGATTTTAACAATTTAATGAAGCATAATTCAATGAGTCTTGATTAATCAGTCAGCTTTTGATATTACATTCATTTTTACAAAAAACTCTATTGATAACTCAGTAGTTACTTTTATAAAGCAATAGCATGCAAACGCACGTCGACAAAATTAGTTTTTAGTTCTTAGAAATGATATCTGAACATCATCATTTCGTAAACGGATTATCAAACAGAAAGAATGAGGCATAGAGTAGCAATATTGTGTAACACGTTGAAACCAACGATAAATTATTTTTTATCCATATTCAATATTTTCCTTTTGTTAAAATATTTTTATGTTTAAATTTTAATGTACATAAAGTTTAATTGTGTCATAACAAACTAAGTGTTAATATTCACATTTTATATTTCAGTTTCTCAAATAATTTTGATTTATTACCAAAGTTGTGACAAATTTACATTAAGTATTTCATATCTTTTAACATTCATTTGTGAAAAAAGGCAAAAGTTTTCAGTTTTAAGATAAAAATGGACAGATGGGGACAAAAAATTAAGCAAACATACGGGAGCGTATGAGCATAAAAGCGATCAAACATGTGAGCAAACATGAAGCAAGTATGCGAAGAAACACATCAGCATGACGTTAAAATTAGAACAAACATAATTCGAAAGATTGAATATCTATGTATTATAAGAAAGCGCTTACGTGTATGTATGTATTCAGGAAGGTTCCAGTATATGGGCGTATATATAAATGGGTGTATGAGTATATGGATACATGGGTGTATGGGTACACACATAACTAGAATAAATATAACGGCCTTCGTTCACTTTTAACGGTCAAAAAAGAAGCTTACTTTCGGAGGGGATTTTGAGGGTGATTTTTGATCGCTCGAGTCAAAAGTTACGATCGTATATTTAACTAATTTCAAAATATTGCTTTTATTTAAAATGTTAACATTTTAATTTTGTTAAATTGTTATTCAATGTGGTAATTAATAACTTTTATTTGGTATAAATTTAAAAAAATAAAATCGACAAAACCGAAAATAATTAAAAGTTGAAAAATTTGAGGTTCTTTGCATATACCTGCTTCAACCCTTAAGAAAGTTTTGTATATTGGTAAATAGGCCTTCCCTTATGTGTGTTGATGCAGGTCGTTCTGCGGGGTTTATAGATTTGAAGCGCTTCATTTAGATTCTTGGGAACTCGACAGAATAATCTAACAAAGTTAACCACTAGACAGTCAGTAGTTAAAAATTAGATAATTAATTTTATTTGTAAGGAAATAGTTTTACAAAAGTTTACCTTTTTGTAAGTGGTTAACACAACACTGATTGGATTTGCTGTTACAGTTGGCATGGCAACAGATATAATGAATAGCATGTTCTATAGAACCAGTTTACACAGTAAGTGCAGAATATATTGAACATTAGCCGGTGCTAATATTCACAATACATATGAACTTAATACAAACAAGTGGCTTTTGCGTTTGATGAATTAACTGACGTTGCTGTTTTATATTTTTTAACTATTAAAAAGTTATCTATACTTTTTAACTGTTAAGTTAAGTTAACATTATTAACTAAATTCAAAATACATTTTAAATATATTATTAATCCTTTCATTGTTTACTTTTATTTTTTAGTAAGAAAAAACAAATAGTATATAATATAAGCATATTAGCATACATACATATTCATATATAGGTATATAATAATTTAATCTTGAAAATGTAAATAACTATTCTCTGCATTTCTAACTGAATTAATCAGCTGGTCTTATTATATTCTCAATAGTTTCATACTTGTTAGGTGTTAGAATTAGATTGATGGAAAGTGTTGAAACAATGAACGCTTCGGGTGAACGTGTTATTGGTTCGTATCTAAGTTGTTTAGTCTCCCATACAACATTCATGACAGCTAATAATTTCACATTTTATATCATGTATATACATACAATTTACTATATGTCTATTTTATATATATAATGTATGCTTATATACAATATATATATATAATATATTATAGACAGTTATCATCATAGTAGAACTCAGGCACGCCTTTTTTGACTGAGCTTATTAATTTGATAGATTTTTTGTTTTTTTTAAAAGCCATCCCAGTATAAAGGTTAAAATCCTAAATGAATTACATCCCAATGCAATTATTGCATCAGGGTCTCAGTCTTGAAAGTACACACGCATATGTAAATAATCATCACACCTAAGAATACACAATTACACACACGCTCACACACATACATGAAAATGTATATATATATTTATCCGATTACTTTTGCAACTTAACCTAAAGTTTATTAACATCATTAAGACACACAAAAATGCTTGACGTTCAAATCATAAGTTCGACTAGCATTTCTTTAGAAAGTAATCTGTCTGTGAAGATAATAACTCAAATCGATATTTTTAAGCGTTACTCTTTTTGTTAACATGATATAGAAGAAAAGCAGCCGGATGAATATGGACAAGACACTTATAGAAAAACTTGCCAACTGGTGAAGACCACGCCTGCAAGCTGCATTTTGACGGGCCTAAAAACAACATCTCTTCATCTCAAACACAGAAACATTGGCCCTAATGGAGCGAAAGCACTTGCCACTGCTTTGCTGGTTATTTTTAACTAATAATTAAATAACCAAAAAAATGTATGTTACACAAGTCTCAGTGTTCCTGAAAATTTAAACTGTTTTGGTAGGAGGATCCCGTTTATTGTAATTTATTTATTTAAATGTTTCTCTGCTCGATGAACAAAAAGTTATCCGTATTTATTTTATATTCTAAACCTCTAAAGATTAAGTTTATAATATTCGTTTTATTTGTTGCGTTCATGAATTTTCCCACCTTCAGCTTCTGTATCTGGCGTTGTCTCTTATAACCTCAGTTTTTATTTCTTTTCAGCATAACAAAATGGTTGAGACGTTAGATTTAGAAGAAAATGGTTTGGAAGGAGAAGGAATCACATATATTTGTCAAATGTTAACCAAGAACAAAACAATTACAACTGTGGTAAACTGTTTTAAATTATGGAATTAATTTCTAAATAAGCAATCATCTATTCATTTTTTCAATAATAATAATAAAAAGAAAAATAATAAATATTTGGTACAAATATTCTACATGCGTATGTCGCGTTAAAAACATTGAAACAAACACAAAGAACCTGTCGCACAATATGGCCGGAAACATAGGACCATTGCGTTGTCGAGACTCATTCTAAGCAACAGCACCATCATCAACCTAAACATTTCTTGTTCGTTATTTTTCATGTTAATATAGTAAACTTACGCTGCTTATTGTAATAATTTTTTGATCTAATGGAAAGAATAGTTAAATTTTGTGAACGAACATAGATAATTAATTAATAATGATAATAAATAGATAATGAATTCAGCGATTATGACGCAGAAGGACTTGCTAACGCTATCGAAGTTTGGCTTTTTGTACTATGTTGAGAACAACAAAATAAATTATTTTAAATTGCTAAAATTAACAATTAACTTATATATGTAATGTGATGAACTTAAGAGGAACATAAAACCATAAAAACGTAACAATTCAAGAAAAATGAGAAAATAATCAACTTGAACGTCAGCCACAACTGCTTCTCTCAGAACAGTGCATCTATGTTTAGTCAAGCCTTCGGTTCGATCAAATTATTTTTTTAATTTTTCGTATAAACTTGACATGTAAATGTAACTTTACATAACACTAATTACAAGTAAGCATGTTGAAAACATTTATTCACGAAATATTCTTCGTATGAAGGTTCCAACAACTCCATCGAATATCTCGACCTAAGTTGGAATCAGTTCAGCAAACGAGAAGCAGCCATTTTGTTCCACGGCTTTAAGGTCGGTGGGCTTATAACATTCAATTTTAATTTTAGTCTACAAATCAAAAATTTAATGTTAATTTAACACTTAGCTTGTTTAGTATTTGCATTTTAGCATTTATTTCCATCTTAACGCTTTTTTAGACATATGTATAAATAGCATTTATTCCATTTAATGCATTTTTATCATTATGAATTATTTTTTATTTAATTATTAATTTATGTTGCACCTTTTTCCCACTTATGTTTAAGTTTATAAACGTTATTGTACAGAAGGGGTTCATTTGCATGTCTTGGTGAATATTTACGTTGTTAGCTTATATTCACCTATATTTTTATCACTATAAATCAGTTTTTTTTTCTAATTGTATTTCATGATGCTTTGAACAAAAATACATTTCATTTTTAATTTATAAATTAAAATTCCTTATTTCGAAACTGTTAACCCTTTTTAGAAATCAAATTACAACCAGACTTTTAAAATTTTCATAATTTTGTCCTCTTTGAAATGATTTAATTAAATTTTAGAACAAAATAATTAACAAAAATAAATAAAATGAGTAAAAACCACTCAACACAATACAATTAAACAACACACATTTTATCACATTGACATCATAATATGTCTTACTTTTAAGAAAAATAAATCATAACACTTTTAATTAAATTTTTAGACAAATTTTTAACGGTTTTGTTTACTTAATAGCTTGAGCTTTTAAAGTAGAATGAATTTTTTAAAATATGATTTAAAGAAAAATTACTGCCTCACATCAATCAACATGTCTTGGAATGGTATCGGTGTTGAGGAGTGTTCGGCTCTGAGCGACGCGTTGAGAGGCAACAAGTACCTGAGAGAACTTGATGTAAGCCACAATCACATCAACTGGGACGGAGCCCTACAAATTTCAAAGGGACTAAAAGAGAATGATACTTTAGAAATTCTTTACGTATGTTATTGAAATTCCAGTGCATTTTACTTTTTTCAATCTATTTTTTTTCAAAATTTAAAAGAATAAAATTGAAAATAAAGTACATTAGTCAATTTCCATATAAATAAAAGATTGGTGGTAATCCGTTGTCAATGACTGGTGTGTTGGACCTCTTAGATTCTGTTGACAATCCAATGAGTGCCATCACTACCATGGATTTCACGGTAAGTATTGTTATTTCTATTAACTCTTGATATTCCATTGTGGTATGTAATGTATGAAATAAGTTTTTATTCAACTTTTATAAATAAAATGTCCAAATATAGAATGAACAATGAAAAGGCATAATGAATAATTAACCTGGTTTACTTTTTCCCACGTGAAATACTTTTGCTTGTTTGTTAATAGTGTGAGTGTGCTGATAGAACCCTTGAAGAAATCGTATTTTAAAAATGGTAGGGAGTGCCGGTTAACAGAAAGATTGTGTACATCATTGAAAGTCTTCAAAAGTATCGAGCTCTGCACGTCAAGCACGGCATCATGATCGGAAGTGATGATGTCTTTGGCAGAAGGATGGGTTATTATTTGCCGATTCAATTATGAAGACATGTAGCTATTGAAAGTTCTTCTTCTATTTCAGTTCTTCGCTGCGACCCGCTAAAATTATTGATTCAGTTTCTCGCTGATAAATCAATAAAGCCTTATGATTTGTTCAAGCACTACGATCCAGACAAGCAATTCAAAGTCCCCAGAGAGCACTTCTTGAAAGGCCTCAAAGTAATGTTTGTCATTTCAACTAATATTTAAAATTTTTTACTAAAATTACATGTTAAACCTCGTGTTAAAAAGCGTTTTATGAAATTTATTGTCTTGAAAGATAAACAGATCTAATAATTTAAAAATAATTAAACATAGGCCGCAAACGTTCCTCTCGACGAGTATGACTTTGAAAAGTTACTTGTCAGGTTTGATTCTAGTGGAAAAGAAGGAAAAGTTAATTACCAGTTAGAGTTAATATTTGTTCTGTACCATTTTAAATTGAATAAAATCTATTTTGTTTGTGCGAACCGCCAGACGTTTGATCAGAGGTGTAAAAGATCAAATAAAACAGAACAAAGCTGAAGAAAAACAGAAAAGAATGGAAGCCAAGCAAATGAAGGAAGACATTTCAGCAAATGAATTAGACGATGACGTCGAACTGGACGATTCGAACGCTAGACAGCGGGACAACTCAACTCCAGATTCCTTGGCAAGCAGTCCTTCGCCGACAGAACGTTCTCTGCCGGTTAATTCCACTGCAACCATCGAGAAGGACCTTCACAATAATCAAAAGTTGAAAAACTTGTTGTTGGGGAAGACAAAGTTGCCCAACACAAGCCCCACTGCATCCACATTATCGACTGAAAGAAGTACAGTAAGTGACATAAGCTTAAAAAGCACTAACGTGAGTAGCATATTAACTAACCGACTTTCGAAAAAAGTCCAGATGAAACAGCAAACAAACAATGATACAAAAATGTCTACGGTTTATGAATGATCATTAAATCGGTACATTCCAATTATGTAACGCATTTTGTTTTCTACATCATTTATTTTTCAATGAGCCAGTTCGTTAAGCATATAGAAAAATATAATTAGTTTCACAGTAATGACATTAATGATATTCACAATTTACAAAAAAGATGTTTCGTTTGAAAAACAAATTTCAAAAATAATTCGTCCCAAGTTTCTTATCAAAAACTTCACAATTCAACAATTTAATTTATTTTTAGTCAAACTTTCATCGAATCCAATTCTCTCCATGGGATGGTGATGACCAAGAGGAGCGGCGCCCGATGGATAGTGGCAGTACAGAGGTCTCTTTGCAGGACATTCAGCAGCCGGACAACAATTGACTTCATTCTTGCGTGAACTATGACTAATTTTGCCCTGGGAACAGCATGGATCGGTGTAATGAGGCGGTTTACTGCCAACAGAAATTCCTAAATAAGGAATGCAACACCTTTCCTGCTCCTGAAAGTTTATTAGTTCCAAATTAGTTTTTCATTTTATAAAACAATATGTATCTGAGCCTCACTAGTGGTCTGTTGTAGCAGTCCATATATATAGAAGAATAGAGGGTAGGATTCAAAGGAGCTGACTGGTTTAACACGGATCCAAACGGAGAGCTGATTGCATGACCACCGGCGGGCAGCAGATCTTTTGTTGTCACTTTGATCTAAGAAATATAATTATTAGTGTTACTGTTGTGTGAATAGGAAACAAATATGTTTATCTAACAATATTTAATATCTCTTCAGCTCTACTTTTATGGTCAGGTTGGAAGAAGCAGTCGAGAATGATTTCTTGCGACCTAGGCTTCATCATGTCGTATATGTTTCTACAATTTAAAAAGTAAAACGTATTTTAAAAAAGTAGAACGTTACACTAATAAATTGAATATCTTATTATTTATTCACTCAGTTGTACAATCGTGGCTATTAGAAATATTTAGACAAGCTTTTTCAAATAAAATTAACTGTTCTCGACCTTGAATTTATCATCAATTAGTTTTTTTTGCATTCATCGTTATCGCTCTAAATTCATAGAATTATTGGTAGGATTATAGGTTTTAATAGAAGCCTTCAACGTTTTTATTATCATCATCATTATTATTGAAATAATAATTACTACAACTACTACAACTAACAACCAATCGTTGCAGTGCTAGCCTTGATATAAACAGCTTTAACAAAAATTAAATGGGTAGGATAGTTCTACTATCATCATTCATAGAGAAAAACATTTTTGATTTTTTGTTAATGGTTATGGTTATATGCGCAAAACGTAGCAATGAGGAAAGATAGTAAAAGGTATTAATGTTAGAAACAGCAGATTGTGAAGCAAATGAAGCCAAACAAAACAAATACCTATTTTGTCAATCAATTGTAAAATTTGTGTAATTATGAGATAGAAATAGCAAATAGAGAAACAATGGGGTGTTGAGAGTTAATTTTTTGTATGCATTACGCTGGTTAAAATCTTCTACATCTTTCTCGGGCCTTATCCTTTGAGAGTTACTGAAAGGGAAGAAGGAAGCACACAGCACGCCAGTGCGTGGTGGTGATGCTTGGATATATACCGAACAATATTATGGTTAAAACAGTTTGTTCAGTCAGATTTGAACACTGTCGTCTAACGTGATAAAATGTTGAAAACTGAGATGAAACGTTAGCTGCAAATTGTTCCCAAAATTTGTAAGTTTGTGTAAGACGTTTAAATTAATAAAAAAATCAATTTACAAAAAAAAATAAGTACAGATTTGAAATAAATACCAAATAAATTAGAAGAAAATATATTTGAAATTTTTTTAGCTATTAATAAAATGAAAACAAAATGAAGTATAAAAAAAATAATCAGATGTTTTAAAAATATTTTTACACGTTATTAACCTCTTAATAATCTGAAGTGCTTTTAATTTGTCGGCAGGAATCGAAAACGTACCAAGTATGTCTTTGGTATCGCAACTGCTTATACTTGTGATTCGCTAAATGAATTAAAACGGTTAAGTTGAATGTCTACTTATTGTAACACATTTCAACTATTAGATATAATATATGTATACTTACATATACATATATATTATTAATTATTATTATTTGAGCATTTATATATAACGCCTTTTATAAAACCGAGGTTTTCTTATAGATGTATTTTAAAATTCAAAGAACAATTACATAAATGTTATAGTTTGAATCGATACAAAAACTTAATTATTAAAAAAATATATGCGGCATTTAAATTTATATATTACATGACTACGTTTTAAAGAAAAATCGTCTTTATGAGTGCAGCTGTTCTTTATGACCAATTGTTATGTCTTACATTTATTTTAGTATACCCTAAGTTTTATTTTATTGGCATCATTAATTGGTGTAACGTTTCTTTTTATGATTTGTTTGAGGACGACTTTGTCTCTTTTATGTGCCGTTGACATGATTTCTCTAATATAGAATTATGTCGTTGTGATTGTTGTTTTTGAATATACTGCTATCTTGCTGTAGTCTTTGTTGACTGGTGCTTTCAATTAATGATGTTTTGTAACTTTGTAACCATTGCTTACTAGTAGATTTGTAATTCTTTTCAGTTCCGTATTCCGTATAACATATGTATATATATATAATATATAAATATATATAAGTAATTTATATATATATATAAGTAATTTATATATATATATATCACATGAAGCTTCTTATAAATATATGAAGCGCCCTAAATATTTTTATGTTATTTACTTCATTGTATCAATACAAAAATGACTTATGCAGAAAGAACAAACCATAATATTTCGCGTCATCTTATTGACGTATCTTGAAGTAGATGTTTTTAGATGTGTTTATACCAATATGAAAAAAAAAATATTACATGTTCCAACAGTTCCAGAGCTTTCAACCTGTCACATGTGTTGGAAATAGCATACAATATATTTACCACCTGCAAATAAGATTACTTAAATGTTGCAAATATAAATGTTTTCAACAATTAAAAGTTACTTGTGAGCCGAGAAAGTAACCTTTACTTTCGTACAATATTCTCAATTTGTTTTCGTTCTTGTCAGTCTCCTACAAATTAATTTTGTAATATTATAATATGGTATCCCTTCTTTTTATTTAATTCAATATGCACTAAATAATTTTGCTTAATTTATTAAAACGTTTATTGAATAATTGCCGCTGTAGACTGCGATGAGTCCAGGTTTGAAGTTCAAGGTGTAGTCAAAGTTGTGGTCAAGAGAAGTATTTTTTTGAAAAAGTGGCCAACTAGGATAAGTTAAATTAAACAATTCCAAAAAACAAAAATAGTTACAAATTGACTATTGTTTGAAGCTGGTCAAATCAAATGTTGTGAGGCTTCAAACATGTCTAAACATGCCTAAAGTCTAAACTACTGAACAACAAATTTTTAATTTAAAATAAATGTGTCACAGGATCTCTCCAAATACAAATAATTTGAGTTTTTAGTTATCTGCTAGCCAGATTCATTAAGTCTTTTTTCGTGTATTCCTTGTTCAAGTTTAATTAAAAAGTGTGAGAAATCTCATAAAGTTAATTTAATTTTTCACCCTGTTTCATTATTATTTATCAATATCATTAAATTAAATCATAGCCTTTTTAATGATTAAATTTTATTATATGAATACAAAATTTATATTTAATAACTTATAATATATAAATAATTAGATAAACGATGTAACAGTTATTACCACACAACTAAACAGAGTATCTAACACAACAATAACTAATTTTCAGTTTAATTTTAATATTTAATTGAATTTTAATAACATTAATTAAACTAATTCTTCACTAAGTAATGAAATATTTTACTTGATTAATACGCATTAAGAGACACTCAAAAGCGCACGTTTCCAAAGGACACTTCGCCATGATAATTCAAAATACATGCACATGCACAAGCTTCGATGAAGATGTAGTAAATAATTATCGGTCGCCCTTGGCAACCGGAGAAAACATCGAAATTAAAAGTAAAAATTTTAAATCTTTTCTTAAGTTATTTTAAGTTATGTATTTTAGCCAACACATAAAATTGTATCCCATATTTTATATTTTGCAAGTTATGTATTAGTGTAATCTACGCATAAATATAAAATATATATACACATGTCACGACGATTTTGTATGAAAACATGGATTCAAAAAATTCATCCTCATGGGGATGGCGTTTTTAGATATCAGTGCTGCTCTATATTATTCTATATATTATAAAGCGTGCCTATGGTGCTGCCTTTGACTGCGTGCGCCATGAGCTTTTTTGAAGTGTATCGCCTTCAGTTTTGGTTTTCCAGAGGAAGTCCAGAGTTGTACCTATATTTGAAGCAGCGTACACAACATGTTTCGTTCGTTCAATGATAGATTGTCAACGATTCAGATTACTACATCAGGTGTACTGCAAGAGTCGGACCTTGAACCATTACTATTTTTAATTCACACGTCAAAAATATTCAATATAATTCATCGTCATGTTGTGGTTGGTCAGCTTTACTTATGTGAATGATTTTCAATTGCCTCCGGACCCTCGTCTATGTTTCAAACCCGGGTAAATGGTCCTCTGATCAGTTGCGTAATAGATAAATAAATAAATCGTTTATTGAAAAATTTATTTAAATTATTTTTTAAAAGAAAAACTTTTCACGTCCGGGGTCCTAAGCAGTTGATCAGTCTGCTAATCGTTAGATCCGCCCCTGTGTGCAAATTAATAAATATTTTTAGTCTAATTATTTGCATGAAAATCAAATACTGTACATTATCATTGTACAATCTTTAAAAAAAAAGAAAGATATCTTAATTTTAAATTCAAGTGTGCGGTACAAGTTTGCATTTGTGACGTCAACTTTGATAGAAAAATATTTACTTGAAATAATTGTACAATAACAAACTAATTTTTCCCAGTTTTCTCGCAAAGTTACAAGTTAGTAGTTGGGATTTGATTGAATTTTATCACACTCACACTTAATGACAGTTTCAGCGATTCGGGTTAAAAATCGAATGTTTTTGATATTTAGTTGACAAGTGAGCTTTTATGGAGCAATTTCATAATGAAAACCTTGTCACAGCGGCTGCCAGACGAGGCAAAACAGTGCTACTATCTTTATTTTTTTTAACTTTATTGACTCTGAAACATTAAATTTTGGTTCATAAAATCTCATTCGCATTTATAAAATCTTTATTTTTTTTAACTTTATTGACTCTGAAACATTAAATTTTGGTTCATAAAATCTCATTCGCATTTATAAAAAAATCTAAGAAAGATTTTGAAAAATGATTTTGAAATATTAGAAAATGATTTTATTTTGACAAAAGATTTTAACTTGAACGACCTATAAGCAAACTATAGGTAGCAGAACATAACAACAGGTCAATTTTTATATAAAATTAGTAACGAATATTTTATTTTCTAATCGGCATTTAGCTTAATCTTTTGAAGTAATCTATTTCTACATTAACATTTTTCGCAAATTTTTGTTACAGTTTTTTAAGTGTTATCCTATATTTGTTCATTGGTTTAAGCTTCTTTCTCAATAACGACACAATATGCCTTATTTGACAGGAAAATAAAATGGCGGTGGCAATGCTAGCCATGATTTGCGCCATTGTGGTGGTTGTGCTGGTAGTGGTCAACATACTTTTGTTGTTGAAGCTGGTGAACGATGGAAGAGCGAAGGAAAAAGAAAGAATGGAGAAGAGGAAAAAAGCTAAACGAGAGGCAAGGAAAGAAAAACTGAGAAGAGAGTATCAAATGTCTCAACAATACCGAAGATAAATTTAGAACGAATAATTCGAAATGTTCATCGCTATCTTTTATACCAA